TGTGCCAGGCCAGGCTGGCCCGGGCCGGGCTGGAGGCTGACAGGGTGAGGTGCGAGGCGGAGGGCAGGAGCCTGCGGGAGGCGCGGGCCGGGCTGGAGGGTGAGGCTGAGCACCTCAGGAGGACCATCCACAGCCTGAACCTCAGGAAAGATCAGCAGGTACTGCAGTGTGTCAGCCCGGGTCAGCGTGTGTCAGCCCGGGTCAGCCCGGGGCAGCGTGTGTCAGCCCGGGGCAGCGTGTGTCAGCCCGGGGCAGCGTGTGTCAGCCCGGGGCAGCGTGTGTCAGCCCGGGCAGCGTGTGTCAGCCCGGGGCAGCGTGTGTCAGCCCGGGGCAGCGTGTGTCAGCCCGGGGCAGCGTGTGTCAGCCCGGGGCAGCGTGTGTCAGCCCGGGGCAGCGTGTGTCAGCCCGGGGCAGCGTGTGTCAGCCCGGGGCAGCGTGTGTCAGCCCGGGGCAGCGTGTGTCAGCCCGGGGCAGCGTGTGTCAGCCCGGGGCAGCGTGTGTCAGCCCGGGGCAGCGGGTCAGCCCGGGGCAGCGTGTGTCAGCCCGGGGCAGCGTGTGTCAGCCCGGGGCAGCGTGTGTCAGCCCGGGGCAGCGTGTGTCAGCCCGGGGCAGCGTGTGTCAGCCCGGGGCAGCGTGTGTCAGCCCGGGGCAGCGTGTGTCAGCCCGGCTCAGTGTGTGTGTGTGTGTGCGAGCCCGGCTCAGTGTGTGTGTGTGTGCGAGCCCGGCTCAGTGTGTGTGTGTGTGCGAGCCCGGCTCAGTGTGTGTGTGTGTGCGAGCCCGGCTCAGTGTGTGTGTGTGTGTGTCAGCCCGGCTCAGTGTGTGTGTGTGTCAGCCCGGCTGTGTGTGTGTGTGTGTGTGTGTGTCAGCCCGGCTGTGTGTGTGCGTGTGTCAGCCCGGCTGTGTGTGTGTGTGTCAGCCCGGCTCAGTGTGTGTGTGTGTCAGTCCGGCTCAATTGTTTTGCCGTGTTTTCCCCACAAAATATACAGTCACTTCACTTTACAGTCTATCCTGTCGACCACGGAGGTGTGCCAGGCCAGGCTGGCCCGGGCCGGGCTGGAGGCTGACAGGGCCTCACCTCACCTACAAGGCCATTCACGGCCTTCCTCCCTCCTTGCTCCTGACGTGAAAGGCGCTCTATAAATGGAATCTTGTTGTTGTTGTTGTTGTTGTTGTGTGAGTGTGTGTGTGATGAGGCGCTGTATCAAATGCAAGAATTATTATAATAATTTGTTGTTGTTGTGATGTTGTGTCTCCCGGGGACAGGCGGACATGAGGGTTTACGAAGATGAGATCAGTGGGAAGAATAAGCTCCTGGAGGAGCTGAGAGGCTCCGAGGCCTCGGCTGTCGAGTTGCTCAGTGAGAGAGTCTCTCTGCTCTCCCGGCACAGCCTCCAGATCCATCGCCTCCGCTCGGTGGCCCACCAGCTGAGCGGTGATCAGCCCCGTGCAACTCCAGCCCCAGGCCAGACCCCCGGCCCCAACCCCCAGGCCAGACCCCCGGCCCCAACCCCCAGGCCAGACCCCCGGCCCCAACCCCCAGGCCAGACCCCCGGCCCCAACCCCCAGACCAGACCCCCAACCCCCAGAGGTGACCCCAAGACCAGACCCCCCCCCCAGGCCCTGACCCCTAGACCAAGCCCCCAACCCCCAGACCAGACCCCCGGCCCTGATCCCAAGACCAGACGACCAACCCCCAGACCTGATGCCCCGGGCCCTGACCCCGAGACCAGGCCCTCAACTCCCAGACCAGACCCCCGGGCGCTGACCCCAAGACCAGATGACCAACCCCCAGAGGTGACTCCCAGACCAGGCCACCAAGCCCCAGACCAGGTCCTCAACCCCCAGACCAGCCCCCCAGTCCCCCAACCCCCAGACCAGTCCCCCAACCCCCAGACCAGCCCCCCAGGCCGGCGCTCCAGACCCGCCCAATCACTGTTTGTTTATTTCCTGGCGATTCCCCCCCACCCCGGGGGTCGGCCAGGCTCAGTCGCTCTCTGGTCTCCGAGTCGCTCGATCTCTCGCTCGCTGCAGGTGTCTGTGCTTCTGAGGCCACGTGACACACGACAGCCTGAGGCCGGGGTAGGAGGCGCCGTGTGATTTGCTCGTTTTCACTGTGGGATATCACCGCTATTTTGTTTATTTGGGGTGAAAAAAGCATTTGAATCAAGTCTGACAGTGCGTCTGTGTGTCTGTGTGTCTCTCTTGCTCTGTGTGTGTGTGTCTGTGTGTCTCTCTTGCTCTGTGTGTGTGTGTCTGCGTCCCTCTGTGTGTGCTCGCGTCCGTTTATGTGTGTCTGTCTGTGTGTGTGTATGTCTTTCTCTTTTGCTGTGTGTGTGTGTGTGTGTATGTGCTCTCGCTCTCTCTCTTTCGCTGTGTGTGTGTGTGTCTCTCATTCGCTGTGTGTGGCTCTCTCTCTGTCTGTGTGTGAAACTGAACGTATGTTTGTGTTGATGTTTATCTTGTTAAAAACAAGATGATTTGTTATATTCCCCGTCTGTGGATTCAATCGAAAGATTCTTTGTTTGCAAACTTACAATTTAAATAAATAAATAAAACGTTGGAATAATACTCAGCGGGTGAAAGGTTAGTTTGGGACTCTTTCATCCTCTGAGCTTGGTCACCTCTCCCCCCACCCTCCCTCCCTCTGCCGACAAAACACACAGTCACTGCATTGTACACCCTTTGAGATGTCCTGGTGTGCAGGGTTCTGTCCAAATGTAATTTGTTGTTGTTGTGAACGGAGCTGTGTTTAAATAATAATAATAATCCTTGCATTTGATGTAGCGCCTGATCACATCAGTGAGCCGTCTCAAAGCACTTCACAGAATATTACTGTAAAGTGTAGTGACTGTTTACTATTGTGGGCCAAACTTGGCAGCCAATTGCGCACGGCAGCGTCCCTAAAACAGTCGTGGATTGAAGTGACTTGGTCTTATTTTTTTTGGAGGGAATATTACCCCTGGAAAAGCGATCCGCCGATCGACTAACAACCGGGCTCCTGCTTCCCATTGGTAAACAGAGGCGTGCGTGCGCGCGTGTGGAGTAAGGACACAAGGTTTCTCCCCGCCCAGGAATCGATCACTTCGCTGCGATGTCTCAAAGCGCTTCACAGGACACACCGTCGAGCGCAGTGACTACACGGCAGGTCCCCGTGAACATCAAAGAGTTTAGTCAGCAACTCGCGACCCATCGCAACTAATTATAAAGAAGATTTAACTAATGTTACAGTGAGTGGCCCTGACACCCACCTGCCCCCACAACCCCCCACCACCCTCTCCCGCAGCCACCGTGCCCTCACGTCAGGGAAGCGATGTGCAGATTGCCCCCGATCCCGGCCACTGCCACCAGCTGCCCCCCTAAGGCGCTCTCCACTGTCTGCACTGTGTTCCCGCCCAACTCGATCTCACCGAGATCCTGCAGAGAGAGAGAGAGAGTGAGAGAGAGAGTGAGATACTGTTCAATGGAGGGAAACGGCGCCTTTCGTGCCTGGAGGACGTCCCCAGGCGCTGAGCTGGCCTGGGAACTGCACCCGAGCTGGTGGTTGGGATCAGGAGGATGGGGTGGGGAGGGTGACCGAAGGCGCAGAGACAGGCCTTGAAGGAGGCGAGGGATTGGGGTGGGGGTTGCGAGGTGCAGGGACTGCGGGATGGAGTAGCAGAGGACGTGGGGGCAGAGGCTGAAGGCCTGACTCCCGATGGTGGGGTGTGTTGAGATTCGCAGTTTTAATACAAACTGATATGTTGAAATAAAGAGCAGGAAAGTTGGAACTATGGGCTAAGAGAAAAGGAACAGTTAATTTGGAAACCTAACTGCACTTAAGATTGAAGAGGTAGAATCGATAGACGGAACTATGTGAGACAGATGGATAATAAAGATAAGGAAGTAGAGTAAAGAAGCAGAACAAAGGGGTGGTAAAGACAGGATAACACCGGCGGGGGGTGGGGGGGTTACGAAAACAAGATGTGGGGCCCTGCACTACACATCCTGAGATGTTTTTGAGACCTTGGTGACCTGGTTATATGGCTCAAGGTTTGACAAATGATTGAATGAAAGGGGGCACAAAAGACCCCGTTGAAACACTTTGGAAAAGAAGGAAGACCGCAGCAGTCTGCAGGCCAGATAGCAGATTGAAAGCTGGAAGACTTGGAACTGCTTTGCTGAAGACAGAAGATTGAAAGCTATAAGTTTTGAGAGGGCTTTGCTTTAGACGGAAGATTGAAAGCTGGAAAACCCGAAACAACCTACTAGAACTTGGTAGTATGGTTTGATTATTTGTATACAAGTATATAGTCTTATTGTAACCTTATGTGTGAGAAGCAGGCAATTGGCTGAGTATTAACGTATTGGGATTCTGAGTATTAAAAGAACCAATATAATCCATTTGAGCGTGTCTCTTATTTGGATTTTCTAACAGGTGGGCAGGGTGGGGGGACGTGGAGTAGGTCTGGTGGTTAATGCCCCCTCACCTGGGTGGTCCAGTGGTCAATGCCCTCTCACCTGGGTGGTCTGGTAGTTGATGGCGTGGGCACTGGTGGTCCCGCTGCCCCCCGCGATCGCGACCTGGGAGTTACAGAAGCGAGCGGCATACAGGTACTCATTCTGCCCGGAGCCCACCGGGAAGGGAATGGGCTTCTCCAGCTTCAGGCTGCGGAAATCCCACAGCTGGAGAGCATCGTGGGGCACCCAGGAACCCGTCAGCAGCTTACTGCCCTGTCAACAACAACAGTAGCAGCCACAAATTATCCCCGCCCTGCGAAGACACTTCCCACCCTGATTACTGGAGGCCTGGAGCTCGGCGGTTAGAGTTTCGTCACTCCATGCATCCCCACACACATCTCTGTTTACCCGGCAGTAAATAGAATCGCTTTCTGGAGGTAATAATCCCATCCAAAAAAAATACTACTAATAATAATTTGGTCACTTCAACCCACGGCTGTTTGTGGGGACGCTGCTGTGCGCGATTGGCTGCCGAGTTTTGCCCACAAAATACCCGGTCACTTCACTTTACGACGGATCCTGTGAAGCGCTTTGAGACGTCTCGACGACGTGATAAGACTCTGTGTCAAAATGCGAGGATTATTATTTATTACTGCCCTATCAACACACCTTCCCCAGGTTATCCCCAGGGAATGGAGCAAGGAAACTTGCCCGACTTTTCTCGCTGCCCGGGAATCGAACCCGGGTCCTCTCACTTGCGAGGTGAGGGCTCTAAACCCCGAGCCACAGGGATATCAATTCATCCGTCGTCACATGGCGGGTTTTGAGGCCTCCTCACCTTGATGTCGAGGCTGGGCCCACAGATGTGGGGGCCGTTCATCATCTTCAGAGCTTCCTTCTCCAGTCGCTTGTCCCAGATCTGGAGAATATAATAATAATAATCGAGACGTCTCAAAGTGCTTCACACTGTAAAGTGCAGTGACTGCGATGGACGTCCCCACAAACAGCCAAGAAGCTACTGGGCAATTTTATCCGGGGGAATTGTCGACCCGGTGGGGGGGGGGGGGAGAGAGGGAGATCTTTCACGTCCACCTGAACAGGCACAGACAGAGGTTTAACAACTCATCCCAAGGACAGCGCTTCTCACAATGCAACACCCTCCCCTGACCCCCCTCCCACCCACAGCGCTGGTCTGGAACATCAGCCTCGACCGCGAGCTCCGAATCCCCGACGTGGGGTTCGAACCCACAACCACCGACTGAGCCAGACTGACACGGGAACATTGTGGGTGGGGGGCAGGTGACTAAATAGACTAGAGTCTTGACCAATTCTGGTGCCTGCCCTAGAAGGAGAATACAGCAGCGATGGCAAGAGTGAGGGGGTGGGGTGTGGGGTTTGTTTATCGATCTACCTGTGGGGTGGCCAGGTGCGGGCGGGAGATGTGGAATTCTCGGTTGGGTTCGGAGGCTCTTAAGCGACGGTGACAGGGTTTCCGTGCGGGTCGGACACCCTCCAGGCCGACCACAAAACAAGGGGCAGCAGGTGGCAGGATGGGCTGAATGTGGCGGGGGGAGAGAGGTGGGGTTTGGGGTGGGCTGGGGTCTTGCGGAGAGCGAGCGAGTGAGCTTGACCCGCCTTGACGGAGTCGTCCCAGCCCCCGGTCGCAAACAGGTGATATTCCTCCGGGTGGAAACACAGGGCAAAGATTCTCCGTGAGTGTCCGCTCATCAGGCTCAGTTCGTCTCTCGTTGTGATGTCCGGGGCATTCAAGATCTTCAGGATCTGCCGGGAGGTCAGAGAGAGAGAGAGTACCGGATGTGAGGTTTGAACCCACAACCACCAGAGAGAGGGGGTTAAACGGCGTACGGAGGAGACAGTGCTCTTTGGGGGTCAGCGAGTGACAATAATCCTTGCAATTTGACGCAGCACCTTATCGCCTCTTCGTGACGTCTCAAAGCGCTTCGCCCCATGTGCCGTGAAGTGTAGTGACTGTGCGGTCGCGGGCGAAACGCGGCAGCCGTTTGCCACATTGGTGTTGGGGCCTTCCTTTTTTGGTCATGCTTATGGTCACCTCCCCCGCCCCCCCACAACACCCCCCCCTCTCTCTCCCCGTTCCCTCTCTCTCTCCCCCCCCCACCCACTCTGGCTCGTTGTCAGACTCCGGGACTCTATCCCCAGTGAAGGGCGCCATATAAATGCAAGTTGTTGTTGCTGCTGCTGTTGTTGTCGGGGCTCTGCTCACACCTGGTTGGTTTTGCTATCGTACAGCCGGATGTTCCGATCTTTCCCAGCCGTGGCAAACACACTGCCGTCCAGGCAGAAATCCAGGGCGTTGATCTCGTTGTCTTCCTCTGGGGAGGAGACACAGGAAGACGGGAATCTTTAGTTCGGCCTCCCACCAAACCTGACGCCCCCCCCTCCATCTCCCCCGTATCCCCTTGTCCACTCCCTCCTCTCCGGCCTGCGCCCTTGTCTCCCGCCCGGCCCGCTCCACCATTCAGCCTCCCCGTGCGCCCCCCAGCCTTTGGAACTCCATCCCACATTCCCTTCAACTTGCTCCCACCCTCGCCTCCTCCAAGGCGCGCCTCAACAACCCTCCTCTTCGACCAAGCCAGCAACCACCCTCCTACCCTCCCTGCCTTCCGCCCTCCCTCCTCGATCCCGAGGCTCCAAATTCCTGACTGTCCAGTGCATTGGGACGACCTCCCGATGTGAAAGGCGTGATATAATGATACGGCACCTCATCACGTTGTTGCGACGTTTCAAAAGCGCTTCACAGGACACGCTGTAAAGCGTAGTGACTGTGTGTTCTGTGGTTGTTTATCTACTTACTGCTGGGTAAACAGAGGCGTATGCGTGGAGTAAGGAAACTTGCCCAACGTTTCGCACTGCCCGGGAATCGAACCCGGGTTCTCTCACTTGTGAGGCGAGGGCTCTAACCCCTGTGCTAATAAGTTGTTGTTTGGTGTTGCTTCCCCCCCACCCCCGTCACCTCCTGACCCACCTCTGATGTTGACCAGCCGTTTCTTGCTCTCCGTGTTGTAGATGGAGATGATGCCGTCGGCCCCAGCCGTGACCAGTAGATTGATGACTTCAGGGTGGTAGCTCAGAGAGGTCACTGCCTGGCGTGTCCGCTGCCCGGTGAACACGTCAGAGAACAGCTGGCCCGTCCTGGCATTCAGAACCTGCGGCGGGGGGGGGTTCAAATGCAAACTGCGTTCATATCTGCCTGCCATGTCGGGAGGACGTCTCAAGGAGCTGGACAGTCGAGGTTTTGCGCCCAAGCTGGGTGGGGGGGTGGAGATCAGGGAGGGTGGGTGGGGAGGGGGGTATAGGAGGGTGACCGAAGAGGAGGCTCTTGAGATGGGTCTTGAAGGGAGGGAGAGAGCGAGGCGGAGGGGATTGTGGGATGGAGTTCCAAAGGGTGGGGGCAGAGAGGCTGAAGGCCTGATGATAGGTGGGACGGGCAGGGCAGGATGGGGGTGGAAGGAACGTGGAACAGGCGAAGGAGGGAGCAGGCAGGTCGGGAATGTTCAGCGGGTCACGGAGTAAGGGAACAGTGAAGCCATGTAGGGCTTTCAAAGTCAGGGTGAGGATTTGCAACTTGATCCTCTGGGGGATGGAGAGCCAGTGAGGGTGAGGGTGATGGGGATCACGGATTGGGGGTGTGGGGGAGATAAGAGAGGCTAAAGGTCTGACCTCCAATGGTGGGGTGGGTGGGAGGGGGTGGGGCGGGGGAGCAGGGTTTGAGTACCTGAACGGCTCCGTTACCGAAGCCCACGGCCAGCTGCCGGGCGTCAGGAGAGAACTGGACGCTGTAGATGCCGTGGGAGTCCTTGCTGAGGAGGACACGTTGTTTGAGGTGCAGGTGTGACCAGGTCTCCTGCTCCTCATTGGCCACTTCGTCTATCGCCAGCTCCTGTGCCGCCAGGATAGCCTCCTTCAACTTACGACCCGCCATCCCTCAGCCAAGCACCGCTAAGGCAAAAAAGCACCCCCTGCCCCCTCCTCTGCAAGGAGAGAATCAACGTAAAAATGTTAGGAGGAAGCAACACAGCCGCAAGATACGATACTGAGATACCTTCAGCCTCTCTGCGATCCACCCTTTGGAAGTCCGTCCCACATTCCCTCCGCCCCGTCCCTTGCCTCCTTCAAGGCCCAGGTTGTCAAGAAATAAATACTCTGTGTGGAGTCCTGTAGCTCAGGGGTTAGAAGCCCTCACCTCGCAAGCGAGAGGAACCGGGTTCCATTCCCGGGTAGGGCGAAACATTGGGCAAGTTTCCTTACTCCACGCGCATGCCTCTGTTTACCAAGCGGTAAGTAGAAACCCAGTTGTTAGTCGATTGGCGGATCGCTTTACCTGGGGTAATAATAATTCCTTGAAAAATAATAATAATAAAAATCCGGTCACTTCAATCCACGGCTGTTTGTGGGACGCTGCTGTACGCAATTAGCTGCCGCGTTTCGCCCACAAAATACACGGTCAATTCACTTTACAGTATATTCTGTGAAGCGCTCTGAGACGCCTCAAAGAACAAAAAATATAAGGGTTATTTGGCAGTTACCTATCCCGGGGAGAGCAGCCGGCAGCTGGTAAAGAGCGAGCAACTTCTGAAAAGAAGTCAACGGAAAAGCGTGAAGAGAAATTGTTAATTGAAGGAACAAACACCCGGTGGCTTGACTTTGTTTACCAGGCACGTGCCTTCTGATAAGGAGAAGTTCAGAGACCTGGTGGTCTGAACACCGCTGGTAAACACGCCCGACCTACAGTTTCGGGCCTGTGAGCTTTAACCACAAAGGGTGTAAGTGCTATTTGATTGTCTGTTGAGTGACTGTGTATTTGTGGGTGAAATATGGCAGCCCAGCTTGCAATTGGTTTGATATCACCTTACACAACAACAACTTACACTTGTGCAGCGCTCTCCACGCAGGACAGCATCTCAGAGCGCTTAACAGTGGCGGAGCCTGACTCTGAGCCATGGGGGGAGGAGGGCGGGAGGGGGCCATAAGCACGGTTGAACAGGAAGGTTTTCAGGCGGGACTTGAAAGACGGGAGTGAGAGGGGGGCAAGGCGGAGGGATTGAGGGAGAGCGTTCCAGAGTTTTGGGGTGAAGCGGCTGAAAGCTCAACCTCCGATGGTGGGATGGAGGGCGCGAGGGACGAGCAGGAGGCGGAGGCGCTGACCGGGCGGTGGATTGGAGAGCGAGGAGGTTGGAGAGGGAGGGAAGGAGGTGCCAGGGAGTGAACGGATTTGGACACGAGAGTGAGAGGATCTTGAAGTCGATCCATTTGGTGATGAGGAGCCAGTGGAAGCCTCAGAAACCTATTTCTTTTAACTCCTCTCCCCCACTCTCTGTTCTCACACAGGCCTGTCCAGCGCCTTGGGATGTCCTCCTGACGTGAAAGGCGCTATACAAATGTAATCTTGTTGTTGTACTGTGTCATACAACACCAGATGTGAAGGAACAGTTTCTGACACAGCAACAAATGACATTTACACACTGCCTTTCACGTCAGGAGGACGTCCCAAGGCCCTGGACAGCCAGAGATTTGGACATGAGCTGGGGATTGGGATCAGGAGTGGTGGAGGGTGTGGGCAGGAGGGTGACCGAAGGCACGGACCAAGTGGAGGGTCTTGAGATGGGCCTTGAAGGGGGGGAGGGGAGATGGAGGGACTGTGGGATGGAGTTCCAGAGGGTATCAGCGAGGCTGAAGGTCTGCCCGTCAACGACGCCTGCAGAAACCTATCACCGTGCTTCATAGCATCTGAACAATTGGGAACCACCTAATCACAGAAATCTGGAGAGGAACGTGCACTTTCTCTCCGTGTGAGGGACACACCCGCTTCCCCTAATTCCGGAGAGTATTAGGCGCAGGTTGGTGAAAGTCCAGAATGCGTGTTGGGGGTTAATGGCTGGAGTCTAAACCAGCTAAAACCACAGGCAAGTTTCCTTACTCCACACTCCTAGCGGTAAGTAGGAACCCACTTGCTAGTCGATTGGTGGATTGCTTTCTGGGGCTAATAATAATGGCTCACAAAAATGGGGTCACTTAATGCACGACTGTTTGTGGGACACTGCTGTGTGCAATTGACTGCCGCGTTTCGCCCGTGAAATACACAGCCAAGACACCTCACAGTATATTTCTGTGAAGTGCTTTGAGGTCTCAATGACGTGATAAGCGGCTATACCAAATACAAGGATTATTATTATTATTATTATCATCGCTGGGTTAACGGGAGCCGAATAAGGGGAAGAGTGCCACAAATCATACTCGATAAATCCCATTACCCCTCTCACTGCCTTTTCTCTCTCTTGGTCTCAGTCGCTGACTTGTTCGCTCGCCTTCGCTCCAGAAACCTCAGCAGCTGCCTGTTCCCCCAGGGCTGACCTCCCACATAAACACCAGCTCTGTATTCCTCGCCCTGTGGCTGTGTGTGTGTGGCTGTGTGTGTGTGTGTGTGTTCCCAGCTTCAGTGCCTGCCTGGCATCCTGCCTGGCTGGCAAGCTCAATCCCAGTCCTGTCTCCCTGCTTGCCTGGCTCAGCCCTGGCTCCTGCCTAGCTCCCTGCCTGGCAAACCCCAGCCCTGCCTCCCTGCCTGGCAAGCTGAGCCCCAGCGCTGCCTACCTCCCTCCCTGCCAAGCCCCAGCCCAGCCTACCTCTCTACCTGGCAAGCCCCTGCTTTGCCTCCCTCCCTGCCTGCCTGGCTCAGCCCTGCCTCCCTGCCTGGCTCAGCCCCAGCCCTCCCTGCCTGGCTGCCTGGCTCAGCCCTCCCTCCCTGCCTGGCTCAGCCCTCCCTCCCTGCCTGGCTCAGCCCTCTCTCCCTGCCTGGCTCAGCCCTCCCTCCCTGCCTGGCTCAGCCCTCCCTGCCTGGCTGCCTGGCTCAGCCCTCCCTCCCTGCCTGGCTCAGCCCTCCCTGCCTGGCTGCCTGGCTCAGCCTTCCCTCCCTGCCTCCCTGCCTGGCTCAGCCCTCCCTGCCTGGCTGCCTGGCTCAGCCCTCCCTCCCTCCCTACCTGGCTCAGCCTTCCCTCCCTGCCTCCCTGCCTGGCTCAGCCCTCCCTGCCTGGCTCAGCCCTCCCTGCCTGGCTGCCTGGCTCAGCCCTCCCTGCCTGGCTGCCTGGCTCAGCCCTGGCTGCCTGGCTCAGCCCTCCCTGCCTGGCTCAGCCCTCCCTGCCTGGCTCAGCCCTCCCTGCCTGGCTGCCTGGCTCAGCCCTGGCTGCCTGGCTCAGCCCTCCCTGCCTGGCTCAGCCCTCCCTGCCTGGCTCAGCCCTCCCTGCCTGGCTCAGCCCTCCCTGCCTGGCTCAGCCCTCCCTGCCTGGCTGCCTGGCTCAGCCCTCCCTGCCTGGCTCAGCCCTCCCTGCCTGGCTGCCTGGCTTAGCTCTGCCACACTGCACAACACACTTCCTGCTTCCACCTCTCAGCAGCGTTACAGCGCCGCCTAGCAACCGCCCGCCTCGTTCCCATTGGACCATTCAAATTCCCGCCCGCGCGGCGATTGGTCAGCGGTGGCAACAGGTCTGCGCCCTCTGATTGGCTCAGCGCAGAGCGCCCTCTGATTGGCCTGGCGTGGGGCGCCCTCTGATTGGCCTAGCGTGGGGCGCCCTCTGATTGGCCTGGCGTGCGGCGCCCTCTGATTGGCCTGGCGTGGGGCGCCCTCTGATTGGCCTGGCGTGGGGCGCCCTCTGATTGGCCTGGCGTGGGGCGCCCTCTGATTGGCCTGGCGTGGGGCACCCTCTGATTGGCCTGGCGTGGGGCGCTCCTGACCCCCTACCACCCTGTTCGCTCCCTCTGCTCAGCGGCTCTGGGCTGCTTCACGCCCCCCCCCCCACCCCCACCTTCAACACCCGCCTCAAGACCCTCCTCTTCCACCGTGCTTTCGATCTCCCCCTCCCCCGCCACCCCCCCCCACCCACCGGCCCCACTCCCCCGCAACCCCCCCCCACCCGCCCCACCCACCCATGTCAGGACTTGGAATTGGAAGCACACAGTCTAAGCTGATGATCCAATGCAGCCCTGAGGGTGTGTTGCATTGTCAGAGACGTTAAACTGAGCCGCCTGTTCAGGTGGACGTTAATAATAATAATCCTTGCATTTGATATAGTGCTTTTCACGTCGGGAGGACGTCCCAAAGCGCTTCACAGAACACACTGTAAAGTGAATTATATTTGTGGGCGAACGCGGCAGCCAATTGCACGCAGCAATATCCCACAAACAGTCATGGATTGAAAATGACCAATTTATTATTGTTTTTGGTTTTGGAGGGATTATTATTAGGTTCTGTGTGGAGTAAGGAAACTTGCCCAAGGTTTTGTCCTGCCGGGAATTGAACTCAGGTTGTCCGAGTTTGTGCTACACACGTTAAAGATCTCCTGCGGGCTTAGCGGAAAAGAGAAGTTTCTTTCCCCCACCCAACATTCTCAAAAAAAAATTGGTCACTCACTATACATGGCTATTTGTGGGTCACTGTCGTGTGCAATTTAATTTGGATGCCACATTTCGCTCAAAAAATACACAGTCACTACACTTTGCAGTAGATCCTGTGAAGCCCCTTGAGATGTCTCAACAATATGATAAGGCGCTATATCAAATGCAAGGATTGTTATTGTTATTAATATTAAAATCTTGTGAAGAGCTTTGACATCAAAGGTGCTATAGCGAATGCAAGGATTATTATATGAAATATGAGGAATATATACAGTATATATATTTAAGTATTTTATTAACAGAAAGAAATGTAATTGTCCGAGTTTGTGCTACACAGGTTAAAATTAGACAAGTTGCTTCCCCATATGCTCGTTCCTCCTCCCCTACATATTGCATGGCTATTGGAATGAAACGAAAGGTCACATCTTCTTTCTCTCTGTCCTGTTCCCCAGTTCCCTCCCCTCCTCCGTGCACCCCCCATCGAGTCTACTTTCAGATCACATGGGGCAAGGCTGCAAAGCCAGGTTGGTGTTTTGTATCTGAGCTTTGTTGGGATTATGATCCATCAGCCAGTCTGCCAGCCAGATCTGCAAGACAACCACAAAATAGAGCAGATTAACACCACATCTCACAGAGAGCGTGATAACAAGAAATTATAATAATAATCCTTGTAATTGATATAGCGCCTTATCATATTATGGAGACGACTCAAAGCGCTTCACAGAATATACTGTAAAGTGAAACAAAAACAGAGAGAGCTGGGAAAACTCAGCAGGTCAGGCAGCATCTATGGAGAAAGGAAAGTGAGTCAATGTTTCGGGTCCACGACCCTTTGTCAGAACTGTAAAGTGAATTGACTGTATATTTTGTGGGCGAAATGCGGCAGACAATTGCGCACAGCCGCATCCCACAAACAGTCATGGATTGAAGTGACCAATTTATTATTGTGTTTTTTTTCTTGAGGGATTATTATCAGACGTAAGGAAAGTTGCCGAACATTTTGCCCTGCTGGGAATTGAACCCAGGTCTCTCACTTGCGAGGCGAGTGCTCTACCACTGAGCTGCAGGACTCCACAATTGCATTTATATAGGCCTTTCACATTAGGAGGAGTCCCAAGGCACTGGGCAATAATAATAATAATCCTTGTATTTGATATAGCGCCTTATCATGTCATTGAGATGTCTCGAAGCAGTTCACAGAATATATTGTAAAGTGTAGTGACTGTATATTTTATGGCCCAACCTCGTCAGCCAATTGAGCACAGCAGCGTCCCACAAACAGTCATGGATTGAGGGACCACTTATTATTTTACATTTATTTTGGTTTATTTTGGAGGGATTAGATACCTCCGTTTACCTCACAGTATGTAGGAAACCAGTTGTTAATCGATTGGCAGATCCCTTTCCAGGATAATAATCCCTCAAGAAAAAATCACGGTCACTGTTTGTGGGACGCTGTTGTTTGCAATTGGCTGCCACGTTTTGTCCACAAAACATCCACTTTACGGTATATTCTATGCAGCACTTTGGGACGTCTCAACGATATGATGAGGCGCTGTAATAAACCAAAGGATTATGATCACTCACTGACCACTAGAGGGTACCGTATCCTCCATTCATTGTACAGAGCCCACTCTCCCGCGGCCCACCCACCACCCCCACCCCACCCCCCACACGCACACACACAAACACACACACTCTCCCCAACGCTACTCACTACAGGCTCCGCTGGCTTCTCTTTACAGAGTTCAGTCAGCCCAGTCAGCAGAGTGGGGTTCACAAACTTGCTCAGGAAGTCTTTGGCAGCCAGATCGGTGGGAAATGGCTCGAGGATAGCTATAAAAGGTTAACGATACAATCAAAGGTACAATCAAAGCATGTACATTTGATACAGCGCCGTTTTCGCGTGAGGACAATGCAATTCAATCTCAAAGCACTTCACAGGATTTTATGGGAGGTCAGCCGGGTGTCAGACACACGCAGAAACCCATCACCGTTGCTTAAGAGTCTCCAAACCCAGCTGAGAACTCCAGCCCTCCCACCCACGCCTGGAAATCCCAGACAGAAATTATTGGAATGGAAGTCTCTCTCTCTCTTCCTGGAGGGACACATCCTGCTGACCTAATTCCGGAAAGTATTAGACGCAGGTTGGCGAGAGCCAAGGCTTNGGGGGGAACCCAGAGTGTGCGTTGGGGTAACTGCTGGAGTCTAACCAGTTAAAACCCCATCGCTTGCCATTGTTATCACCGTCTGGCCAGCTTTCCCGCTGCTTGTCCAGCTGCTGGGTTAACGGGATCTGAGTGGGATGATTCCCTGCCCCCAGTCACTGGTCTGCCCTTCCAGGTCCTGCTGATGACTGCAGGGCAGTGAAATAAACAGGACTCACCAGCAGGAAACATCAAGGAGATCTCCTTCTCTGCCGTGTTGAAGCACTCACTGCCGTGGAGGCCATTCCTGATCTTATCCGTTCCGTAAATTGCCCTTAAACTGGGGAAGTGACGGACAGACAACAACAACAATTAATTCACTTTACAACATATTCTTCACGGTATATCACGTGAAGCGCTTTGAGACATCTCAACGACGTAATAAGGCGCAACAATGAATACAAGGATTATTATTGTGACAACAACTTGCATTTCTCTCGAGCCCTTCACACGGAGTAGGGTCTCGGATCGAACTCTGGCCCTTGTGACCTGCACTGTGGGAGCAGATTGAGTGGATATCGAAGTCCCATGGGGCAGATTAGGAACAAAGGTACAGCGGGAGGCCATTCAGTCTCGAGCCTGTTCCGCCATCCTGTTAGATTATTGGCACTATATCAAATGCAAGGATTAATTGTCAGGCGAGCGCTCTAACCATTGAGCTACAGGACTCCATTAATTAATGATTAATACCTGGGATAATTATCACAGCACTCAACATAACGTAACATGTAGGAGCAGGAGTAGGCCATTCGGCCCTTCGAGCCTCTGCCCCACCATTCAATCATGGCTGATCTTCTAATCTAACTCCAGCTAATAACCTGACGCTGCCTTATCCCCATATCCCTTAATCCCTTTTGCAATAAGAAATATATCTATCTCAGTCTTGAATATGTTCAAGGACTGAGCGTCAACAGCCCTTTGAGTGAAGAAGTTCTTCCTCAACGCAGTGCGAAAGGGCTGCCTCTGATTTTAAGGTTGTGACCCCTGGTTTTAGTTTCTCCAACCGGGGACACAATCTCCCACTATCTACTCTATCTGCCCTTTGATGATCTTATAGGTTTCTATAAGATCCCCTCTAATTCTTCTATATTCTAGAGAATATAGGCCCAAATTGGTCAGCCTATCCTCGTAACTCATCCCCTTCAGCCCTGGTACTAACCCAGTAAATCTATGCTGCACCCCCTCCAAGGCAAGTACATCCTTCCTTAAATAAGGAGACCAAAACTGCACACAGTAAAGATGCCTTCAAGAGATTTGCGTTGCCTGACCTGTTGGGATGAGTTTCCTTGGCCTTCATGCTGTCCGCAGGCCCGAGCAGCTCTTTCCAGTAGCTGATGGCTTTGTTCCTCGCCAGCATCATGGCGATGATGGGGCCTGAGCTCATATGAGCCGTCAGGCTGGGGAAGAACATCTTCCCGCTGTGCTCAGCGTATAACTCGCTGCACTCCTCTGGGCTCAGGTGCACTTTCCTTTTCTGTGATAGCGATTAGAAAACAACCATGATAACTTTCACTTACGCAGCGAGGGTCTGGGGGAGTGCTCTACGATAAAAATACTAATAATCCTTGCATTTGATACAGCACCTTATCACATCGCTGAGACGTCTCAAAGTGCTTCACATGATATACTGTAAAGTGGATCGACTGCATATTTCCAGAGTGAAATGCGGCAGCCAATTGCACACGGCAGTGTCCCACAAACAGCTGTAGATTGGGTAAATCAATTTTTTTTTTGTGAGGGATTATTACCACTGGAAAGCGATCTGCCAATCGACTAACAATCGGCTTCCTGCTTACTGCTAGATAAACAGAGGCATCAGTAAACTTGCCTAAGGTTTTGCCCACCCGCAAATTGAACCCAGGTCCTCACTTGTGAGATGAGGGCGCTGACCAATATATTATAGGGTAAGGAGAAACATGGAGGGTGAGGACCAGGATCGTGAACTCGATCTACTGTGGGATGGGGAGCAAATGGACCCAGCAAGGATAGGGTGGGGTGGGGTTAGGGTTAGGGTACCTTGAGTATAGTGAACCCGGACTGAAGGATGATGTTCTCTATTTCAAGAGCTTTCTCCATGGCATCTGGTTTGATCATCGCCAGCGTTACCTCCACGTAGATCCGGATGCCCGCCATCTTATCCCTCTTGATGCTCACCAAAACCGGGCTGTGTGATGCTGGCGTCTAGTGAACTAGGACAGAACAAGGTAAAAGACTGGACCATTAGGGTTTCAGGTGTCAGCCTGGCTCAGTTAGTAGCATTCTCACCTCGAGTCAGAACGTTGTGGGTTCAAGCCTTATGTTGGGACTTCAAGCTCACAGTTTCAGCTGACACTCCAATGCAACAACAACATTATACAGCTCCCCTTACTTACGCAGGATAGTGTCCCAGACCTCTTGACAGTGGCGGAGCATGATTCCCAGCCAGGGGGAGGGGGACGTAGACTCGTTCAAATCGGAAGCTTCAGGGGCGATGCGATAAATGGGAAGGAAGGGGCAAGGCGGAGGGGTAGAGGGAGAGTGTTCCAGAGTTTCAGGGCGTAGCTCAGCTGAAAACACAGCCGCCCATGGTGGAAAGGAGGACACTGGGGCATGCAGGAGGCTGGAGCCAGTCGAGCGGATGCGAGGGTTTGAGGGTTGGGGGTAAGCAGGTTGGAGCATTACAAGGTCCCAGAGCATGAAGGGATTTGAAATTGAGTGTGAGGATCTTAAAACAAATCTGTTTGGCGATGGGAGCCACTTGAGCCTGGTGAGGACTGGTGGGATGCAGTGCTGGGGGGGAGCATGACACAGTTTCAACTGTAGTCCATCAAATGAAACATTAAACTAAAACTCTGAGATGCTATCCTGCATTGTTATTGCAAACCAAAATCCCATCTGTGCCTGTTTAAGCAGACGTTAAAAATTCCCATGTTGTTATTTGAGAAGAGAAGGGAGGTTTTCCTCTCCCGTTGTCCTGGCTGACAATCCCATAGATAAAATTAGTCACTCGTTCCATGGCTGTTTGTGGGACATCGCTGTGCGCACATTGTCACTTCGAGACACCGTCAAATGCAAGGCTTATTATTGTTGTATCCTGCGAAGCGCTTTGAGATGTCGCGACGACATAATAAGGGGCCGTATCAAATGCAAGGATTATGGATCTGTAGCTCAGTGGTTAGAGCACTCGCCTCGCAGGCAAGAGTCCTGGGTTCGATTCCCGGCAGGACGAAATGTTGGACAAGTGTCCTTATTCCACATACGCGCGCCTCTGTTTGCCCAGCAGTAAGTCGGAAACCTCGGTTCTTAGTCGATTGGCGGATCGCTTTTCCAGGGGTTAATAATCCCTTCACAAAAACAGAAACAAAAATGAATAAATTGGTCACTTCAATCCACGACTGTTTGTAGGCTACGTTTCGGCCACAAAATGTACAGTCACTACACTTTACAGTGTATTCTGTGAAGCGCTTTGAGACATCTCGAAGGCATGATGAGGGGCTGTATCAAATGCAAGGATTATTATTATCAACATAGACAAAAGGTTTCAAGTCCCCTCGTTGCTCCTTTCAGGGATGATGTCCCATCAGAGTGGCGGAGGGAGCGGTACCTTTAAATACTCACAGCTGATCACAACCCACCTGTTGCCCTGGAGACGAGACGCCGTCGGTGATTGGCCTGAACCCATTACCTGGGAGACAAGATGCCGTCCCTGATTGGCTGAGCCCGTTGCTCGGATACTAGACGCCACCGGATTGGCCCATCCCTCTCCCCATTCACAAATCCTGAGGCGGAAGGCGCCATCTCTGTGTAAAGCTTATTATTACTATTAGTTACTACAACAACAACAAATTACACTTGTGCAGCGCCTTTCACGTCGGAAAGACGTCCCAGGGCGCTGGATTGTCAGGGATTTTTGGACCTGAGTTTCCTTACTCCACCCGCCTGATGATAATCCTTCAAGGAAAAAGTAGATTTTTTTTCATGGCCTCACTCCCTCCTACCTCTCTGACCTACTATCCCCCTACCTACCTGCCCGTACCCTCCGTTCCTCTGGCTCCGGTCTGCTCCACGTCCCCCGCCCCAACCGCCCTACCATCGGTGTCCGGGCCTTCAGCCTCTCAGCACCGAGGCTCTGGAACTCTATCCCCAGTGCCTTCGCCGCCTCCTCCCTTTCCTCCTTCAAGGCCGGTCTCAAGACCTTTCTCTTTGACCGAGCCTTCAGCTCCCCTCTCGACTCTCTACCCCCTCCTCTCTCCCTCCCTTCCCTCCCCTCACCCTGACCAGTTCCCTGCTCGGGTCCTGACCCAACTGTCCAGCGCCTTGGGACGTCCTCCCGACGCTCTATAAATTCAACCTGTTTGTGGTACATTGCTGTGAGCAATTGGCTGCCCACAAAATATACAGTCAATTCACCTTACAGTATATTTTGTAAAGCGCTTTGGGATGTCAAAATGACCTGATAAGGCGTTGTATCATATGCAAGAATTATTACCATTATAAGTTGTTGTACTATGAATATAATACCATTAATACTAATGTAATAATAAAATACTAAAATAATAATAATCTGGTGGGGATGGCGGAGGCGCAGGGAGGGTGGGGGGTACGTGGGGGCTCGGGACGGCAGGGAAGGCGGGGGGTGGGGGTGTGGGAAGGTGTGGGGGGTAGGGAGGGTAGGGAAGGCGCAGAGGTGGGGGGTAGGGAGGGGGGCAGGGAGGGGTGGATGGCAAAGAGGGCGGGGAGGTAGGGGGTGGGGGGGGCGGGAAGGTGGGGGTAGGGAGGACTGGGTGGGGGGAAGGAGGGCGGGAGGGGGCAGGGATGGGTGGAGGGCAGTGAGGGCGACTGAAGGCATCTTGAGACGGGGCTTGAAGGAGTCGAGGGAGGGAGGGAGGGAGGGAGGAGACGAGGCGAAGAGACTGTGGGATGGGTGAGGGGGGGGGGAGGGAGGGGTGTGTGCCCAAACAACAAGATCGACAAAACCCGCCCAATTGGGCGTGAAGCCGCCCAACCAGGTCACGTGGGTGAGTGGCAGGGAGCGAGAGAGGGGGCGGGGCCTGTTTGAAATTTGAACAGAGGCGCCGACGTCAACCGCCACCGCGCGCCCCGGACCACCGCCACCGCGCGCCCCGGACCACCCGCCACCGCGCGCCCCGGACCACCCGCCACCGCGCGCCCCGGACCACCCGCCACCGCGCGCCCCCGACCACCGCCACCGCGCGCCCCGGACCACCCGCCACCGCGCGCCCCGGACCACCGCCACCGCGCGCCCCGGACCACCCGCCACCGCGCGCCCCGGACCACCGCCACCGCGCGCCCCGGACCACCGCCACCGCGCGCCTCTCACCTTCACCACAGAGCCTCAGCCTCTGCCACATGGCCTCGGGGCTGGTGATGGCCACCCCCCCCTCCAGGCTGTCGGGCTCGGGCACCGGCTCGGGCTCTCCGCCCCTGGAGGCCGGGTTGGCCGAGCGCTACCGCGGGCTGGTGCGGGCCGGCAAGGAGCGGGCGCTGAGCGGGGACCTGCGGGGCTCACTCGACAGCTTCGGGTTGGCCTGGGCCGTGCGGCCGAGCGGGAAGCTGCTGCGGCGGATGGAGCGGCTGCGGGAGGCGTTGGCGGAGATGGAGGCCGAGCAGCAGCAGCAGCAGCAGCGGGAGGAGGAGGAGGAGGAGGAGTTTGTGGATGTGCTGGGCTCCGGCCTCAGGCTGTACCGGCAGCTGTACGAGCGGCTGTACCGGCACCAGCGGGAGGGGGTGGCCTTCCTGTACGGTCTGCACCGCCGCGGCCGCCGCGGGGGGATTCTGGCCGACGACATGGGCCTCGGCAAAACGGTGCAGGTGATCGCCTTCCTGTCCGGTATGTTCGACGCCGATCTGGTCCGCCACTGCCTCCTGGTGCTGCCCTCCAGCCTCATACACACCTGGAGCCGGGAGTTCACCCACTGGACCCCGGGCATGAGGGTCAAAGGTCAGTCACCCCCTCCGCCCCCACACACATATACACTGTATAAACCCCGTAAACATACATACATACATACATGTAGGTGTGAGGGTGTGTGTACATATATGGTGTGTGTATATAGTGTGTGTGTATATAGTGTGTATACATATATAGTGTGTATATATGTGTGAGTGTATAGTGTATATACCATATATATTGTGTATGTAGTGTGTATATGGTGTGTGTGTATGTATAGTGTGTGTGTATAGTATATATAGTGTGTGTATAGTGTATATATAGTGTGTGTATACATGGTATATATATAGTGTGTGTATATAGTGTGTGCGTGTGGATGTAGTATATATGGTGTGTATATATAGTGTGTGTGTATATATAGTGTGTATGTATGTGTATAATAAAAATATATACATTTAGTATATTTAACACCTACATGTATATATGTATATAATAAATAAATGACAATAATAATCCTCGCATTTGATACAGCGCCGTATCACGTTGTCGAGATGTCTCAAAGCGCTTCACAGGATCCACTGCAAAGTGAAACACAAAACACTGCGGATGCTGGAAATCCGGAACGAAAAAAGCGAAGTGTCTGTGAGCGCTCAGCGGGTCAGGCAGCATCTACAGAGAAAGGAAAGCGAGTCAACCTCCAGCGTTCCTTTCTCCAGAGGTGCTGCCTGACCCGCTGAGTGTTCCCCGTCACTTCTGTTTTTGTATACCGTGAAGTGAATTGACTGTATATTTTGTGGGCGAAACGCGGCAGCCAATTGCGCACAGCAGCGTCCCACAGACAAAAAATATTTTATATATACATTTTATATACACATATATACATTTTATATACACATATTATATATGCATACACACACAGGGCATGAGGGTGATTTCCCCCCCACCCCCCCAAAATACGCACAACCGATAGTGACCCCCCTGTAAAATATATACACATAACTAAATATGCGTGTGCATGTGTGTGTGTATATATATATGCAAACACACACACACCTGGCATGACGGTGAAAGGTTAATGTGCGTGTGTGTGTATATATGTGTGTGTGTGTGTATATATATATATATACACACACACGCACACAAACAAACACACAGGGCATGAGTGTGAAAGGTTAGTGACTGACAGTTACACACTCACTGTATTATATATACATACACAAGGCATAAGGGTGAAAAGTTTGTGAGATGTCCACCAAAAAATATATATGCAGCACCTGTAGAGCACTCGTCTCGCATGCGAGAGACCCGGGTTCGATTCCCGGGCAGGGTGATACTTTTCCAAAGGTAAATTTCCTTACTCCACAAGCCTCCTTTTACCTAGCAGTATTTAGCGACCTGGTTGTTTGCGGATCGCTTTTCCAGGGGTAATAATTCCTTCAAAAAAAAAATAATAAATAGGTCAGTCAATCCACGACTGTTTGTGGGACGCTGCTGTGTGCAATTGGCTGCCGTGTTTCATCCACAAAATATAGTCAATTAACTTTACAGTGTATTATGTGAAGTGCTTTGAGACTTCTCGAAGACCTGATAAGGCACTGTATCAAATGCAATGGTTATTATCATTATGGGCACAAACACAGGGCACGATGGTGAAAGGTTAATGTGATCCCCTAAAAAAATAAACACACAGCCAACAGTGACTCTCCCATATACATATATATATATACACACAACCAAATATGTATGTATGTGTGCACAGACATGTAGCATGAGGGTGAAAGTATTAGTGAGCTCACTAATAACCCCTATATATATACACACACAGAGCGCTCGCCTTGTAAGCGAGAGACCTGGGTTTGATTCCTGGCAGGGCGAAATGTTGGCCAAGTTTCCTTAATCCACACGCCTCTGTTTACCAAGTAGTGTCAATTGGCGAAACGCATTTCCGAGGGTAATAATTCCTTTAAAAAAAACATAATTGGTCACTTCAATAATAATAATCCTTGCATTTGATATAACGCCTTATCGCGCCGCTGTTTCACCGAATATATTGTAAAGTGGATTGACTGTGTATTTTTGCAGTTAATTGCACACAGCAGTGTCCCACAAACAGTTGTGGATTGAGTGACCCAATATTTTTTTTTGAGGGATTATTACCCCAGTAAAGTGAGAAAAGCCAATCAACTAACAACTAGGTTCTTACTCACTTATCCAGCGCTATGCAAAGTAGTTTGTTGTTGATACTGCTTGGTCAACAGAGGCATATGGAGTAAGGAAACTCGGTTTTGCCCCACCTGGGAATCGAACCTGGGTCTCCTCGCTTGAGAGACCACTACGCTACTGGACTTTCCGTTTGCTTACAGAAAGTTGCTAAACGTGACAATAATTCCTTGTGAAGTGCTTTGAGACCTTGTTGTTTGAGGCGCTATAAAAAGATGACCTTCCCTTGTGTTGGCTTTGTGCTCAATCGCCTCTCGTGATAACAAAATTCCAGAATCACAAGCTGCAGATCATTCAGAATGTGTTGTTCGTGTCGTCTCCCTCAACAAGCTCTGTGATGCTCTCACCCCATCCTCACCTGACTCTCCACCCCCCAGAGGATAGAGTTCAAAATCCTTGTCCTTGCCTTCAAAGCCCTGGACGGCCTTGCTCCTCCCTACCTCTTAGACCTGCTGACACCACACTGACCCGTCTACTTCCTCCACTCAGCAGGTTCCGGCCTGCTCCATGCCCCCGCCCAGCCCGTCCGCCCGACCATCAGCAGTCGGGCTCTCAGCCCTCTCTGCCCCCACCCTTTCGAACTCCATCCCACAGTCCCTCCGCCTCGTCCCCTGCCTTGCCTCCTTTCAAGGCCCGTCTCAAGACCCTCCTCTTCGACAGCGCCTTCGGTCACTCTCCTACCTTCACTGTGTCCCCGTCCTCTACCCCTCCTGAACCCAGGCCCCAGCTCACCCTGGGAAGTCCTCCGGATGTGCAAGGAGCTGTGCGAATGCAATTTATTGGTGGTGTTTGGTGGGGGTGGCTGCGTGTATCAGACCGCTGACGGCGTCTGTCCCTTTCACAGAGTTTCACGGCAGCAAGAACGAGCGGACAAAGAACCTGGAGAAGGTGCAGCGTCGAGGAGGGGTGGTGATCACTACCTACCAGATGCTGATCAACAACTGGGGGCAGTTGTCCAGCTTCCAGGGCCGTGAGTTCACCTGGGATTACACCATTCTGGACGAGGCCCACAAGATCAAAACCTCCTCCACCAAGACGGCCAAGTCTGCCCACGCCATCCCGGCCAGGAACCGCATCCTCCTGACGGGCACCCCCGTCCAGAATAACCTGCAGGAGATGTGGGCCCTGTTCGACTTCGCCTGCCAGGGCTCGCTGCTGGGTTCCTCCAAGACCTTCAAGATGGAGTACGGGAACCCCATCACCAGGGCCCGGGAGAAGGATTCCACGCCAGGCGAGAAGGCTTTGGGCCTGAAGATCTCGGAGAACCTGATGGAGATCATCAAGCCCTACTTCCTGAGGAGGACCAAGGAAGATGTGAAGAAGACGGAAGCGGCGCAGAAGGAACAGGCCGAGTGTGACCCCGAGGGCGACCTGCCGAGTGCCCAGATGCCCACCCTGAGCAGGAAGAATGACTTCATCATCTGGGTTTACCTGAGCCCGGTGCAGGAGGAGATCTACCGGAAGTTTCTGTCGCTCGACCTGATCCAGGAGCTGCTGCAGACGAGCCGCTCTCCACTGGCACAGCTCAACAGCATCAAGAAGCTGTGCGACCACCCCAGGCTCCTGTCCAAGAGGACCTGCCAACACCTGGGGCTGGACGGGGCTGGCGGGGGTTCCTACCCGCTCGAGGAGGGGGAGGAGGAGGGGGGGGGAGAGGAGGGGGCGGTGGGCGAGATCGACGGCGTGTCTGACCAGGATCTGATCCAGGAGTCGGGCAAGATGGTCTTCCTCGTGGGGCTGCTGGAGAGGCTGAAGGCTGAGGGTAACCGCACGCTAGTTTTCTCACAGTCCAGGAAGATGCTGGACATCATCCAGCGGGTACTGGTCAACCGGGGCTTCCTGGTGATGCGCATCGACGGCACAGTCCAGCTGCCGGAGCGGCAGAAGAAGATCGGGATCTTTCAGCGGGAGCCAGACTACTCCGTGTTCCTGCTGACCACCCAGGTGGGCGGGGTGGGCCTGACCCTGACCGCGGCCAACAGGGTGGTCATCTTCGACCCCAGCTGGAACCCAGCCACCGATGCCCAGGCTGTGGACCGGGCCTACAGGATCGGGCAGACAGAGAACGTGGTGATCTACAGGCTCATCACCTGTGGCTCGGTGGAGGAGAAGATCTACAGGCGTCAGGTGTTCAAAGGTAACTCCTAGAGATGTGTACAGGACTGGCTGGTGTTTCGCCCACAAAATACAGTCAACCACTTCACGGTGTTTCTGTGAAATGCTTTGAAATGTCTCAACGACATGATAGGGCTCAGCTGGAGGTGTGTCCAATTCTGGGCACCACACTTTTAGGAAGGATGTCGAGGCCTTGGAGACGGTGCAGATTTACCAGAATGGTACCTGGGAAAAGGGACTTTAGTTATGTGGAGAGACGAGAGAGGCTGCAATTGTTCTCCTTAGAGCAGAGAAGGTTAAGGGGAGATTTAATAGAAGTGTTCCAAATTATGAGAGGCTTTGATAGAGTAGAGAGGGAGAAACTGTTTCCACTGGCTTGTGGGAGAGTGACCAGGGCATATTGATTTATGATATAATAATCATAATAATCCTTGCATTATCACCTCATCTCGTCTATAAGATGCCTCAAAGCACTTCACAGAATATACTGTAAAGTGAATTGAGTGTATATTTTTGTGGGCGAAACGCGGCAGCCAATTGTGCACAGCAGCGTCCCACAAACAGTCGTGGATTGAGTGACTTATTTATTTTGAAGCAATTTAAGATAATTGGCAAAAGAACCAGAGGGGAGGAGGAGAATTTTTTTTTACACAGAGAGAGGTTAAGGTCTGGAATGCACTGTCCGAAAGGTCGGTGGAAACAGATTCCATGACCACTTTCAAAAGGGAATTAGATAGGTACTTGAAAAGGAAAAAAATTGCAGGGGTTTGGGGAAAGAAGGGGGGAGTGGGACTGATTGGGTGGCTCTTCCAAAGCACAGGCACGATGGGCCGAATGGCCTCCTCCTGTGCTGTATATTCTATGATTTTATAAGACACAATATCAAATGCAAAGATTGTATTATGATTATATCAAATGTGCGCAATTGGCTGCCATGTTTCTCCCACAAATATACAGTCAATTCACTTTACAGTATATCTCCCAATCTGGCAAGAAACCCCCAGATAAATTGGTCATGATATGAATGACCATTTGTATGATCTGTCTCTGCTCAAATCGGGTGCTATGTTTGCTATACAGAATCCCTGCACTTGTCAACAATTCCCTATGAAGATTTTTGGTGGAGTTATCAAACACATTGAGTGGAGTCCTGTAGCTCAGTGGTTAGAGCGCTCGCTTTGCAAGTGAGTTCAATTCCAGGCAGAGGATGAAACCTTGGGCAAGTTTCCTTACTCCACACAGAGCCTAATAATAATCTCTTCAAAACCAAAAACAATAATAAATTGGTCATTTTCAATCTATGACTGTTTGTGGGACATTGCTGTGCGCAATTGGCTGCCGCGTTCGCCCACAAATATACAGTCAATTCACTTTACAGTGTGTTCTGTGAAGCGTTTTGGGACGTCCTCCCTACGTGAAAAGCGCTATATCAAATGCAAGGATTATTATTATTATTATATTCTGTAAAGCGCTTTGAGACGTCTGATAAGGCGCTGTATCAAATGCAAGGATTCTTATTCATGTGGAGTATAAACACCGGCATGGACATGTTTGCCTGAGCAATAATAGTAATAAATAATAATAATAATCCCTGCTTTTGATATAGCGCTTTTCATGTCTTCGAGATGTCTCAAAGCGCTTCACAGAATATGCTGTAAAGTGAATTGACTGTATATTTGTGGGCGAAACGCAGCAGCCAATTGCGCACAGCAATGTCCCACAAACAGTCGTGGATTGAAGTGGCCGATTTTTTTTTGAGGGATTATTATCAGGCGTGTGTGCGGAGTAAGGAAACTTGCCCAAGGTTTCGCCCTTACCTGTCGGGAATTGAAACGAGGTCTCTGGCTTGGAAAGCGAGTGCTCCAACCACTGAGCCACAGGACTTCAGAGTATCCTGCAGCTGTGCTGCAAATCTTTATGAGCGACTTTTGTTTTTCTCCCCAGATTCGCTAATCCGCCAGACGGTGGGCGAGAAGAAGAATCCGTTCCGTTATTTCAGCAGGCAGGACCTGCGGGAGCTGTTTATTCTGGAGGAAACCAGGACCTCAGCCACCCAGAGACAGCTGCAGTCACTGCACTCCAGCCAGCGCCACTCTGACACACAGCTGGACGAGCACATCACCTTCCTGCACACCCTGGAGATGTACGGGGTGACCGATCACGACCTCATGTACTCCCAGGACTTTGCCGCGGAGGGAGATGAGGCGGAGGAGGAGGGGGGAGAGGGAGGTTCTGGCGGCCAGTCCCAGCAGTACATCGAGCAGCGAGTGCAGAAGGCACAGGAGCTGATGGCTGCCGAGTCTCAGTTACACCGGCAGCTCACGCAGTCTCTCCAGGCCAACACTGAGCCCATGTGGCTCAACACGGCCCGAGACAAGCCAGACACCACAGGTACCACTGCATTTGTCGTCCTCTCCCCACCCCGGCTTCTCTCCAACCAACAGCAGCTTTTGCATCGGGAAGACATCCCAGTCGTGGGCTTGGACCTGAGCTGGGGGTTGGGATCAGGAGGGCAGGGAGGGTGGGGTTAGGAGGAAAACTGAAGGTGTGGTCGAAGAGGAGGGGCTTGAGAGGGGGCCTTGAAAGAGGCAAGGGTGGAGGGCGGGGGCGGCAAGGTGAAGGGACTGGGATGGAGTTCCAAAGAAACATGGAAACAGGAATGGGCTGTTCAGCCCCTTGAGCCAGTTCCGCCATCATGGCTGATCTGTAACTCAAGTCCAGTTACACACCCTCATCCCTTAATACCCCGACCTCACAATATCCATCCACCTCCGGATCCTGGGTCCACAGCTTTTTGGGGGAGATAGCGGGGGCAGAGAGGCTGAAGGCCTGACCGTTGATGGTGGGATGGCTCGGTGGGGGACGTGGGGCAGGCTGGAGCCCACTGAGCGGAAGGAGCGGACAGGTTGATATGGGATCAGGAGGTCACAGTGGTAAGGAAGGGGGGGGCAAGGCCGTGGAGGGCTTTGAAGGCGAGGACGAGGATTTTGAATTCTATCCTCTGAGGCATAGGGAGCCAGTGGAGCTGGGTGAGGGTGGGGGTGATGGAGTCACGGAGCCTGGTGCAGGAGAGGACACGAGCTAGAACGCATTTACCTGGCGCCCTTCACGCCAGGCAGCGCTTAACGGTGACGAAGAGCCAGGGAAAGGGAGGAGGTGACCGTAAGCGCTCTGGGAAGCTACCCAGCGCGAAGGTCATTATAATAAATGCAAGTTGTTGTTGATGTTGACATCTGGCCGAGTGCCTCTGAGATCCTATGTTTTCTACACAAAATCACAGTCGCTGCACTTTACAGTATGAACGTCAACCCCAAAGCGAAAGGCTCTGTACCAAATGTAAGGAATAATAATCCTTGCATTCGCTATAGCGTCTTGTGACGTAGAGATGATGCGGATGAGACCTGGGTTCGATTCCCGGCAGGTGAGGGTGAAACCTTGGGTAGGTTTCCTTACTCCACACACACGCCTGATAATAATCCCATCAAGAAAATAAAACAATAATAAATTGGTCACTTCAAAGCACGGCTGTTTGTGTGGACACCGCTGTGTGCAATTGGCTGCCGCGTTTCACCCACAAATATAGAGTCAATTCACTTGACAGTCTATTCTGTGAAGCGCTTTGAGACGTCTCAAAGATATGATAAGGCGCTATATCAAATGCAAGGATTATTATTATGATAAAGCAATTTATTCTCATGCCAATTGACTAACGAACGGGTTCCTACTTACTGCCGGGTAAACAGAGGCACGCGCGTGTGTGTGTGTGTGTGGAGTGAGGAAACTTGCCCAATGTTTCTCCCTGCCCAGGAATCGAACCCAGTTCGTCTCACTTGTGAGGCCAGGGCTCCAACCACCGAGCCACAGGATTCCCTGGAGCGCAGTACAAACATACCGTAAAGTGTCGTAACTGTGTATTTTGTGGGACGCTGACATTTTTCTCTCTCTCTCTCTGTCTCTCTCCAGTCAGGGCAGTAACCGGGGCTCCTCGAGGTGACCAGCCTGACCCTCAGGCCACAGTCGACTTAACCGATGACCACGATGGGGAGGCGATGGACCACGACATCCTGAACATCAGCACCAAACTGGCGGGGCTGCCGCTGGACTCCGAGCAGAGTGACGGGAGCCTGGTGGAGCTGGAAGAAGACTCCAACCCGGAGGCACTCGGCAACCGTGACAGCGAACGGGCCACCGAGCGCTCAGTCGGGGTGGGCTCCCCTGCCGCGAGACCCCCAGCTGCGGTTATCGATCTGTGCGACGTGGAGATGATGTCCCCTTCGCCTCGGAGGCCCCCGGTTCCCTCAGGCAGAGAGTCGTCCTGCGTTACGGGGCGCTGGGCCGGGGGCAATGCTGCAAATCCAGGCCCTAGTCTGCAGCCTAGCGAAGGGGAGGCTTCCTTAGATATCCTCTCCTCGGCTCCCGCGGGCAAAGAGCGGACATTTTTTTTCGACGAGGAAGAAGCTATGTGTGAAGGTGAGCTAACCGGCTCCCAGGTTAACTCGCCCGCCTCCAGGCTGATGTGCCAGTCGGACTTTAACCTGGTTTTGGAGGACACGGTGGAGGGCGAGGACCAGGGACTATCCCGAGAGGCCGACACTCAGCCCAGGGGTTCCCGAGGCTCCTCTCTGGGCCCCACGACAGCTCCTCGCTCCGTCGACCAGTCAGTGCTCAGCATCGGGGACCAGTCGATGGCCGAGGCATCGCTCAGTGGGGAGGAGGCTGAGAATAGAGGGGCCGAGTCTGACAGCCCTGGGGAGGGTGAGGTGTCACACAGCGTAGGAGAGTCTGGGAGTGATAGGGAGGGGGTGTCACACAGTGTCGATGAGTCTCGGAGCGTTGTGGCAGTGGAGTCACACAGCGCAGGAGAGTCTGGGAGCGACGGGGAGGGAGAGGAGTCGCAGGGGGTGCCTGGAGTGACTGACAGCCCTGGGGAGGGGAGCGCCAGCTTGGGAGACGACTCGGTGGTTATGATCTTACGGTCGAAAAAGAAGAACAAAGGCCGAGTCATCTCCAGCGACAGTGAAGAGGAGGAGGAGATGGAGGTCCTGCGCACGTTCCCTGCGGGGAATCTTTCCGAGGTGTGCGACAGCCCAGTCCGGCCAGGCTTCTGCCTCCCCTGTGCCTCCACCTCCACCCCCAAGGCCACAAACTCCCCGCTGGCCTCCTTCCTGAGCAGCGCCAACCGTTCAGCCGCCTCTCGGAGGTCGGTGGCCTCCAGGCGCTCGCTGGTCCACATGACCATTGACGATCTGCAGGATGTGGAGGAGGATGTGAGCGAGGACACGGGCGACGTTTTCTTCAGCACCGACGACCCCGACGACAGGGAGAGGGGGAACCGGGGTGAGGAGAGGGGGGCCAGCCGGGAGGGTGAGGAGAGGGGGGCCAGCCGGGAGGGTGAGGAGGAGGAGGGCAGCCGGGAGGGTGAGGAGGAGGGCAGCCGGGAGGGTGAGGAGGAGGAGGGCAGCCGGGAGGGTGAGGAGGAGGAGGTCAGCCGGGAGGAGGAGGTCAGCCGGGAGGGTGAGGAGGAGGTCAGCCGGGAGGGTGAGGAGGAGGTCAGCCGGGAGGTAGAGGAGGAGGTCAGCCGGGAGGTAGAGGAGGAGGGCAGCCGGGAGGGTGAGGAGGAGAGCAGCCGGGAGGGTGAGGAGGAGGGCAGCCGGGAGGGTGAGGAGGAGAGCAGCCGGGAGGGTGAGGAGGAGGGCAGCCGGGAGGGTGAGGAGGAGAGCAGCCGGGAGGGTGAGGAGGAGAGCAGCCGGGAGGTAGAGGAGGAGAGCAGCCGGGAGGTAGAGGAGGAGGACAGTGTTTTCGAGGGCTCGGGGATAAGGATCAGCAGTGAGGAGGAGCTGTCGGGAACGTTTGACCCAGAGTTGGACTCGGGGGAGCAGGTAGAGACCTTCACCATGGCTGAGGAGTCAGCTGTGGTGCTGGACATGACCAGGCCAGGGGCAGAGAGCGGGCAGGCGGGGCTGGGCTTGACCGGGGCAGAGAGCGGGCAGGCGGGGCTGGGCTTGACCAGGCCAGGGGCAGAGAGCGGGCAGGCGGGGCTGGGCTTGACCGGGGCAGAGAGTGGGCAGGCGGGGCTGGGCTTGACCAGGCCAGGGGCAGAGAGCGGGCAGGCGGGGCTGGGCTTGACCGGGGCAGAGAGTGGGCAGGCGGGGCTGGGCTTGACCAGGCCAGGGGCAGAGAGCGGGCAGGCGGGGCTGGGCTTGACCGGGGCAGAGAGCGGGCAGGTGGGGCTGGAGGGCGGCCATTACCAGCAGCTCATAAAACAGGGCAAGGAGCAGATGGAGAGAGGAGAAGCCAAGGAGGCTCTGAACTGCTTCTTGCAAGCCCTGGACCTGCAGAGTGGAGACCCTGAGGTGCAGTTAACTACCATTAGGTTGTACCGTCTGCTCAGCCAGAGCTGAGAGAGCGCAGACTCCAGCCCGGGGAGACCAGACCAGACGGAGAGGGGGGGTCAGGCACCTCTACCATACCCCACGCTTAAAAGAGTCTGAGACAACCATCCTCGATGAATCACTCAATCACCCCCCGGAGCTCACGGCTGTGGGATTTGTTTTTGCTGTGGGCAAGGTGGCTGCCTTGTTCGCCTCGAGAGATCTCTCCCCCCCCGCCCCCCGCCCCCCCCCCGCCCTCCCCCCCCACCCCCGCCCTCTCCCCCCCCACCCCCGCCCTCTCCCCCCCCCACCCTCTCCCCCCCCCACCCCCGCACTCTCCCCCCCCACCCCCGCCCTCTCCCCCTCCCCCCCCACCCCCGCCCTCTCCCCTTCCCCCCCCACCCCCGCCCGCCTTTCCAATCCAGTGCTCTCTGTCACTGACTGGAATGGAGGTGGAATAGTCTGAAAACTCCGGGAGATGAAGAGTATGTGAACTCTCTCTCTCGCTCTGTGTGGACTGATGATGATGATGATGATGATGTTGCTCTCTCTGGCAAAGCCCAGATGGGTTTCCGCACTCTCTCGGTTTGAGCCGCTGTTCGTGTCGCGTGGCTCCTGGTTGTTTCACATCTTTAATTATTAAGAATATTATTGATGATGATATGATCTCGAGTTCCCAGAGCTGTGTGTGTGTGTGTGTGTGTGTGTGTCAGTCTGAGGCTGTGCTGCTGCAGTTCTGGGGTTTGGCCACTAAGTGGCGCGGTTGAGCCGCACCTCTCGCCTGGCGGCCTCTAGTGGCCGGAGTTGGGTATTACTGTGTTGGCTGTTACTGTAAACCCCCCAATCTGTACAGTCCCCTCTGGCTCTGGGCTGTTGGGGCCTTAATAATGGGTCATTCACGGTCTGTGGTCTGTTGGGGGAGAGGAAGAGCTGAGCTGCCACACAGGAGGCAACGGCTTCAGTTTAGTTTGGGAAACAATCTCTTAGGTTTTCCACTGTGTCTGTGTGTGTTGTGTGTGTGCGCTCAGTGCTCAAAGGTGTCCATTTCTGAGTCTGTCAGTATGTCATTCCCTCTCTCTCTCTCCTCTGCTTCTTACTCTTTGCTCATAAAGGACTTTCATTGTCGGTGTAACCACAATGTCCTGTTCCCCACAAGGGTGTGTGTGTGTGTGTGTGTGTTTCTGACGAAGGACCGAAGGGTGTGGAAGAAAGCTGATGGTTGTATTTAGAAGCACTTGATTGCATTCAGCACACGTGTGTTAACTATTTCGATGTGCAAAGAACGGGAGTGAGCGAGCGAGCGCCATTGTTTTCATGGCAGATAATGACCTGACACTTTTGACAAGTGTGTCATCGTCTGTAACATGGACGGTGTGAGGAAGGCGACGCGTGTCTCTGGCGGCTTGTTTCAGCTCCTCTGATGTCTCGCATCGGTTTGGCAACAGGACCTTGTGGTCACCCTGCGCAGACCTGCTTTGCTCAGCCGAATCTCGCACAGACAGCACTGCACACGGTGTGCCTTTCCCTCCGCAGGGAATCGTTTTGTGAACGTATTTGCCGTTCAGTAACTTGTCTATTAAAAGTTGTTTTTGTATCGACCTCTGTCCTGATGACTATTTGTTCATTCAGCGCTAACGGGGAGACTCCAAAACTGCCAGGAGCAGAATATTAATAATAATCCTTGCATTTGATATAGCGCTTTTCACATCTTCTCGACGTCACAAAGTGCTTCACAGAATAGACTAAAGTGAATTGACTATATTTGTGGGTGAAATGCGGCGGCCAATTGCGCACAGCAATGTCCCACAAACATTTGTGGATTGAAAATGACCAATTTATTATTGCTTTTGGAGGGATTATTATTAGGCTCTGTGTGGAGTAAGGAAACTTGCCCAAGGTTTCGCCCTCTGCCGGGAATCCAACCCAGGTGTCTCGCTCGCAAGGCGAGGGCTCTAACCGCTGAGCTACAGGACGCCACAATATTACAGTTGGTCGTTGCTGTATTCTGCGATAAATTGCGTGAAGCACTTGTGAGACATCGTGAAAGGCGTCGTGTCAAATGCAAGGATTGCTACCCGCTCGGCTGCCTCCTCCCCTACTCCCCCATCGGACCATCATTATAAAGAGGTGGATGAAGGAGCAAACTGGAGCCTTAATAAAAACCCCAACCCCCGCTGTGTGTTTCTCAACGAGTTCGTACAACAAAAGGCCTCGTACACTTCGACTTGTACAAAAAAAGTACTTTTAATGACACTGTTGCCAAAACAGGTAAATCGTTGGTGAGACATCAATAGAAAATTAACTTTGTAATTTTAAAAAAAAGTTAAGGTATACAGCACACTTGAGGTAAACACATAATCCCTGTTTTACTTGTTTTTGAGTTTCCTCATTGCTCTCTCTGCTTCCTCCCCACCCACCACCCTTTGTGAAGCTGCCTGTGTCTGTCAGTCCCTCTGTTCACCCCCCACACAGCCCCGAACTGGAGGGAAGACCGACACCAGTGATGGACAAACTCTTCGGTTGGCCCACAAAATACACGCTGCTTGATTGACTGGTTTCTCGATAAGTGGCATAAACAAATGCTCGTTTGTGATTTCTGTGATTATTTTGTCGGCCAAGTAAAAATCTGCCACCGGATTTAAGCCCTTTGGAGCTCGTTGAGCCTTTCTCCTCTCTCTCTGTTCCTCCCCCTCCAGGATTTAGACTACCTTGTTCGTCTGGTCTCACCTCAAATGAATCTACTTGAGCTCGAGTCATTGACATCTCCCCCTCACACACACACAACCTTCTGGACAGAAGTTGCTGCTCATTGCCCGACTCTCTGGGCAGCACTTGGGAGAAGACACAGGCTTCTGTGTCCCTCAAAAAGGCTTCAGATCCAAATGGCAACCAGTGTCCAGCTCAATGTCTCAGCCGTTGGCTGCTCTCACTCAAGCAAATGGATCCATTAAACTGAGGGGGAAGGAGCAGAAGACAAACCAGAGCCACAGCACAAACACAACCTTTTCTAAACCGTGAGCATTGCTCTCCAGTCGAGGCAGAGAGAGACAGACAGAGAATGAACAACCATCAGTAGTCAGATTGTCACTAAACAAAAGGCAAAGTACTGCAGATGCAGGAAATCTGGTTATAAACACAGACATCGCTGGGAACCCGGAGGTTCAATGACCTGATGAAAGGTCGTCCACCTGAAATGTCAACTGATTTTCCTCTCCCCGTGGACCTGCCTGACCTGCTGCGAGTTCCCAGCGATTGCTGTGACTACACCAGACCGTCGAGAAAGTTGCTTTGTCCTCTGTGGAGAGCAGTGCCCGGGAGTGGGTTTGTTTGGGAGGTTGGGATCGAATCACATTTTAAAAAAGCCCGGGAGGGGAAAAGAAAGCGGGAAAGGGAATGGTGGGATTCAGGGAGACCTGTTGTTGTTGTTGTTGTTGGCTAAGGTGGGGCAGAGGCTGGGGACCATCTCCACTTGGGGAAGAAAAATAAACGAGGGGCAAAGCCATTGGCAGGTTCGTAACGGTCTATTACACGCCCACATGGTGCGTAACAGCATTACGCAACCACGGTTTGCATCGGTAATGTCAGCCCTGCAGTCCCCAACGACGCTTACAGTCCCAAACTTCAGACAGTCCTATTACAGACCCAAGTGGTATTAAAACAATATTACGATCTTAGTGTGTATTGGTATTACAGGCCTGTGTGCCCTGTAATGGAATGACAGACCCCCACACCCCGTGAATTGGTATCGCAGCCCCACAAGTTTTCCTGTTTGGTTTAAAAATAGAAACAGCAATTATAAAACACACCTCCCCGTTGTCATTATTCTACATAAAGATATAAATAGTTCACAGCGAGCTTTGTGTCCTCGCTACCAAATAAGAGAGGGACGTCACTCTCGCGCTACCCCAACCCCCTGCCACCCCCCACCACCCCCGTCTCTGCTTCCTTTGGCCGTGACAGGCAAATCGATGGCTTGAAGGGATGGAGCTGTTACGAGCCCGACCACAAAAGCCATTCACATTAAATATGCCATCATTACAACCCTCTCCTGCCTCTCTCTCTCTCGCTCTCTCCTCCTGGGAATAATACATGTAATGCAATGCACCAGCTGCCAATTCATTCTGTGTTTTTTGTTGTAAATTAAAAAATACACCCACGGGTGCATCTTTATTCCATTTGAGTTTTATTTACCCGGGAAATGCATTGGGGGATGAATTAAGCAGGATCTCTGCTCTCGACAATAACTATCTAATCAAAGGAACTATGTACAGAAAAGCAAGTAAAACTTGGAAGGGGGGCGGGGGAGTAAAAAACTACTGCGCCCGTTTATTAACCCGTCTCTCTCTCTCTCTCTGTCCAGCCTCAAATTCTCAAAACGTTTCCAAACTGACCCCGAAATCCTAGCAAACCTTTTTTTTGGGGTGGGGGGTGGGTGGGGTGTCTGACACACGCGGAAACAAATCACTGTTGCTTAAGAGTCTCCAAATCCAACTGAGAATTCCAGGCCTCCCACCCACACCTGGAAATCCCGGAGAGAGAGGTGGTTGGAATGGAAGTCTCTCTCTCTCTCCCTCGGAGGGAGGCTTCCTGCTGACCTAATTCCGGAGAGTATTATGCGCAGGTTGGCGAGAGCCAAGGCTTGTGTGTGGGAGTGGGGGTGTGGGGAGAGCCCAGAGTGTGCGTTGGGGGTAAATGCTAAATCCACACATCGCTTGGCCATTGGTATCACTGTCGGGACAACCTTTCCCGCTGCTGGGACCACCCTCCCCGTTAGTTAGGGCTTTGGCTGGTGGGTTAGTCGGTTGGGTTTCAAATATAAAGAGATCGGGAGGAGTTGTGAATTTTTTTTTAATCTGGTTTAATTTGGACAATTCTGTTTTTTTTTAATTGAATTGCAGAGAAAAAATTACCTTGGAATTCAGATTTACTCAAAGACTGTAGCATACCCACAATTTTACAGCCATTTTATCCTTTCTTTGCTCCACCCCACCCCACAACACTCTCCCAGCTGCTGCCTATCTCTCCGTCCTGTTGCTCACCATCTCACTCCGTGAATCACTTTGCCCAAAATAAGATTCACATTGTCTATTACGTACACTGGAGAATTAGTTTTTTCATGTCCACACACACACGCACGCGCACACACACTCACGCACGCACTCACTCACACACACACACTCGCGCACACAAACTCGCGCACACACACACACACTTGCAAAAACACACACTCGGCCCTACACTCGTCCACACACACAGACAGACTCGCTCGGACACACACAGACTCACCCATACATACTCACACACACACACAAACTCGCCCCAACACACACCTTCACCAAAGTTGAGAGCAAACAGCTTAGCCAAACTGTGAGCATCGTCTAGTGGGGAAACTTACTGAGTCGGGGTGGGGGGGGGGGTGGGGGAGAGTTTGGTCGCATGGTTGCGGGAGGACGGGGGGCTGTTTGGCTGCAGGGAGGAGGGGGGGCGGAGCCAGGAGAGGAGAGGAGAGAAAAGCTCAATTTATTCCCAGTTCTATTCTTAAATATATATATTAAAAAAGTGCTGAAACCTGTTTCTTTCGTGAGCAGTAAAAGCGCTTTGAGCGATCGCAATGTGGAGGTGACTTTACACCCCCCGACGGAGGGGAGATGAACACAGCTCTCAGCTCCCGACCCACAGCCAACACGGGGGGGGGGGGGGAACAGCGGGGCGGGGGGTCAGTCCTTGTGAATCAGACAGAAAGTCCTTGCTGAAAAGACAGTTTGGCTTCCAATTAAGCTGACAGCAAGGACACAGATCCTGAAGTTTCAGCCCAGATCCCGACACAATGGCTTTGTTTGTTTGTTTGTTTGTGGTTTTGCTGTTGTCTCACAGCGCTCAGTTGTATGGGGTGGTGTTGGGGGGGGGGGGGGGGGGGTTGGGTGGTATGGTGGGTAGTGGTGGGGGAGTGGGGGAGAGAGAGTAAGAGAGAGAGAGGGCCCAGTGTACGCTCCTTACAGCTCTGTTTTGTTGCTCGGTCGCTGTCTGGCCGGTGTGCGGTTGACTCGCTCGGTGGCTGCCTGGAGCGGGGGCATGATTCCCGCGTCTGACTGTCTGTAAGTCTGTCTGTCCGTCCGTCCGTCCTCCACCTCCCCCCCACCTCAAACCCACTTCAGTCGGAGTCAGACAAGACAATGATCTCCTCCGGGTCACACTGTGTCGCCACATTCACCTGAAGAGACACGGACAGACGAGCGATTAACACACAAACACACACCCCCCGACCCTCAGCGCACACACACACACACACCCCCCGACCCTCAGCACACACACACACATGCTCCGACCCTCAGCACACAAACACGCCCCGACCCTCAGCACACACACACACACCCCGAACCTCAGCACACACACACACACCCAACCCTCAGCACACACACACACACCCCACCCTTTCTCTCTCTCCTCCCCACCCCCTGCCCTTTTATTTTCCCACCAGATGGTGGAAAGTCTTGCAGCCCGGCTTGAACAAATTTTATTTGGGGGGATTGTTGGCTGGGACACCGGGGGAGAGAGGGGGGGGGAATCTCCCTTCTCCACCTGAACAGGCAGACGGGACCTCAGTTCAGCTTCTCACCCGAAGGACAACACCTTCGACAATGCAGCCGGTGCTCTCTCCTCCCAGCACTACACTGGAGCGTCAGCCCAGACCGGTGGAGAGGGTGGGGGTATGTGGGAGGAGAGGGGGTTCCAACATTTTGGCTGCCGAGGGCCAGATGCCCCGTTTGAGAAGCTTTCCGCTGGCTGCTTAAGCAATATTTTTGTGTTTCCCGGCCGGACACAAAATCAACCCTGGGCCGCATGCGGCCCATGGGCCACCGGTTGGACACAACGTGCCTCCAAGTCCCAACGTGGGGCTTGAACCCTCTGACGGAGAGGAGAGAGAACACTGCTACTGAGCCACAGGGTCAATAAGGGGGTTGCCAGGAGGGAGGTTGAGGCCAGACGCTGGGACTCGATGCTGTGATGGAGGGGCAGAGCGGGGGGGGGGGAGGAGAAAATGCCCAGAGAGGTGGGGCAATGGCTGTCTCAGCGATGGGTGATGGGCTTCAGCCCCCCACCCCTGCACTCTCTGCTCCTTACCCCAACCCCCAATCCCCCTCCCCTGCTCCACCTCCCCCCCCACCTGACAGAGTCCCGAGGAGGAAAGAAAGGCATAAATTAATGAAAACCCTTTTACCCTTTCGTGCCTTACAGGGCTGGGCTGTGAGCTGCTGAGAGCAGACACCGCGCTCTTCACCCCCTCACACGTCACCAGGCCCCCCGCCAGCTCCTCCGAGCCTTCGTCTGACTCCATCAGCTCGATCACCTCCACACCACTGTGTGCCCATTCATCAGAGAAACCAGAGAGATTTAGTGAGAGAGAGAGACGGGGAGGAGAGAGAGAGAGAGAGGGGATACAAGACAACTCATTTTATAAATACAACAACCACCACAACAAAATTACATTTGATGTAGTGCCTTTCACGTCGGGAGGACATCCCAAGGCACTGGACAGACAGAGTTACGGACCTGAGCTGGGGGTCGGGGTGGGGAGGGGTAAGCGGGGAGTTTGAAAGCCTGATCGAAGAGGAATGTCTTGAGTTGAGTGTTGAAGGTGGTGAGGGAGGGAGGGGGCGAGGCAGAGGGACTGTGGGATGGAGTTCCAGAGGGTGGGGGCAGAGTGGCAGAAGGCCCACCCGCCGATAGTGGAGCGAGCGAAGTGAGGGACATGAAGCAGCCCAGAGGCCGCTGAGCGGAGGGAGCGAACAGGATGGTAGGGGGTTAGGAGGTCGGAGAGGTGCCGGGGGGGGGGGGAAGGAGAGAGCGAGGCCATGGAGAGCTTTGATGATGAGGACCAGGATCTTGAACCGTATCCTCTGTGTGAAAAGCCAGTGGAGTCGGGCGAGGATGGGGGTGATGGGGTCACGGAGTTTGGCGCAGGAGAGGACACGGGCTGCAGAATTCTGGATGATCTGCAGCCTGTGGAGGGAGGAGTTGGGGAGGCCGACCAGCAGGGAATTTGTGTAGTTGAACCTGGATGTAATGAAGGTGTGTATGAGGGTCTCGGGGGCCTGCTGTGTTAGACAGTGCTGGAGCCGGGTGATGGTGCAGAGGTGGGGAAGGCAGAGCGGGTCATGGCGCAGATTTGGGGTAGAAAGGATAGTTGAGGGTCAAACAAGACACCAAGGTTCTAGACCGGCTCAGCAAGATGGAGTGTTCAACCATGGATGGTGATGCTGTCAGCGTCTGTGGTGACGAGAGGCGGTGGATGAGGATAGAGTGGTCAACAGTGTTGAAGGCAGCAGAGAGGTCAAGGAGGATGAGGAGGCAGAGGGAGCCATGGTCACAGATGGACAGAATGTCATTGGTCACTTTGACCAGGGCGGTTTCTGTGCTGTGGGCGGCAGGGAAGTGGGGCGAGTGAGGCATGAAGCAGGCCGGAGCCCGCTGAGCGGAGGGAGGGAGGGAGCGAACAGGATGGTAGGGGGTTAGGAGGTCGGAGAGGTAGGGGGGAGCAAGAACATGGAGGGCTTTGAGGGGTTCGAGAAGGGAGTGGTGAGAGAGGAAGGAGCAAAGCTGGGAAGCAACAACTCGTTCCAGGATCTTGGAAAGGAATAGAACTAACTGATATTCAACTTTAACCAAACCCCCAAACAATATTAATCCTTGCATTTCATACAGCATCTCATCACGTCTTCAAGACATCTCAAACCACGTCACAGAACATACTGTGAAGTGAATTGACTGTATATTTTGGGGGTGAAACACAGCAGCCAATTGCGCACAGCAGCGTCTCACAGACAGTCATGGATTGAGTGACCAAATCATTATTATTTCTGATTTAATATTAATAATAGGTCTTGCTCCTCCCTACCTCTGTGACTAAAACATTACCAATCTGTCCGCTCCATGTCCTCACCCTGCCCCCCCCAACCCATCGGCGGTCCGACCTGCAGCCTCTCTGGCTCCACCATCTGGACCTTCACCCCACAGGTCCTCCTTCAAGGCCCATCTTAAGACCTTCCCCTTTGATCATTTTATGACTGTATATTTTTGTGGGCAAAACACGGCAGTGAATTGCGCACAGCAGTGTCCCGCAAACAGTCGCGGATTGAGCGACCAAATTATTAATAGTAATTTTTTTATGATTATTACCTCTGGAAAAGCAATCCGCCAATTGACTAACTACCGTATTCCTACTTACTGCTGGGCAAACAGAGGACTAAGGAAACTTGCGCAACGTTCCCCCCCCTCCCATCCCCCGGGCCCGGGAATCAAACCCAGGTCTCTCGCTTGTGAGGCGAGGGCTCTAACCCCTGGGCTACAGGACGAGTGCACGCGGTTTAGCTGGTTAAACCCAAAGCCTAAACTCTTGCCAATCTGTGCCAAACACTGTCCGGCATTAGCTAACCGATGTGTGTCTCTCCGAGGGGGACTGTGCATTACTTCCTATCCCTAGCCCGGGGTGGGGGGGGGCAATTTCCACTCATAAGACTTACCAGTCCTGTGCTCCGACCTCCCTCTTAACCCGCTTGGTGATGGGGGAGGCTCCGTGGTTGGTAGATTCCCGCTTCCTGCCGTTCACTGCGGTCAGACACGTCTCTGGTCTCTGCGCGTGTCGCTCCTGCATCTTCCCGGAGCACGGCTCGTCTCGTGCGGCTTTTTCATCCGCCCGCAGCTCCGTGTCCCGGGGGCGTGGGGGGGCCAGGCTGTTTGTGCTTGGGGCCGACTCTGGCTCGTGTTCGGGGGGAGGGCTCTGGCTCTCCCCCTGGCGGGGGTCTGAGCGAACGCTTGGGGGGTTAGTGTCCTGGGGGCTGAGCCCATGTAGTTCTCTGGCTTCCGTCGCCTTCTCGTGGTCAAACATCAGGGGGCTGCCCCCCTCGCTGGCCCCGCCCCCATTCTTGGAGTCCCGCCCCTCCTCTGCCGTTGCGGGGGTGACAGCCCCGCCCTCGCTGGTGCTTCCCGTTCCTGTCTCGGTCGCCGTTGCCGCGGTGATGGGGGAAGGCTCACCATGGGCCCCAGACCCCCCCACCGCGATGGGGACAGCTGCACACTTGTGGCCGCTGCCCCCTGGGGGCCCCTCCCCTGCTCCGCGCTCCCTGTCCGCGCTGACCCCTCCCTCTCCCTCGGGCTCCTCCTCCTCCTTGCCCCCGTTCAGACGGTGAGTCTCCTCCTCCTCGCTGACCCTGCTCTCCTCCTCGTCCGAAGAGGCCACAGACTCGTCAGACGGCTCCCCCTCCTCGGCCTCGCTGCCCGCCAGTTTCTCCTCTGAAACGACAATGTTAGGAAGAAACGGGTGAGGATAGGAGGCAGCCATTTTTGGTGCTGGCGTGTGACCCACAAATCAATGTGGCCATCTTTGGTGCTGGCATGGAGCATGCACAATGATGCAGCCATCTTTGATGCTGGCACATCGTCAACACATTCAGGCAGCCATCTTTGATGTGGGCACAGAACCACTGCCAGGCAGCCACCTTTGATGCTGGCATGTAGGCAACACTTATCTGACTGAGCGTTTCACCCACAAAATATACAGTCAATTCACATTACAGTATATTCTGTGATGTGTGGGAGAGAGAGAGAACACACCTTATAAATATGGCTGATTTGCAGCTTTAACCGAAACCCCGTTAATAATCCTCGCAAATTGATATAGCGCCTTATCACATCGTTGAGACGTCTCAAAGCGATTCACGTAAAGTGAATTGACTGTATATTTTGTGGGCAAAGCGCAGCAGCCAATTGCACGGAGTAGTGTCCGACAAACAGTGGTGGATTGAGTGACCGCGGGCGAGAGAGAGTGAGAGAGAACATGCGAGAAAGACAGAGTGCTAGGGAGTGAGAGCGGGCGAGAAAGACAGGGCGCTAAGTGTGCAAGAGAAAGAAATGCGCAAGAAATAGCGCACAAGAGTGATAGCTTGTGTGAGAACAATATGAACTGACAGCGAGCAGAGAGAGCACCCACCCCCTACACCCAGCATTACCTTCCTGTGCCTCCTCCTCACCCTCTGCCTCCTCTGGGATTTTGGCCAGCTCCTCCTCTATGTCGGGATCAGATGACAGGTCATCTTCCTCTTCCTCCTCATCATCCTCCTCTTCCTCCTCCTCTTCCTCTTCCTCCCCGTCCTCCTCCTCCGATCCCATTGCATCCTGCCTCTCCTCCGGCTTTCCCTCCGGCTCTCCCCCCCTCGTCCTCTCCTCTGGGTCCGTGCTGTCAGGGGCTGGGGTGGGGCTGGTGGTGGACGATGGCTCAGCTGGGGTGGTGGGAGTGGGCTCCGGGGCGGAGGCCGCCTGTAGCAGTTTTTTCTGCCGCCTCCTCTCCTCCTCCTCGATCTCGCCCACGTCCTGGATTCCTGCGTATTTCTTCACCACCTCGTCCAGGTGGCTCATGGCCAGCGAGCGGTTCGCTTTCAGACGCTTGTCCAGCCCGGTGTCCATCAGCGCAGGGTCCTTACCTGGGAACGCAGCAGCACAACGCTTAGTAATAATAACAACAATAATAATCCTTGCAATAATAATCTTTTGCATATGATACTAAGCTGGAGAAGTCGTAAACAGTGAGGAGGACAGTAGCCGACTGCAAGTGGACACAGACAGACTGGTAACTGGTTCTCCCTTTCCTCCTTCAAGGCCGGTCTCAAGACCTTTCTCTTTGACCGTGCATTCAGCTCCTCTCTCGACTCTCTACCCGCTCCTCGCTCCCTCCCCTCACCCTGACCATTTCCCCCCTGCTCGGGTCCTGACCCAACTGTACAGCGCCTTGGGACGTCCTCCCGACGAGAAAGGCGCTCAATAAATGGAATATTGTTGTTGTTGTAACATGGGCAGACACGTGGCAGATGAGGTTTAATGCGGAGAAATGCGAAGTAATACATTTTGGGATGAAGAATGAGGAGAGGCAATATAATCTGATGGTACAATACTCAGGGGTATGAAGGAACAGAGAGACCTGGGGGCTCATATAAGTAAATGTTTGAAGGTGGCAGGATAGGTAGATAAAGCTGTTATAAAAGCATACAGGATACTGGGCTTTATAAGTAGGGGCATAGAATGCAAAAGTCAGGAAGTTATGATGAACCTTTATAAAACACTGATTAGGCCTCAGCGAGAGACTGTGTTCAGTTCTGAGCACCACACTTTAGGAAGGATGTCAAGGCATTGGAGAGGGTGTAGAGGAGATTTATCAGGATGGAACCAGGAATGAAGGACTTCAGTTATCAGGAGGCTAGAAAAGTTAGGATTTTTTAGGATTTAGAAAAGTTGTCCAGAGAAAGTTAAGATGAGACTTAATAGAAGTTTTCAAAATTATGAGGGGATTCGATAGGGTGAACACGGAGAAACTATTCCCACTGGCGGTGGGTCGGGAACCCGAGGACACCGATTTGAAATAGTTGTTAATAGAAACAGTGGGGAGGTGAGGAGACATTTTTTCACACAGCGAATTGTTCAGATCTGGAATGCACTGCCTGAAAGGACGGTGGAAGCCAATCTGATAACAACTTTTAAGAGAGAAGTAAATAATTATTTGGGGAGGACAAGTTTGCAGAGCTATGGGGAGAGATGCGGGGGAGTGGGATTGATCTGGATAGCTCTTTTAAAAGCGCCGGCCCAGACGCGATGGGTCGAATGGCCTCCTTCTATGCTGTATTATTCTATGATTCTATGATACAGTGGCTTATCACATCTCCGAGACGTCTCAAAGCGTTTCACATAATATAAAGTAAAATGAATTAACTGTGTATTTTGTGGGCGAAACACGGCAGCCAAGTGAGCACAGCGGCGTCCCACAAACAGCTGTGGATTGAGTGACCAATTTATTATTTTTGAAGGAATTATTACCCCCGGATAAACGATCCGCCAATCGACTAACAACAGGGTTCCCCTTTGCTGGGTAAACAGAGGCGTGTGTGGAGTGAGGAAACTTGCCTAACTTCTCTCCCTGCACGGGAGTTGAACCCGGGTCCTCTCACTTGCGAGTCGAGGGCTCTAACCACCGAGCTACAGGCCTCCAGATACACTGAAGGTACCCGACTGCTGATGGCAGGGCAGATGGGGTGGGGGGACGTGAAGCCGACCATGGGGGTTGGGTGGTGGTTACGACAAGGGGCGTCTCTGATCTCCGACCCACCTGGTTTGTAATCGTCTGTGAGGTGGCTGCCAAAGTTATAGACCAGGTCCAGGTGCCTCCTCTCCTGTAGGCGGTTGCCCACCTCCCTGAAGGCATCCTGGGCCATGCTCTGGATGTGCCTCTGGCCCAGGCCCAGGCCGTGCCTGGCGTTGGCCTTGGTGATGATGTTGCGAATGTCCTGGTAGTCGGGGAAGTTGTCGGGCTTGTTGATGAACCTCTCGACCCGCCGGTTGACCTCGGGGTAGCGGGTGCCCGTGAAGGCGATGCGCTGCTCGATGACCCGGCCGGTCAGGCTGGAGCAGCTCTTCAGCTCGCACAGCTTCTGGAAGATCTTCACCATCTTCTTCTTCAACCGATGCTCCTGGATGTAGACTGAATCCTCGTCCTCCAGCTGGTTCAGGTCCAGCTCCTTCTCCTGCAGGCGCCGGATCTCATTGGTGTAGACGCTCAGCAGGTTCTCCAGGTAGCGGATCTGCCGGCGGGAGCCCCCCCCGGAGCGCTTCCGGTCGGGGGCCGGGGCCTTGAGCTGGTCGCCCCGGCCCTCCGGCCCCCCGTCGCGGCCCGTAATCATCGCCGTTGCCGCGACTGCCCCCAGCGCTGCCTTGGTCTTCTGGGAGTTGGCCTTCAGGGCCGTGCACAGCTCCTTGATGTAGACAAAGACTTTGCTCCTCTTGCTCTGCACCCGGGTCAGGCAGCGGCCCAGCACGTTCCGGAACTCGGTGGAGGAGAGGTAGGCCCCGAAGGCCTTGCTGTACTTCTTCTCCAGGAAGTTGATCACCTCCGGGTTCTCCTCCGTCAACGTTCGGCAGAAGTCCACAAACTGTGTGAGAGAGAGAGAGAGGGGAGGGGGTTACGTTAGATACAATAATCTGACACAGCGCCTTATCACGTCGCTGGGACGTCTCAAAGCGCTTCACAGGACAGGCTATGAGGTGGAGTGACCGTGTGTTTTGTGGGCGAAACGTGGCAGACAACTGCGCCCGGCAGCGTTCCCCCCACCCGACAAACCGTCATGGAAAAGTGATCCATCAGTCGGCTTGCTGCCGGATAAATAAAGTCGTGTGGAGTGGAGTAAAGGAAACTTACCCAAAGACACACAGACTGTCAGTCAGACACACACAGTCAGTCAGCAACAACGTCAAATTACATTTGTATCAGGTCAGGAGGACGACCCAAGGCGCTGACTGTGTGTGTGTGACTGACTGTGTGTGTGAGACTGTATGTGTCTGGCAGTGTGTGTGTGAGACTGTATGTGTGTGACTGTGAGTGTGAGAGACTGTATGTGTGTGACTGTGTGAGTGTGAGAGACTGTATGTGTGTGACTGTGTGAGTGTGAGAGACTGTATGTGTGTGACTGTGTGAATGTGAGAGATGGGCTGAACGCGTGCGTGTGCAGTGTGTCTCATGTGCGCAGTCCGTAGCACGCAATACGTCTCTTGAGACGGACAGCGCATGCGCGAGACAGACTGCTGTGTGCGAGACGGACTGTGTATGAGACAGACTGACTGTGTGCGACTGTGTGTGTGACTGACTGTGACTGCATGTGACTGTGTGTGTGTGAATGACTGACTGACTGTGTGTGAGACTGACTGTGTGTGCGCGCGTGTGTGTGTGACTAACTGTAACTGTGTGTGACTGACTGTGGCTGTGTTTATGACTGACTGTGTGTGAATCAATGTGTGCGTGACTGACTGTAACTGTGTGTGTGACTATGTGCGTGTGTCTGCCTGTGACTGTGTGTGTGTGTGACTGACTATGTGTGTGTCTGTGTGTGTGTGTGACTGACTGTGTGCATGTGTGTGATTAACTGACTGTGTGTGTCTTAATGTGTGTGTGACTGACTATGACTGTGTGCGACTGACTGAGACTGTGTGTGTGTGACTGACTGTGACTGTGTGTGTGACTGTGTGTATGTGACTCTGTGTGTGACTGTGTGTTTGCGTGACTCTGTGTGTGCGTGTGTGACTGGCCGTATGTATGTGTCTGACTGTCTGCTTGTGCGTAATTGACTGTGACTGTGTTGTGTGACTGACTGACTGTGTGTGATTGACTGTGACTGTGTGTGACTGACTGTGACTGTGTGTGACTGACTGTGACTGTGTGTGTGTGTGTGACTGACTGAGTATGTGTGTGACCGACTGTGACTGTGTGTATGTGGGACTGAATGTGACTGTGTGTGCGTGTGACTGACTGTGTGTGTGACTGACTGTCTGCGTGTGCGTGATTGACTGTGACTGTGTGTGTGACTGACTGTGTGACTGACTGTCTGCGTGTGCGTGATTGACTGTGATTGTGTGTGTGTGACTGACTGTGACTGCGTGTGTGCGATTGACTGAGACTGTGTGTGACTGACTGCGCGCGCGTGACTGACTGTGTGTGTGACTGACTGTCCGTGTGTATGTGATTGGCTGTGACTGTGTGTGTGAGACTGTGTGTGACTGACTGTAACTGTGTGTGTGACTTTGTGTGTGTGTGTGTGTTTGACTGTGACTGTGTGTATGTGTGTGTGACTGTGTGCGTGACTGACTGACTGTGTGTGTGACTAACTGACTGTGTTGGGGTAGCGAATTCCATACATTCACCACCCTTTGAGTGAAGAAGTTCTTCCTCAACTGCCCTTTGATGATCTTATAGGTTTCTATAAGATCCCCTCTAATTCTCAAATTGTTCAGCCTATCCTCGTAACTCATCCCCTTCATCCCTGGTACTAACCCAGTAAATCTACGCTGCTCCCCCTCCGAGGCAAGTACATCCTTCCTTAAATGAGAAGACCAAAACTGCCCCCAGTATTCCAGGTGTGGTCTCACCAGAGTCCTATACAGTGGCAGCAACACTTCCCTACTCTTATACTCTAATCCTTTCATACTGAACGCTAACATACCGTTCCCCTTCCTAATTGCTGCTGCACCTGCAGACTAACTCTCTGTGACTGGTGTACAAGGACACCCGAGTCCCTCTGGACACTGACACATTCCAATCTCTCCCCTTCTAAACGATAATCCGCTCTACTGTTTTTGCTACTGAGGCGGATGACTTCGCACTCCCTACATTATACTTCATCGGCACCTACCTGCCCAGTCACCTCACCTCTCTATGTCTCACTGCATTGTTTTTAATGTCGTCCTCTGTGTTGACACTTCCTCCTCGTTTTGTTTTGTGTCATCCGCGAATTTAGATATATTAACTTCGATGTCCACATCAGATCGTTGGGGTAGATGGTAAATAGCTGAGGCCCAGGGACTGATCCTTGTGGCCCTCCACTAGTCACATCCCACCAATCCGAAAAGGACCCGTTTATCCCTAATCTGTGTTTCCGACCCGTTAACCGTTCCCCAATCCACGTTAATATGCTCTCCCCAATTCCATGGGCCCTTATCTTTTGGACTAACCTTTTGTGCGGCACCTTATCGAATGCCTTCTGGAAGTCAAAATAGACCACATCCACTGATTCACCCATATCCACTTTACTGGAAATGTCCTCAAAAAACTCTCTGAGATTTGTCAAACATGACTTCCCTTTTGTAAAGCCGTGTTGACTCGGCCTAATTATATTGTGCCCTAAATACCGCACTACCACATCCTTAATCAACGATTCTAAAATGTTTCCCATCACTGATGTGAGACTAATTGGTCTATAGTTCCCCATCTTTTCCTTTCCCCCTTTTTAAACAGTGGTGTGACATTTGTGATCTTCCAGTCCATGGGCACTGCTCCAGAATCCAAGGAATTTTGGAAGATCAGACACAAGGTGTGTGTGACTGACTGTCTGCGTGTGCATGACTGACTATGACTGTGTGTGTGTGTGACTGTGTGTGACTGACTTTAACTGTGTGTGTGTGACTGTTTGTGTGTCTGTCTGTGAGTATGCGTGTGTGTGACTGACTGTGTGTGTGTGTGACTGTGTGTGTCTGTCTGTGAGTATGCGTGTGTGTGTGTGTGACTGACTGTGTGTGTGTGACTGTGTGTGACTGACTGTGTGTGTGACTGTGTGTGTGTCTGCTGTGACTGTGTGTGTTGTGATTGTGACTTTGTGTATGTGTGACTGTTTGTGACTGTGTATGTGTGTGAGACTGTGACTGCATGTGTCAGACTGACTGTGGGTGTGTGTGTGATTGACTGTGTGTGTGTCTGAATGTGTGTGTGACTGACTGTGACTGTGTGGTGGTGTGACTGTCTGAGACTGTTGTGTGTGTGACTGGGTGTGTGACTGACTGTGACTGTGTGTGTGACTGACTGTGTGTGTGAGACTCACTGTGACTGTGTGTGTGTGACTGACTGTGTGTGTGAGACTGTGTGACTGACTGACTGCGTGTGTGACTGACTTTGTGTGACTGACTGTGTGTGTGACTGTGTGTGTGAGACTGTGTGTGTTTGTGTGACTAACTGTGTATGCGACTCACTGTGTGTGTGTGTGAGACTGTGTGTGCGTGACTGTGTGTGTGTGACTGACTGTGTGTGTGTGACTGTGTGTGTATGACTAGGTGTGTATGACTAGGTGTATGTGTGTGACTGACTGGTGACTGTATGTATGTGTGTGTGAATGTGTGTGTGACTGACTGTGTGTGTGTGTGACTGTTTGTGTGAGACTGTGACTGTTTGTGTGAGACTGTGAGTGTGTCTGTGTGTGTGTGTCTCTCTGTGTGTGTGTGAGACTGTGTGTGTATGTGTGACTGACTGTGTGTGTGTATGTGTGACTGACTGTGTGTGTGTATGTGTGACTGACTGTGTGTGTGTGTATGTGTGAATGACTGTGTGTGTGTGTGTATGTGTGACCGTGTGTATGTGTGACTGACTCTGTGTCTGACTGTGTATGTGTATGTGTGACTGACTCTGTGTGTGACTGACTGTGTGTGTGTGTGTAGTTGGGAGTACAATGTGACTGACTGTGTGTGTGTGTGTGTATGTGACTGACTGTGTATGTGTGACTGACTGTGTGTGTGACTGACTGTGTGTGTGTGACTGACTGTGTGTGACTGACTGACTGTGTGACTGTGACAGTGTGTGACTGACTGTGTGTGTGACTGTGTGACTAACTGTGTGACTGTAACAGTGTGTGACTGTGTGTGACTGTGTGTTACAGTGTGTGACTGTGTGTTACAGTGTGTGACTGTGTGTTACAGTGTGTGACTGTGTGTTACAGTGTGTGACTGTGTGTGTGTGTGACTGTGTGTGACTGTGTGTGTGACTGTGTGTGTTACAGTGTGTGACTGTGTTACAGTGTGTGACTGTGTGTGTTTCAGTGTGTGACTGTGTGTTACAGTGTGTGACTGTGTGTGACTGTAACAGTGTGTGACTGACTGTGTGTGTGACTGTCTGTGTGTGTGACTGTGTGACTGACTGTGTGTGTGACTGTCTGTGTGTGTGACTGTGCGACTGACTGACTGTGTGACTGTGACAGTGTGTGACTGACTGTGTGACTGTGTGGCAGTGTGTGACTGACTGTGTGTGTGACTGTGACAGTGTGTGAGAGGGCAGACCAGGCCCGGGGCCCGGGGCCTCCCCCCGGGGTCTCACCTCGGTGAAGAGCCTCTGGTTCTCCCTCAGGACGAGGCCGCGCTCGCGCTGCCGCTGCTCCTCCATCAGCGCCTCCCCCGCCAGCTCCACCCCGGTCAGGATGGCGCTGAGCTCGACCGGAACCGGGACGGGTACCGGGGGCTGCAGGTGGAGCCTCCGCTGGGAGCCAGGCCCCGGCTGGGCCCCGGGTGAGGCCTGGGCCTCGGGTTTCTCCTCCTCCTCTTCCTCATCGTCTGTCAGCAGGTTGACGATGCCGTCGCCCCCCGGTGTCTCCATGGGCAGCGGGTTGGCTCCCGTGCCGTGTGGCTAATGGCGGCGGTGGTGGCGGCGGGGGGTCAGTCAGCGCGCGACGCGATGCGGTCCGTAACCGCCATCACACAAATCCCAGCCCCGCTGTAACCGCCTCTCCCATTGGTCCGCCTCCCACCGTGGCCGCCTGTAACCACCTCACCCATTGGTCCGCCTCCCACCGTGGCCGCCTGTAACCACCTCACCCATTGGTCCGCCTCCCACCGTGGCCGCCTGTAACCACCTCACCCATTGGTCCGCCTCCCACCGTGGCCGCCTGTAACCGCCGCTTCCATTGGTCGGCCTCTGCCTCACCCACTAGACGCCTGTAACCGCCGTTTCCATTGGTCCGGCGTACCCACTATCTGCCTCCAACAGCCACTACCATTGGCTGAATACCATTGGCTGGCTGTAATCCTTCAATTTTCATTGGCTGGTTTCACGCACTGGCTGACTCTCGCTGGCCGCCATGGCCAGTGCTCTCACTGGCCCCATGGCCAGCTGTGGCTGGTACTCTCACTGGCCCCATGGCCAGCTGTGGCTGGTGCTCTCACTGGCCGCCATGGCCAGCTGTGGCTGGTGCTCTCACTGGCCGCCATGGCCAGCTGTGACTAGTGCTCTCACTGGCCCCATGGCCAGCTGTGGCTGGTGCTCTCACTGGCCGCCATGGCCAGCTGTGACTAGTGCTCTCACTGGCCCCATGGCCAGCTGTGGCTGGTACTCTCACTGGCCGCCATGGCCAGCTGTGGCTGGTGCTCTCACTGGCCGCCATGGCCAGCTGTGGCTGGTGCTCTCACTGGCCGCCATGGCCAGCTGTGACTAGTGCTCTCACTGGCCCCATGGCCAGCTGTGGCTGGTGCTCTCACTGGCCGCCATGGCCAGCTGTGACTAGTGCTCTCACTGGCCCCATGGCCAGCTGTGGCTGGTGCTCTCACTGGCCCCATGACCAGCTGTGGCTGGTGCTCTCACTGGCCGCCATGGCCAGCTGTGACTGGTGCTCTCACTGGCCCCATGGCCAGCTGTGGCTGGTGCTCTCACTGGCCGCCATGGCCAGCTGTGACTAGTGCTCTCACTGGCCCCATGGCCAGCTGTGGCTGGTGCTCTCACTGGCCCCATGACCAGCTGTGGCTGGTGCTCTCACTGGCCGCCATGGCCAGCTGTGACTAGTGCTCTCACTGGCCCCATGGCCAGCTGTGGCTGGTGCTCTCACTGGCCCCATGACCAGCTGTGGCTGGTGCTCTCACTGGCCGCCATGGCCAGCTGTGACTGGTGCTCTCACTGGCCCCATGGCCAGCTGTGGCTGGTGCTCTCACTGGCCGCCATGGCCAGCTGTGGCTGGTGCTCTCACTGGCCGCCATGGCCAGCTGTGGCTGGTGCTCTCACTGGCCCCATGGCCAGCTGTGACTAGTGCTCTCACTGGCCCCATGGCCAGCTGTGGCTGGTGCTCTCACTGGCCCCATGACCAGCTGTGGCTGTGCTCTCACTGGCCGCCATGGCCAGCTGTGGCTGGTGCTCTCACTGGCCGCCATGGCCAGCTGTGGCTGGTGCTCTCACTGGCCGCCATGGCCAGCTGTGGCTGGTGCTCTCACTGGCCGCCATGGCCAGCTGTGGCTGGTACTCTCACTGGCCGCCATGGCCAGCTGTGGCTGGTGCTCTCACTGGCCGCCATGGCCAGCTGTGACTGGTGCTCTCACTGGCCCCATGGCCAGCTGTGGCTGGTGCTCTCACTGGCCGCCATGGCCAGCTGTGGCTGGTGCTCTCACTGGCCGCCATGGCCAGCTGTGGCTGGTGCTCTCACTGGCCCCATGGCCAGCTGTGACTAGTGCTCTCACTGGCCCCATGGCCAGCTGTGGCTGGTGCTCTCACTGGCCCCATGACCAGCTGTGGCTAGTGCTCCCATTGGGTAGATGTGACTAGTGCTCTCACTGGCCGCCATGGCCAGCTGTGGCTGGTGCTCTCACTGGCCGCCATGGCCAGCTGTGGCTGGTGCTCTCACTGGCCGCCATGGCCAGCTGTGGCTGGTGCTCTCACTGGCCGCCATGGCCAGCTGTGGCTGGTACTCTCACTGGCCGCCATGGCCAGCTGTGGCTGGTGCTCTCACTGGCCGCCATGGCCAGCTGTGACTAGTGCTCTCACTGGCCCCATGGCCAGCTGTGGCTGGTGCTCTCACTGGCCCCATGGCCAGCTGTGGCTGGTGCTCTCACTGGCCCCATGGCCAGCTGTGGCTAGTGCTCTCACTGGCCCCATGGCCAGCTGTGGCTGGTGCTCTCACTGGCCCCATGACCAGCTGTGGCTAGTGCTCCCATTGGGTAGATGTGACTAGTGCTCTCACTGGCCGCCATGGCCAGCTGTGGCTGGTGCTCTCACTGGCCGCCATGGCCAGCTGTGGCTAGTGCTCCCATTGGGTAGTTGTGACTCGTGCTCTCATTGGTGGTCTGTAACCGGTGCTCCCATTGGTCCGCTCTACCATGGCTTCCAAGTGCTTCACGCCTCCCCTCCATTCCCAACCGAACCCACACGACTGTTAGAGTGCGGGACATGCTCAGCAGATTCCCAATGTGTGATGGAGTCGGGGGCAGTGAATCCATCATCACATCTATAAAGGCTCACTCTCAGTCCATCTCGTCCCCTTGTCCAGTCTAACCTTGGCCTGAACCCACGCTACCCTCTGTCTGTTCCAAGTTGGGTTTCTTCCTGAAAGGAACTAGAAACCCTGGTCCATCTTCAACAGATTCCCCCTGACAGCAGTGGTAATGCACGCACTTATAGAATCATAGGAAGTTAGGTCCATCTAGTCTGCACCAGCTCTCACAGCAAGGTGTCCATTCCATCCCACTGCCCTGCCTTATCCCCACACCGAATCAGGGCTCTATCTCTCATATATCGTCCACAAATATAATTCACTTCACAGTATATTCTACGAAGCATCTTGAAGAAGACATCTCGATGACATATCAAATAGAAGGATTATGATTTATTTATTTCTATCTTATAACTATGACCCCAAATCACTGCCTCCACTACCAGTGGAAATAGCTTCTCCCTTATTTACCATGAAACGTCCCCCATAATTTTGTTCACCTCTGGCATTCTCTGGCCCAACGTCTCCAATCTCTCCTCATACATTTCGCCCACAAATATACAGTCAGTTCACTTTACAGTCTATTTTGTGAAGCGCTTTGAGATGTCTAGAAGATGTGAAAAGCGCGATATCAAATGCAAGGATTATTATTATTATTATAAAAATAGCTCCTCACCCCGGTATACAAGGTTTTCCTCATAAACCTCTTCAGCACCCCACCAAGGCCTTAACATCCTTCTTAAAGTGAGGTGCCCAAAACCAAATACAGTTAAGTACTCCAGTTGTAATTTAACCAATGATTTGTACAAGTTCAGCAATTATTGCTTCACTTTTGTGCTTTAAGCCCCCGTGTATATATAGTTGCCTATCCCTTGGAGAGTGGCAGGCAGCCGGCAATTGTTTGGATCTCTCAGTTTCTGACTGGGTGCTGTTTTTATACCTGATTGGTTAGGCAGGTTTCCTTACTCCACACGCCTCTGTTTACTTAGTATGTTGCTAGTTGATTGTCGGATTGTTTCTGAGGGTAATGAATCTCTCCAAAAATATTCGGTCACTTTATCCATGAACTGTTTATGGGACGTTGATGTATGCAATTGGCTGTCGAATTCCGCCCGCAAAACATGCAGTCAATTCACTTTACAGTAAGTTCTGTGAAGCGCTTTGAGACGTCTCAATGATGTGAGAAGGCGCTGCATTCAAAATACAAAATTACATTTGTACGGCACCTTTCAGGTCGGGAGGACATCCAAATATAACAAATTGCAAGGATTATTATTATTATTATAAAGCATTGTCATGGATCAACCACACCCCCACGTGCACTCAAACACACTCGACAACCCACAAAGGTGTCTTTCCGATAAGAAAACTTCTTCCAAACTCTCACTCTCTCTCTGTGTGTGTGTTTGTGTGTGTGTCGCGACGCATGCGCAGTCTCGAAGGGGAAATCCCCTGCCCTGACGCACGCGCAGTCACGCGTGGGAGAGCCCCCCCCTCTCCTGACGCACGCGCAGTCAGGCGGGAGCGATTGCCCCACCCCCCCCTCGCGCCCTGACGCACGCGCAGAATCAATCAGACGGGGGGCGGGGCCGTCGCGGCCGCTCGGCTTGTCCTGCGCCTGCGCAGTGAGGCGGGCCCTTTCCGCCGCTGGAGGCCCGCAACTGAAATCGTTACCTGAGGATCCCGGGGATCAGACTCCCGAAATCACCCGAAATGGTGAGCGCGGGGCGGCCCCGGGGATCAGCCCCACCCCGGCCCTCCCGGGGGGCCCGGGACCGGCCGCCGGGGGGCGCGGATGGACGGGATATCGGGCGGATGCGAACCGCGGGCGCTCTGTGTGTGTGTGTGTGTGTGTGTGAGGCTGAGCGAGTGGCTGCCATGACAGTGAGGGGGGGGGAGGGGGAGGGGGACACCGCGGGCGTTAATACCGATTATTTCCCTTCACACCGGGACACGGGATGTCGTTCAAACGCCATTTGCTTCTCAGTGGCTGCGATTGTTGCTCAGGTTCTAAGCTGCAGATGTTTGATGAAGATGAGGAGGAGGAGGAGGATGATGATGATGATAACCTCGGGTCTGACGCGGCGCCTCGTCGCGCCCTCGCGGACGCCCCCGGAGCGCTTGGCGGGACCCGCCGCCCCGGCCCGGGGTTTTTCGGGGTGTGGGGTGGGGTGGGGTGCGGTGGGGGGGGCACCGCCGCCGCCGCCGGGAGGAACGCCTCAGAGCGCTTCTCGGTGTGAGATTGGCTGCGAGGTTTCGAGGGCGAAGGAGGCAGTCTCTTCCCCATTCCCCCCCCGGAAGCACCCCATCCCCCCCGCCACCACCCCATCCCCCCCGCCACCACCCCATCCCCCCCGCCACCACCCCATCCCCCCGCCACCACCCCATCCCCCCGCCACCACCCCATCCCCCCCCCGCCACCCCATCCCCCCGCCACCACCCCATCCCCCCCGCCACCACCCCATCCCCCCCGCCACCACCCCATCCCCCCCGCCACCCCCCCCCCCCCACCACCCCATCCCCCCGCCACCACCCCATCCCCCCGCCACCACCCCATCCCCCCCGCCACCACCCCATCCCCCCCGCCACCACCCCATCCCCCCCGCCACCACCCCATCCCCCCGCCACCACCCCATCCCCCCGCCACCACCCCATCCCCCCGCCACCACCCCATCCCCCCCGCCACCACCCCATCCCCCCCGCCACCACCCCATCCCCCCGCCACCACCCCATCCCCCCGCCACCACCCCATCCCCCCCGCCACCACCCCATCCCCCCCGCCACCACCCCATCCCCCCCGCCACCACCCCATCCCCCCCGCCACCACCCCATCCCCCCCGCCACCACCCCATCCCCCCCGCCACCACCCCATCCCCCCCGCCACCACCCCATCCCCCCGCCACCACCCCATCCCCCCCGCCACCCCATCCCCGCCCGCCACCACCCCATCCCCCCCGCCACCACCCCATCCCCCCCGCCACCACCCCATCCCCCCCGCCACCACCCATCCCCCCCGCCACCACCCCATCCCCCCCGCCATCCCATCCCCGCCCGCCAGCACCCCATCCCCCCCGCCACCACCCCATCCCCCCCGCCACCCCATCCCCGCCCGCCAGCACCCCATCCCCCCCGCCACCACCCCATCCCCCCGCCACCACCCCATCCCCCCCGCCACCACCCCATCCCCCCCCGCCACCCCATCCCCGCCCGCCAGCACCCCTTCCCCCTCCACCATCCATCCCCCCCGCCACCACCCCATGCCCCCTCCCGCCACCACCCCACCCTCCCCCCCGCCACCACCCCATCCCCCCCACTTCTGCGCACGGTGATGTCCCACCGTGACGTGAATACACCCCACTTTTTATCCGGGGGTGGCGGTGGTGGGCGGGGGCTGCAGGGTATTAGGAAATTACTGTGTCTGATGGTTAGAGCACTCGCCTCGCGAGCAGTTAGTAAAGGCTCTGGTTGTTAATCGATTGACAGAGGTTAATAATCCCTTCAAAGCAATATAATAATCATGATAACCTGTTCACCCGATCCACAGCTGTTTGTTTGGGAGGGGGTCGCTGCTGTGCACAACTGTCTGCCGCGTTTTGCCCGCAGAATACACAGTCACTACACACTTTATGGTATATCCTGCGAAGGGCTTTGAGACGTCTCAGCGACGGGATAAGTGTGTCAGAACGCAGGGATTATTTTTTATCTTTGACTTGAACTGAGTGTGTCGTGACTGAGATGTGAGAGTGCTGTCAACTGAGCCAGGCCTGGCATTAAATTCCAGGCCCCGGAATATTTACCCTAAGACGAGGAAGTGGGTTTTTGAACGTTCAGCTGTTAAACGTTGTCTTTTGAACCCGATTTGGCTGTGCACTGCTGTGCAGTTTGTGTTTTTCTACATTTTGGAATAGCCCAAATTTTAAACGTTTGCAACGTCAAACAGCAAATTACGTCCCAAGGCGCTGGACAGTCAGGGATTTAGACCCGAGCTGGGGGTTGGGATCAGGAAGGGTGGAGGGTAGGGAGAGTGGGGGTAGGAGGGTGACCAAAGCCGCAGTCGAAGGGGAAGGGGCTTGAGACAGATCTTGAAGGAGGTGAGGGAGGGAGGGGGCTGAGGGAACTATGGAATGGGGTTCCGCAGGATGGGGGCAGAGAGGCTGAATAGACCGTCGATATTCAAGCTCTTACGTTGGGAAATTCGCATGACGCGGTGTGGTTGGAGGGGTGGGGGGGTGGGGGTGAGGAGGAGCACAGCAGTGTCGGAGATGCCATCTTTTGGGTGAGACCTTAAACCCGGGTCCTGTCTGTGACTGTTCAGGTGGACGTTAAAGATCCCCCGGGGCTATTCAAAGAGAGAAGGGTGTTTCTTTCCCAGTGTCCTGACCGACAAATCCCCCAAATAAAGAAATGGTGGTTTGTTTCGTGGCTGTTTGCGGTACGTTGCTGTGCACAGTTGGGCTGCGGCGATCGCCTTTGAGATGTCCTCCCGACGTGATAACAACAACAAGATTACATGTGTATAGCGCCTTTCACGTCGGGTGGACGTCCCAAGTCGCTGGACAGGGTACAGCATTTCAGACCCGAGCTGGGGTCAGGGGGGGGAAAAGGGAGGGTAGGGGGAGGTGGGTGACCAATGGCACGGTCGAAAATGAGAGTTTTGAGGCTAATAATAACAATAATAGATAATAATAATCGATAAGCTGCTATACCGAATGCAAGGATTATTTAGTTATCATTTAATCTTCCTCATTATTTTCCTTGCTGGTTGTGGGACGTTACCGTGTGCAAATTTCGGCTGCTGTGTTGGTGTTTTTTTTTGCTCCTTCCCCTCGATGTCTCTGGGCTCCGCTGGCTCCCTGTACCCGCTGAGCAAGGGTTTCTTCGTTCGCTAAATCTCTGCCCGTCTTCTGTTGCAGGGGTTTGTGAAAGTTGTCAAAAACAAGGCTTACTTCAGAAGATACCAGGTCAAATACAGGAGGAGGAGAGGTGAGTGCTGCCGTCACTGCCAGAACCTTGGCCAACCATCAGGGCTCTGTCTGAATGTTCAGTGAAGGACGTGTCCGTGTTGGTTCAGCTCCCACAATTCGGTCCAGCCCACTATTCGTCACATCCAAGCTCAACTATGCCAACTCCCTGCTTGTCGCCCTCCCCAACTCTTCCCTCCTCCACAAGCTGCAGATCATCCAGAACTCTGCAGCTCGTGTCCTCTCCCGCACCAGGCTCCCCGACCCCATCACCCCCTTCACCCCCACCCTCGCCCGGCTCCACTGGCCCCCCATCCCCCAGAGGATAGAGTTCAGAATCATGGTCCTTGGCTTCCAGGCCTTCCCTGGCCTTGCTCCTCCCCACCTCTGTGACCTGCTTACCCCGTATAGATGTCTCCGCTCTGTGAGCCCCTCTCTGCCCTCCACCAATCCCCGATCTCAGCCCCTCCCAGCTCGGGTTCAAATAAATCCCTGACTCTCCAGCGCCTTGGGACGTCCTCCCGATGTGAAAACCGCAGTGTAAGTGTAATGCGTTGTTGTAACCTTCCCTCCCCATACCATTTCCCCCCTCCTCGCTCCCTCCCTTCCCTCCCCTCACCCTGACCATTTCCCCCCTCCTCGCTCCCTCCCTTCCCTCCCCTCACCCTGACCATTTCCCCCCTCCTCGCTCCCTCCCTTCCCTCCCCTCACCCTGACCATTTCCCCCCTCCTCGCTCCCTCCCTTCCCTCCCCTCACCCTGACCATATCCCCCCTCCTCGCTCCCTCCCTTCCCTCCCCTCACCCTGACCATATCCCCCCTGCACGGGTCATGACCCAACTGTGCAGCGCCTTGGGACGTCCTCCTGACGTGAAAGGCGCTTTATAAATGGAATCTTGTTGTTGTTATTGTAACGAAAATGTTTGGTGTGTATTCCCTGGAGTTGAGAAGGTTAAAGGGTGATCCGATTGAGGTTTTTATAAAATAATAAAGGGGTTTGATAGGATAGCAACAGGGAAACTATTTCCTCTGGTGGGGGAAATCCAGAACAAGGGGGCGTGATCTTAAGATCGGAGCGAGGCCATTTAGGAGTGAACTCAGGCTGCAGTTATTCACGCAAAGGTTCGTGGAAATCTGGAACTCTCTCCCTCCGAAAGGCTCTGGATGTGGATCCATTCAAATTTTCAAGCCTGAGGTGGAGAGACATTTGTTGGGTCAGGGTATCGAGGGATATGGGGCAAAGGTGGGTAACAGATCAGCCAAGATCTAATAGAATGGCAAGAACAGGCTCGAGCGGCTGAATGGCCTCCTCCTATTTCTATGTCCCTGAATTCAGGTTGTAACCAGGCCATAAAAATGGCCTCCGGCTGGCGCTTCCTGAAGTGACATCTGCGCCGGGGGGAGTGGATGGGTTGGGGTGGTGTTGAAGAGGTCACAGGAGCTTAAAGGCAAATAACACCGGGTGTGGCGGTGGGTGGGCGGTGGGTGGACTGGCTGGCAGGGATATAGTCTGCTGGTCAGAGGGTCTCTAACTCTCTCTCTCTCCCCCAGAGGGTAAGACCGACTACTTTGCACGAAAACGCCTTGTGGTTCAAGACAAGAACAAGTACAACACCCCCAAATACCGCATGATAGTGCGTATCACCAACAGGGACATCATTTGCCAGGTGAGTGCTGTGTGATGAGGACCACTCCATTCCCGTGAACCCTGGAGGTGGGGTGGGGCTTGGTGAGTGACTGTGGGGATCACTCCCTGTGATTGGATGGGAGGGGGGGTTAGGGGGTGTGTGAATGTGGGGGTCACTCCCTGTGATCGGATGGGGGGGAAGTAGGGGGTATGAGTGTGGGGGTCACTCCCTGTGATCGGATGGGGGGTGTGAGTGGGGGTCACTCCCTGTGATTGGATAGGGAGGGGGGTGGCTGGGTGTGAATGTGGGTGTCACTCCCTGTGATCGGGTGGGTGGGGTGGGGAGCGAGTGAGTGTGTGTGTGTGGGGGTCACTCTTCGTGATGGGGGGTGTGGAGAGTGTACAAGGGCAGTGCTTTGCTCACTCCTGCGTGTGTGTGAGGGGTGGGATGGGGGTGGGTTGTGGGAATCAATGTTTTACCTCCTTGGGGTGGGGGAGGTGGTTTTTTTTCCCCCCTGTGATGGTCTCTGGCCGTAACGGCAATCAATTGCGCCCACAAAACACGACAGTCACTACAGCGTGAAGCGCTTTGAGGCGACGAGGGGCTGTGACAAACGCGAGGCTTATTATTATTGTTATTAATATTAATGTGTTGTTATAGGTAGCGTACGCCAAGATCGAGGGAGACATCATTGTGTGCGCAGCATACTCTCATGAGCTTCCCCGATATGGCGTGAAAGTCGGGCTGACAAACTACGCAGCAGCTTACTGCACAGGACTCCTGCTCGCTCGCAGGGTAAGAGTTGGACTCGCCCTCTCTCTCTCCCTCTCTCTATCCTTTCTCTCCTCTCTCCAATCGGTACGCAATTGGTCCCTGCATTTCTCCCACGAAGTGCACAGTCACTGCACTCCTTTGAAGCACTTTGAGACGTCTCTGAAGACATGACAAGGCACTGTATCGAATGCGAGGATTATTATGATTATTATTATTTTACGTTCTCTCTCGCTCCCTTTTCTTGCTCACTGCTCTCGTGCATTCTCTTTCGATCTCTCTCATTCGCTCTGATGCTTTCTCTCTCTCTACTTTCTCTCTCCGGCTCTTTTTTTTTTAACTCTTGTCTCCTTTCCCTTTCCTCTCTTGTTTTTACCGTCTCTCTCTCTCTCGCTCGCTCCCTCTCTCTCCCTTTATTCTCTGCTCTCATGCATTCGGTTTCGCTCTCTCTCATTTGCCCTTATATTCTCTCTCTCTCTCTCTCTCTCTCTCTCTTCCCTTTCCTTCTCTGTGTCCCTTCTCCTGCCCATACTCGTTTCAAACCTCTAACAAAACCCCGGAATGTACAACAACAACAACAACATCAAACTACCTTTACACAGCGTCTTTGATGTTGGACATCCCAAGGCTCTGGGACAGGAAAGGGTTTGCACTCGAGCTGGTGGTCGGGATCAAGAGGCGCGGAGGGCAAGGAGGGTGGGGTAGGGGAGGGTGACTGAAGGCCCAGTCGAAGAGGAGGGTCTTGAGATGGGCCTTGAAGGAGGCAAAGGGAGGGGGCAAGTCGGAGGGAGTGGACGGGTTGGTTGGGGGTTAAGCCCCGCAGAGGTAGGGAGGGCTTTGAATCTCAAGTCGAGGGGCTTGAACAGGAAGCTATGGGGGATGGGGAGCCAGTGAAGCTGGGCGAGGGTGCGGGGTGATGGGATCACGGAGTAACACATGCTCTCTCTCTCTCTCTCCCCTCCTCGGTTTCCTCTCGAGCAGCTACTGACCAAGTTCAACCTGGACAAGATTTACGAGGGGGAGGTGGAGGCAACTGGGAAAGAATTCAACATCGAGAGCATCGATGGGAAACCCTCGGCCTTCACCTGTTACCTGGACGCTGGGCTGACCCGCACCACCTCGGGGAACAAGGTCTTCGGGGCGATGAAGGGGGCCGTGGACGGGGGTCTTTCCATCCCACACAGGTAAAGTCAGGGTCTCACTGGGCTCTGCCCGATTTGCTTACGCAAGACCTACCGCCGCGCTCTTACCTCCGCCAAATCCTCCTTCTACTCCAAGGTTATCTTGGAGGCAAAGGACAACCCCAGGCTTCTCTTTTCGACCACAAACCATCTCCGTCCGCCTTCCCATACCTCGCCCATCCTCTCCTCAAACTCCAACTGTGAGGAGATGCTGGACTTCCTCGAATCTAAAATTGAAGGGATACGTTCAGCCATTTCAGCCCCTTCCACAGCCACCCCCACATCACCTCTCCCTCATGACCCACCCCCACTTTGAGCCTATCTCCCTCCTCCCTCATCATGACTGTCCGCAAACTCAAACCCACCACCTGCTCCCTCGATCCCATCCCCACCTCTCTCCTCATCTCTCAGCTCCAACTTCTGGCCCCTCTCCTGTCCGACGTCATCAACCTCTCCTTTTCCACCGGTTCAGTTCCCACTCCCCTAAAAACAGCCGTCATCACCCCCATCCTGAAAAAACCCTTGCTGGATTCATCCCTCCTCTCCAGCTACCGCCCCATCTCTCACCTCCCATTCCTCTCCAAGGTCCTGGAACGAGCACCTCAGGCTCTGGCAGCATCACCCTCCATGGTTGCTCACTACAACTCACCAGCAGTCAGGAACCCGGGTGTCTTGTTTGACCCTCAACTGTCTTTTCTTCCCCACATCCAAGCCATGACCCGCTCTGCCTTCCCTCACCTCCGTAACATCGCCCGACTCCGCCACTACCTCACCCCTCAGGCGCTGAAGCTCTTGTTCATGCCTTCGTCACTTCCAGGCTCGACTATGCAAACGTCCTGCTTGTCGGCCTTCCCAACTCCTCCCTCCACAGGCAGCAGATAATCCAGAACTCTGCAGCCGTGTCCTCTCCCGCACCAAACTCCGTGACCCCATCTCCCCCACTCTCGCCCGACTCCATTGGCTCCCTATCCTTCAGGATCCAGTTCAAAATCCTGGTCCTCACCTACAAAGCCCTCCATGGCCTCGTCCCACCCTACCTCTGTGACCTCCTAACCCCCTACCATCCCTCCTGCTTCCTCCGCTCAGTCGGCTCTGGCTGCTCCACGTCCCCCGACCCACCCGCCCCACCATTGGCAGGAGAGCCTTCAGCCACTCTGCTCCCAACCTCTGGAACTCCATCCCCCAATCACTCCCCCTCACCCCCTCCTTAGCCTCCTTCAAGTCCCGCCTCAAGACCGTGCCATCGGCCACCCCCCTTCGCCTCCCTTCTCCCCGCCGACCCTAACTCGGGCCTGAAATACTGTACACTGTCCAGCGCTTTGGGACGTCCTCTCGACATGAAAGGCGCTATACACACAGAATTCTCTGACCTAGGAAGACCAAGGTCCATCCAGTAGCCTGACATGTCGTGTCCTGAACTACATACTGTAATAATAATGATAATAATCCGTGCGTTCAACCCAATGCCTTATCATGTCTTTGAGACGTCTCAAAGCGCCTCACAAACTACACTGTCAAGTGAATCGACCGTGTATTTTGTGGGCGAAACGTGGCAGCCAATTGCGCATAGCAGCGTCCCAAATTATTGAGGGACCAAATTATTTTTGTTTTCCTCTCGAGGGATTATTACCCCCGATAAAGCGATCCCCCAGTCGACTAGCGACTGGGTTCCTACTCACTGCTGGAGAAACAGAGTGTGTGTGTGTGTGTGTGTGTGTGGAGTAAGGAAATTTGCCTAACGATTCTCCCTGCCCTGGGAATCGAACCCGGGTTCTCTCACTTGCGAGGCGAGGGCTCTAACCACCAAGCTGCAGGACTCCCCAAGAGATATTATTTTCTAGCAGAAATCTTATCTTATTTTTTCTTGAAACCAATGACATTTTCTGCTTCCAACTTTGCTACTTTACTACTCGCTCATTGAAGTAAGAGTTTCCACAGATTTGTTCTGAATTTACCCCCATTCAGTCGTAGGCCGTGTCCTCTGATTGTGCTGTTCAATACAAGATAAAACAGCATATCGGGTCTACATTATCTAATCCCTTCAGAAGCTTAAAGACTGTAATTGTATCAACCCTCAAACTTCTCTGTGTCCCATCTCTGCTTCCGCTCGGCCCGGCTCCGGCCTCCCGTTTATCCCTCACGCCCTCCACTCCATCGTCGGCGGCTGTGCTTTCAGCCACTTTGCTCCCTCCGCACCTCCCCCCCCCCCCCCCCCTTCCTCCCCACTTTCAAATCCCGCCCAAAGACCTTCCTTTTTAATGTTGGTCACGGTCTCCTCCCAATTCCCTCTCCCTCCCCGCCTCCGTGTCAGATTCCACCACTTGTCCAGTGCTCCAGGTAATGATTGTAATAAGTTTTATTGTAATGAGTATTATTGTAATAAGGAGTATTGTAATAAGGATTATGATTATTGTTGTGATAAAGATTATGACAATTGTTCAGCCGCCGTCTCTCCTGTATGTTCCAGCACCAAGCGATTCCCTGGCTATGACTCCGAGAGCAAAGAATTCAATGCTGAGATCCACCGGCGTCACATCTACGGGGTGAACGTGGCTGACTACATGCGGCAACTCATGGAGGAAGACGAGGACGCCTACAAAAAGCAGTTCTCGCAGTACGTCAAAAACAGCGTTCTTCCCGACATGGTGAGTCTCTTCAGCAAAGTCAGCACCAAGTGTGGGGCCCTCCGTGACCGTCTCTAGTCCCGATTCCTGAGCCAGGCGTTGGTAGGGGGTTTGGGAGGTGGCAGCGGTAAGGGGGGAAGAGAGGCCGTGGAGGGCTTTGAAGGTGAGGACCAGGATCTTGAACTGTTTCCTCTGAGTGATGGGAAGCCAGTGGAGTCGGGCGAGGATGGGGGTGATAGGGTCAAGAGAGGACACGGGCTGCAGAGCTCTGGATGATCTGTAGCCTGTGTGGGGAGGAGTTGGGGAGGCCGACAAGCAGTGAGTTTGCCAACCTTGCGCCTAATACTCTCCGGAATTAGGTCAGCAGGATGCGTCCCTCCTGGGAGAGAGTGTGTGTGCCATTCAAACAAACTCTCTGGGATTTCCAGATGTGGGTGGGAAGCCTGGAAAACTGGGGTTTGTTTGGAGTCTCCTCGGCACGGTGATGGGTTTCCGCGCGTGTCAGACTCCCGGACGGGCAAACGCAAACCAAATCGAAATGACCGTCACTCTGACGCTGGGTCTCTCCGTATATATTTGGGCGTCGTAACCCCTAGCGGGCACTGAGCACTGTTTGTGACCCGCAGATGGAGGGGATTTATAAGAAGGCGCACGAGAGTATCCGCTCCAACCCCGTGCACGAGAAGAAACCAGAGAAGAAGATCACCAAACCCAAGCGGTAAGATCCCATCTTTAAACTGTTCCGCGACCCGGAATCCCCCACCTCACCTCGTTACAGTACATGTGTAGTTATAATAATTAATAATAGTAATAATCCTTGCATTTGATGCTGCGCCTTATCACGTCATCAAGGCGTCTCAAAGCGCTTCACGGGTTACGCTGTGAAGTGAATTGACTGCGGTGGTTGTGGTGGGAGCAGATTGGATAATAACTTTCAAAAGGATATAATAATAATAATAATCCTTGCATTTGATATTGCTCTTTTCACGTCTTCTCGATGTCTCAAAACGCTTCACAGAATAGACTGTAAAGTGAATTGGCTGTATATTTGTGGGTGAAACACGGCAGCCAATTGCGCACGGCGGCGTCCCACAAACAGTCATGGATTGAAATTGACCAATTTATTATTTTCTTTTTTGAGGGATTATCATCAGGCATGTGTGTGGAGTAAGGAAACTTGCCCAAGGTTTCACCCTCACCTGCCGGGAATTGAACCCAGGTCTCTCGCTTGCAAAATGAGTGCTCTAACCACTTAGAGCTACAGGACTCCAGCGTAGTGGTTTAGAGCATTTGCCTCGCAAGCGAGGACCCGGGTTCGGTTCCCAGTCAGGGCCAAACATTTGGCAAGTTTCCTTACTCTAACAAACACACAGACACACACACACACACACACACCTCTGTTTACCCAGCAGTAAGTAGGAACCCGGTTGATAGTCGATTGGCGGATCGCTTTCTGGGGGTAATAATCCTTTTAAAAAAATGTGGTTGCTCAATCCTCTACGATCGTGCCTTCGGTCGTGCTCCCACATCTCTGCCTTCCCTCACCCTACCCCATCCCTCCCCCATGCTCGGATCCTGACCTCTGACTGTCCAGCGCCTTGGGACATTCTCCCGACGTGAAAGGCGCTCTATAAATGTCATTTTGTTGTTGTTGTTGTTGTTTGTGGGGCGCTGCTGTGCGCAATTGGCTGCCGTGTTGCACCCACAAAATATACAGTCAATTCACTTTACAGTATATTCTGTGAAGCGCTTTGAGATGTCTCAGGGTGAATCGAACCCAGGTCCTCTTGTTTGTGAGACGAGCGTGAAAACCAGTACCAACAACTTACAAGCACTTACATAGCGCCCTCCACACAGGGTAGTGTCTCAGGGCATTTACGCTACACTATGGGATTCCACATTACTATTCCTCGCGTGTGGAGTTGTTCAATGTAGTTCACTGTGTGTGGAGATGATGTATGGACAAGAACAACAACATTTACATTTACACAACGCCTTTCACGTCGGGAGGACGTCCCAAGGTGTTGGACAGTCGGGGATCCTTACCCGAGCTGGTGGTTGGGATCAGGTGGGTAGGAGGGCGGAGAGGGTGGGGGTAGGAGGGTGACCGAAGGCACGGTTGAAGAGGAGGGTCTTGAGACGAACCTTGAAGGAGGCAAAGGAGTGTGGGGGGCGAGAATGAGGAACTGTGGGCTGGAGTTACAGAGGATGGGGGCAGAGAGGCTGAAGGCCTGCCTGCCAACGGTGGGGCGGGCGAGGCAGGAGTTCGCTGTGTGCGAGGTTGATGTATGATGTTTACTGTTCGTGGCTAACTTGCTTCTTGTGTCTCGCAGCTGGAATCGGGCCAAGTTCTCGTTGGCTCAGCGCAAGGACCGAGTTGCCCAGCGAAAGGCCAGTTATCTGAGGGCTCAGGCAGCCGTTGACAAGTAAATGTGACCAAACCTGCTGGTTGCCCACCTACTACACGGAACAGATCTGTGACCAAAAATACAATAAAAGAGCAACAGCAAAAATCCCTCCTCTTTTTCTTAAGCCCGACTGTGGGACACCGCCGGGCGCAGTTGGTTGCCGCATTTCGAAAGCAGTTACCCCTATGCACGCTCTGGGTGGTGGGAGGGGGGACCTTGGCTCTTGCCAACCTGCGCCTAATACGTTCCGGAATTGGGTAAAAAAAAGTGTCCCTCCAGGGAGAGAGTTTGCTTTCCATTTCGATAATTATCGAGCATTCCCATGTGTGGGTGGATACTCACTCTGGATACTCTTAAGCATGGTGATGGCAGTCTGCGTTGCAGATACCTGGCTGGCCCCTACCCATCCCCTCGTTTCCCCCCCCCAAAAAAAAAAATGGAGGGGTGGTGTGAGAGACTATAAGCAATTGGGTGACAATCATCTTATTGCTGGGCAGCCCGGCTCGGTCCACAGCACTTGATTGAGTCAGAAGATTCTGGTGTTTCAATCCCATGTGGAGACTCTCAGCTTCAAGTCCAAGGCTGATCCTCCAAAGTAGCACATGAATATAGCGCCTTTCTCGTCGGGAGGACGTCCCAGTGCGCTGGACAAACAGTGCTTCGGAGAGGGTGGGTGGAAGGCAGAGAGGGGAAGGAGGGTGATCGAAAGCACGGTCGAAGAGGAGGGTCATGAAGGAGGCAAGGGAGGGGGCGAGGCAGAGGCACTGTGGGTTGGATTTCCACTGCGGGATGGGTGGGGGCAGAAGGCCCGCCCGCCAATGGTGGGGCGGGCGGGGTGGGGGGCGTGTAACAGGCAGGTTGGTTGTGGGTGAGAAGGTCACAGAAGTTGGAGGGAGCAAGGTCTTGGAGGGCTTTAAAGATGAGGACCAACAACACCACCAAAATTACATTTGTATAGTGGCTTTCACGTTAGGAGGACATCGCAAGTCGCTGGATAGTCAGTGTATTGGACCCGAGTTGGGGGGGATGGGGGTGGCGAGGGTAGATGGCAGAGGGGGGAAGCAGAGAGATCGAAAGTACGGTCTAAGAGGACGGTTTTGAAGGAAGCAAGGAAGGGGGCGAGGCGGAGAGACTGCGGGATAGAGTTCCAGAGGGTGGGGGCAGAGTGGCAGAAGGCCTGCCCGCCAATGGTGAGGTGGGGGACGAGAAGCAGGCCGGAGCCCGCTGAGCGGAGGGAACGGGCAGGATGGTAGGGGGTTAGGAGGTCGGAGAGGTAGGGAGGGGAGTGTGGAGGGCTTTGAAGGTGAGGATCAGGATCTTGAACTATCCTCTGTGATGGGAAGCCAGTGGAGTCGGGCGAGGATGGGGGTGAAAGGGGAGAGAGGAGTTAAACTGATCCCACGGAGCTATTCGAAAATGAGAAAGGAGTTTCTGTCCCAATGTCTCCCCCTCCGCCCACTGACAAAAATTGGTCATTTACTTTATTGCTGTTTGTGGGATATCGCCAGTGAAGGATTGTCTCCAAGAAAGGGCTCGGGATCCTTAACCAAATTAAAAAATAATTTGATCACTCAATCCACGATTGTTTGTGGGACACTGCTGTGTTTCACCCACAAAATACAGTCAATTCACTTTACAGTATATTCTGTGAAGCGCTTTGAGACGTCGCAAAGACGTGATGAGGTGCTGTATCAAATGCAGTTTTCAGTTCAAATGTGGCTGCTGAATCATTGTAAAAATGTGGTTTATTTAAATCTTTGTCGGGATTTAAAAAGAGGGCAGAGTCCAAACAGTGATTAGCTGCCATAGCTGTCGCTCATCAGAGAGGGAGGGGCTCACACAAGCTGGGGGTGGGGAGGAGAGAGAAAGGATAGAGAAAAAAAGAGTTGGGGGGGGGGGGGTGACATGGAGACAGAGGGGGGGGGAGCAAGGGAGTCACACAGGGTAGGGGAGAGAGCAACAGGATTCAGATGTTGGGGAAGGAGAGAGAGAGAGGGAGGGGCTCACATGTTGGGGAGGGGGAGAGAGGGAGGGGCGGTCACTTGTGGGAGAGGGAGAGGGTTTAATTGGGGGGCAGAGCGTCAGGGGCGGTCACTTGTGGGAGAGGGAGGAGCGATACTTTTGGGAGGGGGGGTTGCAAATGTTGTTGGGGAGAGGGAGGGGGATCACATGTTAATGGGGAGAGGCAGAGAGGAAGGCGGCTTACATGTTGGGAGGGAGAGGAGCGGGTTCACATGTTGAGGGGACAGAGGGAGGGGGGGTCACATGTTGGGGGGAAGGGGAGAGGGGGACATGGGATCACATGTTGGGAAGGAGAGAGAGGGACAGGGGATCACATGTTGGGGGAAGGGGAGAGAGGGACAGGAGGGTCACATGTTGGGGGAGAGATGGAGGGGATGGGGTCACATGTTGGGGTGAAGGGGAGAGAGGGACAATGGATCACATGTTGGGGTGAAGGGGAGAGAGGGACAGGGGGTCACATGTTGGGGGGAGGGGAGGAGGGACGGGATCACATGTTGGGGGAGGGGAGGGAGGGACGGGATCACATGTTGGGGGGAGGGGGAGGGAGGGACGGGATCACATGTTGGGGGGAGGGGGAGGGAGGGACGGGATCACATGTTGGGGGGAGGGGAGGAGGGAAAGGGGATCACATGTTGTGGGGGAAGGGGAGAGAGGGAAAGGGGATCACATGTTGGGGGAGGGGGAGGCGAGTGAGGGCGGTCACATGTTGGGGGGAGGGGGAGGCGAGGAGGGCGGTCACATGTTGGGGAGGGGGAGGGGGAGGCGAGTGAGGGCGGTCACATGTTGGGGGAGGGGGAGGGGAGGCGAGTGAGGGCGGTCACATGTTGGGGGAGGGGGAGGGGGAGGCGAGCGAGGGCGGTCACATGTTGGGGGAGGGGGAGGGGGAGGCGAGCGAGGGCGGTCACATGTTGGGGGAGGGGGAGGGGGAGGCGAGCGAGGGCGGTCACATGTTGGGGAGGGGAGGGGGAGGCGAGCGAGGGCGGTCACATGTTGGGGGAGGGGGAGGGGGAGGCGAGCGAGGGCGGTCACATGTTGGGGGAGGGGGAGGGGGAGGCGAGGGGGGGGGGTCACATGTTGGGGGAGGGGAGGGGGAGGCGAGCGAGGGCGGTCACATGTTGGGGGAGGGGGAGGGGGAGGCGAGCGAGGGCGGTCACATGTTGGGGGAGGGGAGGGGGAGGCGAGCGAGGGCGGTCACATGTTGGGGGAGGGGAGGGGGAGGCGAGCGAGGGCGGTCACATGTTGGGGGAGGGGGAGGGGGAGGCGAGCGAGGGCGGTCACATGTTGGGGGAGGGGAAGGGGGAGGCGAGCGAGGGCGGTCACATGATGGGGGTGACTTGAGGACAATGTGCTGAGCAAGGCGGTGATGTCACATGCTCAGTGAGGTCACAGAGGGAGGCCGGGAGCGGGAGAGCACCCGATTGGCCGAGCCCCGTCGCCAGCTGATGCGATGTATCATTCCTCTGCCCCGGGACCCGCCGGTGATGGGACGACACAGCCAATGGTCTTGGCCGGTGCTGTGTGTGTCCCCTGGGCCGTGAGGAATGGCCCGTGTAAATAGCAAACTGCCCACGTAAGCAGCCCCGGTCAGGCCAGGGAACAGTCAGAACGTGGTCTTCTGCCATTGTGGTCCACCTGAGAGAAGCGGTCGCCCTCGTCCGCCCGTTAAACGCGGGCTGAGCCCGGCAGTACTGTACCGGAAGGAGCCCTACTGTCCTTTCGTCAACAGAAGAAGAATATTCTCCACCTCCCCCCCCGCTCCTGCCTCAGGTACTATATCTGTCAAATAAAGTGCTGGTGGAGGGGGGGATTTAACTTTATAATAGCAGTAGTAATAATCCTTGCATTTGATACAGCGCCTTATCACGTCCTCCGGGTGTCTCAAAGCGCTTGACAGAATACACTATAAAGTGAATTGACTGTATATTTTGTGGGCGGAACGCGGCAGCCAATTGCGCGCGACAGCGTCCCCTCACAAACAGTTGTGGATTGAAGTGACCAATTTTATTCTTGAGGAATTATTATCAGCCGTGTGGAGTAAGGAAACTTGCCCAAGGTTTTGCCCTGCCAGGGATCAAACCCAGGACCCTCACTTGCGAGGCAAGTGCTTTAACTACTGAGCTACAGGACTCCAATGGCTGTGAGGAATAATCCTTGGATTTGATACTGCGCCTCATCATGTCATCGAGACGTCTCAAAGCGCTTCACACGATATACTTTAAAGTGAATTGGCTGTGTATTTTGTGGGCGAAACGTGGCAGCCAATCGAACATAGCAGTGTCCCACAAACATTAGTGGATTGAGTGACCAAATTATTATTGTTATAATTTTTTTTTGAGAGATTATTACGCCTGGAGAGCGATCCGCCAATCAACTAACAACCAGATTCCTACTTACTGCTAGGTAAACAGAGGAGTAAGGAAACTTGCACAACATTTCGCCCTGGCAGGGAATGAAATCCAGGTCTCTCGCTTGCGAGGCAAGTGCTCTAACCACTGAGCTGCAGGACTCCACATTATTCTGTGTCTGAAATCAACAGTTGGCCCATTCAGGATCACTGCAGGTGGAAATCCAGAGGGAGAAGAGATCCGAGGAAGTTAGGGAAGTACTTGGGTGGAAGCTTTTACTAAGGTCGGGAAAAGATGGTGGAGGGCTTGGAAGAGAGGAGGATGATGTGGGAGGAGAGGAGATGAGGAAATGTCTGAGAAGGCCTTGTCTTTGATGGACAGATTGGAGATGTCAAAGCCGTGAGTGATAGATAGCAAGATCGAGGGGGTGGCCATGGTGGTGGTCGGGGAGTTTATGTTTGTTATTCTTTATTATATACTATTAGATATTACGTGGAGGCCTGTAGCTCAGTGGTTAGAGCCCTCGCCTCACAAACGAGAGACCCAGGTTTGATTCCCGGGCAGGATGAAACGTTGGGCAAGTTTCCTTACTCCACACACAACGCCTCTGTTTATTTAGCAGTAAGTAGGAACCCAATTATCAGTTGATTGGCGGATCGTGTTTCTGGGGATAATAATTCCTTAAAAGATGTCTTGAAGACGTGATGAGGTGCTATATCAAATGCGAGGATTACACTTATGTATTATTATATAATTATATATCATTACATATTATTATTGTATATTATTACATTTATTATGTATTATATTCTGACCCAGTGACTGGCTCAGATGGATGAGGCTGACAGTGCCAGCAGGGAGCCTGAGGAAGGTACGGAGACTGCACAGGATCAGCGGAGCCCCACCCCTCCGCCAGAGAAGACCTATGGAGAGCTGAAGATCCGATTCCACGTCCCGCTGAGCCGGGACTCGCGCAACATCTTCAGCGTGGTCTTCTCCCCCAGCGGCAATGAACTGGTCGTGGGCTTCGGCAACGGAGCTGTTCAGGTAGCATGAAGATAGAACAATTTCTTTTGGGTTAGCCGAGAGAGATAGGTTGTTGGATGGTTGGATCGAAAGGCGTCCTCTCTCTCTCTCCCTGGATTGTCAGAACCTGCTGACCTAATTCCGGAAAGTATTAGGCGCAGGTTGGCAAGAGCCAAGGCTTGGGGTGGGGGGAGCCCAGAGTGTGCGTTTTCGTAAAAGCTGGAGTCTAACCAGTTAAAACCTCCTAGCTTGCCATTGATGTTGCTGGCTGGCAAGCTTTCCTGCTGTTTGTCCAGCTAGGACCACCCTCCCCGTTAGGGCTTTGGCTTGCAGCAGCTATCTATCAACCCCATCCTTGCCTGGCTCCCCATCCCGTGATGATAGTTCAAAATCCTTATCCTCGCTTTCAAAGCCCTCCATGACCTTGATCCTCCCTACCTCTGTGACCTGCTAACCCCATACTGGTCTATCCGTTACCTCCGCTCCTCTGCCTGAATTTCCATGCTAACTACTTCCTAATTTTTGTTCCCCACTCCCTTCCTCTTTTCCTCCCCCTCCTCCCCTCGTCCCAGTCTTTGAAACCAGCCACGGGTAAAGTAATACGAGATATATTCAGTGGAGGTGTAGCACGACAAGCCACCACATCGATGTGTTTCCACCCGACTGAACCCAACTATCTGATCGCGGTGGGAGCCGAAGGCATCATATCTGTGTACAAAACGGATGTGGCAAAGTGCATCGCCACCATGAAGGGTAAGGGGTCTGTTTACACATACCATTGACGTAGTCTTCTCTACTTCATAGCTTCTCTCTCCACTTGTACAGTAATTTTGATCAGCTGGGTGTCTAACACACACGGAAACCCATCACCATGCTTGAGAGTCTCCAAACCAAGCTGAGAATTCCAGGCCTCCCACCTACACATGGAAATCCCAGAGAATGATGGTTGGAATGAAAGGCGCTCCCTCTCTTTCTCTCTCTCTCTCCCTGGAGGGACACATCCTGCTGACCTAATTCCGGAGAGTATTAGGCATAGGTTGGTGAGAGCCAAGGTTGGGGGGGGACCCCAGAGTGTGCGTTGGTGTAACTGCTGGAGTCTAACCAGCTAAAACCCCATCGCTTGCCATTGATATCGCTGTCTGGCCAGCTTTCCCGCTGCTTGTCCAGCTGGGACCACCCTGTGTGCTTGGGCTTTGACAGGATTTCTTGTCCCCAGTGACCAACAAACTGAAACCACTCCAAGTGATGATCCTAATCCTTGCATTTGATATAGCGCTTTTCACGTCGGGAGGATGTCCCAAAGCGCTTCACAGAACACACTGTAAAGTGAATTGACTGTATATTTGTGGGCGAACGCGGCAGCCAATTGCACACAGCAATGTCCCACAAACAGTCGTAGATTGAAAATGACCAATTTTTTTATTATTGTTTTTGGTTTTGGAGGGATTATTACTAGGTGTGTGGAATAAGGAAACTTGCCCAAGGTTTCGCCCTCTGCCTGGAATTGAACTCAAGTCTCTCACTTAAATGATGTGCCAAATGTAAGATTATTATTATTGTTATCAGCCTGGCCTGTCCCCACTCCTGACCTGTATCTTTCTGCCTTCCTCCAGAGGAGGGGAACCAGCTGAATGCTGTAGACATCTCCTCTGATGGGGGTTACTATGCCACGGGGGGAAAGAGCCGAGGGATCTGTATCTACGACGTCAAAACCAACCAGGTAACCACTGGGTTAAATCATTATGTGTGAGAGTAACCGTAGACAACAACTGTTATGTGGAGAGACAAGAGACGCTGGGAGGTCTCCTTAGAGGAGAGAAGGTTAAGGGTTGATTTAATAGAGGTGTTCCAAATTATGAGGGGTTGCGATAGAGTAGACAGGGAGAAAGTGTTTCCACTGTTGACCAAAGAACACAGATGTAAGATAATTGGCAAAAGAACCAGAGGGGAGACAAGGAGAAATTTGTTTACCCAGAGAATTGTTACAATCTGGAAAGCACTGTCCGAAAAAGTGGTGGAAACAGATTCGATAGAAGCTTTCACAAGGGAATTGGATATTTTACTCGTAAAGGAATAATTTGCAGAACTCGGGGGTAAGAGCGGGGGAGTGGGACTCGCTGGTGGCTCTTTCAAAGAGCCGGCACAGGCACGATGGGCTGAATGGCCTCCTTCTGTGCTGTAACATTCTGTATTCTGTGAGTGAGAGTGACTATGTCACCACAGGTGTGTGCGTGTCTGTGTGTGTATCTGTGTGTGTGTGTCTGTGTGTGTCGGTGCGTGCGAGTGTGTGTGTATGTCCGCCTGCGTTTGTGAGTGTCCACATGCATTTCTGTGTCTGCATGTGTGTGCAGACCTATCTGTGTGTACACAGCTTGCGTGTGCGTGCTTGCATGATGAGAGCGACTATGTGACCACGGGATGTGTGCGTGACTCTGCGTGTGCATGATCTACCCAGGGCTCTGGGATGCTACCTTGCTTGAGGGGCGCTATATAAATGCAAGTTGTTGTTGTTGTGTTGCATGTGGCTGGCCATTTCTGTGTCCGTGTGTGTGAGTGCACGCACTCCTGTCTGTGGAAGTGTGTGTGCGTGTTGTGTGGACAGGTTCACAAGGCTGTGTGTGTGTTTTTGCAGGTGACTCACGTGTTGGAACCTGCGGATTACGTCACCAGCGGGAAGGACCTGCAGCCCATCGATGGGCATTCTCGCCGTATCTATGCCCTGCGTTTCCACCCCCAGGAAAGGCACATCTTCCTGAGCGGAGGCTGGGACGACTCAGTCAAGGTGGTGTCACCGGTCTCTGCTCCACCCTTCAGCCTGGCTCAGTCGTTCTCTCGCTCGCACGCTCGCACGCTCGCCAGCTTGCACGCTCACTTACCCTTTTAGGAGGTACCGGCCTCTTACTTGTCCCTCGCACCCTCCGCTTTTGTCGGCGGAGTTCGTGCTTTCAGCCACTAAGCCCCGAAAATCTGGAACACTCTCCCTCAATCCCTCCGCTTTGCCCCCCTTCTCTCCCCTTTTTCAACTCCCGCCTGAAAACCTTCCTTTTCGACTGTAGTGCTTGTATACAAGTGCAAGTTGTTGTTGTTGTTTGTGGTTGACCAACAAAATAATCAAACAAACACCAAAACAGCCGAGATTTAGGCCGTGAATCAAGAAATATTCAATCGAGAAGCACTTATTTTGTTGGCCGACCAAAATGTTTCTCTTTCTCCAACACGATCTGACCCCTTGGGGAAACCCATCGCCGTTGCTTAAGAGTCTCCAAACCCAACTGAGAATTCCAGGCCTCCCACCCACACCTGGAAATCCCGGAGAGAGATTGTTAGAATGGGATACAACTCTCTCCCTTAGAAGGACGCATCCTGTTTACCTAATTCCGGACAGTATTAGGCGCAGACACACACACACTCGCACGCACACAGACACACACACACAGACACACACACAGACATGCACACACCTGTGGTGACATAGTCACTCTCACTCACAGAATACAGGCTTGGGTGGTGGGGGGTTGGGAGCCCAGAGTGTGCGTTGGAGTAACTGCTGGAATCTAACCAACTAAATCCGCACAGCTTGCCATTGATATCACTGCCTCTCTCACTCTTACTCGGTCTCAGATTTTTTCAGTCTCTCTCCCCCTCTTACTCTCAGTCTCTCTTTCTCTCTCTCACTCGCTGTCTCTCATTTTCTCTCTGTCTTTCACTCTATTCTATCGCTCTCACTCTCTCGCTTTAAGACTCTCCCTCTCCCTCTCGGCTCCTGCCGTCGGTTGTCCTTTAAATGCTATTTAAATCCTGTGTGTGTCGCAGGTCTGGGACAAGAGAATGGAGAAGCAGGCTCGCAGAGTGTTGAATGGCCCCCACATCTGTGGGCCCGGCATTGACATCTGGGTAAGTCATATTCCCTCTCCCCTACCCCCTGCACCAACCCCCACCACCCGCCTCCTGCCCCTCGAAATCAGGGTAAGTCATGGGGTCAATCGTGTGAGACTGAGTTAAGGTTTGGCCCCAGTCATTAGCGCTCTCGCCTCTGAGTTAGACGGTTGTGGGTTCAAACGTCAGGACTTGGAATCGCACAGTCTAAGCTGATGCTCCAATGCAGCGCTGAGGGGAGTGTTGCATTGTCAGTAGTGCTGTCTTTCAGGTGAGACGTTAAACCGAGCTCCCGTCTGCCTGTTCAGCTGGATGTTAAGTTTCCTTACTCCACACACACGCCTCTGTTTACTCAGCAGTAAATAGGAACCCAGTTGTTTGTCGATTGGTGGATCACTTATCCGGGGGTAATAATGCCTTCAAAAAAAAAATAATGAATTGGACACTTCAATCCACCACTGTTTTGTGGGGACGTTTCTGTGTGCAATTGGCTGCTGCATTTCACCCGTAAAATACACAGTCACTTCACTTTACAGTGCATCCTGTGAAGCACTTTGAGACGTCTCAAAGACATGATAAGGCGCTGTATCAGATGGAAGGATTACTCGACATCTTGGATGAAATTTCCTCTTCAAAATCTAACATATTATTGTTGTGAAATTCCGCGTCAGGACAACAAAATACTGACGGCCTCGTGGGTGGCCCAGGACGCTCTTCAGCTGTGGGATTTTCGGCGCTGGGAGGTAGAGAAGAACATCCCCTTCCTGTCCAGACAGAACCAGGGTGACTTCCTGTATGCTGCCCGCTTCTGTAACCGTGACATTGTGATGGCCGGGGGCAGTGGCACCAACAGCGCTAAAGCCATCAACCACAAGACCAGCGAGGTAAGAATCACCCCAATCAGCCCCTTCTCCCCACATTCCCCCCACCCCCGCCGGCCTGCCTCAGTCAGGTCTCAGTCTGGCTCAGTCAGTAACGCTTATCTCTCAGTCAGAAGGCTGTGGTTTCAAGCCCCAAGTTGTGGGCTGATGACTGTTGTTAACTCTGCAAACTAAAGCCCTAACAGGTAGGGTGGTCCAAGCTGGAAAAGCAGCGGGAAAGCTTGCCAGACAGCGATATCAATGGCTTTAGCTGGTTAGACTCCAGCAGTTACCCCAACACACACTCTCAAGCCTTGGCTCTTGTCAACCTGCGCCTAATACTCTGCGGAATTAGGTAAGCAGGATGCATCCCTCCAAGGGAGAGAGTATGTATCCCATTCCAACAATCTATCTCTGGGATTTCCACGTGTATGTGGGATGCATGGAACTCTCAGGTTGGTTTGGAGACTCTTATGCACGGTGATGGGTTTCCGCATGTGTCAGAGACCCGGCTGAGCAAAGAAACAAAAGTCTCCAACTTGCTCATACCCCACTCCTCTGCTCAGCCCCTCCACTGAGCTGACTCAGTCCTGATGCGTATGGTCACTCCCACCCCCATCCCCACTCAGTGTCCGACTCTCCTTGTGAAACATTCCGAGGTGTTATCCCACGTGAAGTGCTGTTAAATGCGTCCAAATCTGGAGTCCTGTAGTGCGGTGGTTAGCGTGTTTACCTCACAAGCGAAAGAACCCAGGTTCAGTTCCCAACAGGGACAAAATGTTGGGCAAGTTTCCTTACTCCACACGCCTCTGTTTACGTAGCAGTAAGTAGGAAACTGGTTGTCAGTCGATTGGCGGATTGCTTTCTGGGGGTAATATTCCCTCCAAAAACAAACCAAAAATATTTTAGTCACTCAGTATGTGACTGTTTGTGGGGCACTGCTGTGGGCAATTCAATTTACAATATTGAAGTGCTCTGAGGCAATGATAAGGTGTTATATCAAATGCAAACTCGTTGCTTGTCGGCCTCCATGGGCTGCAGATCATCCAGGACTCAGCAGCCCGGGTCCTCACCCGCACCAGGCTCCGCGACCTTATCACCCCCATCTTCGCCCGACTCCACTGGCTTCCCATCACACAGAGAATACAGTTCAAGATCCTGGTCCTCACCTTCAAAGCCCTCCATGGCCTCTCTTCCCCCCTTACCGCTGCCACCTCCCAAACCCCCTACCAACGCCTGGCTCAGGAATCGGGACTAGAGACGGTCACGGAGGGCCCCACACTTGGTGCTGACTTTGCTGAAGAGACTCACCATGTCGGGAAGAATGCTGTTTTTGAACGCAGTCCCTCCACCTCTCCCCCTCCCTTGTCTCCTTCAAGACCCATCTCAAGATCCTCCTCTTCGACCGTGCCTTCGATTACCTTCCTTCTCCCCCCACTGCCCTCCACCCTCCCCAATCCTGACCCTCAGCTCGGGTCTGAAGCACTGATTGCCCAGTGCCTTGGGATGTGAAAGGCGCTGCACAAATGTAATTTTCTCATTGTATTATTATTGTAAAGACTGTTGTAACTTTGTCCTAACTACAGTCGCTCGCTACCTCTTTCTCTCCCCCTCAGATCCTGGGTGAGATAGACCTGACCAACAAGGCAGTGCAGACCCTGGACAGCGTGCTGGACGGACAGTACATCGCGGTGGCTGGAGTGGCTGGGAACCTGAAGATCGCGTATCTCGTGTAGCGACTGGATCCACTCTCTGGGATGGGGTACAGGAGGAGAATGGGGGAAGGTTCAACCTGAAGACAAGAGTTTTTTTTTTACTTAACTGACATAAAGAATCCCTCCCCAAACCCCCCCCCCCCCCACCACTCCCCCCGTCAGCACGTTGTGGTCTCTGTTCTCCACACCCCCTGATCCCGACACCGGGTTCTCTGTGGCCAATGTTTTTGTTGTAAAAGGAAGCCTTTTTTTTTTGTACCAGCCTTTCGCTGAGAGCGGCAAGTGGCGAGTTACGAGACTGTATTGTTGATTACTCAGAGCGGAATTTAAATGCTTTTGTTAACTTTGAGTTCCGATGCTTGTCATTATTCAGCAGGTTCTTGGTGATTGCGTGAGCGCTGGGGCGGGCGGGCGGGCGGGTGGGTGTGTGGGTGGGTTGGGGCTTGGGATTTATCACGAGGTCGGTTTGGGTGAATACCACAGGCTTTTTGGCCGGTCTAATCTCATCCCTCCAGAACTCTCCTGCTAGTTCCAGGTTTCCATCCAGTTGATAAATAAGCAAACCTCCCCCCCCTCTCCCCCCTCCCCTCCCCCACACATCCACCTGTAGCAGTGCTCTCACAAGCCGGAGGACCTGGGTTTGATTCCCGGGCAGAGCGAAACGTTGGGAGGGTTTCCTTACTCCACACGCCTGGTAGTGAGTGGGAAACTGTTTGTGCAGCCACTGAAAAAGGGAACAGGTGGTCAATGCTGAAAAGGAGCAAACACTGGCAACCAAGTGTGACACGGAAACCTCAGTGTGTTGTTTCTGTGTTATTTGTGTGTTGTTTGCGTGTTGTGTGTTTGGTCTGTTTCCATGTTGTTTGTGTGTTGTATGTTGTTTATGAGTCATTGATTGTTGTTTGTGTGCTGTGCGTGTTTATGTGTTGTATTTTGTATGTTGTTGTGTGTTGTGTGTGTTTGTGTGTTTTATGCTGTTTGTGTGTTGTGTTTGCGTGTTCGTACATTATTTACGTGTGACATGAACCTGTAGCTGACGCTGACCTCCTGTGTCTTTGTGTTGTATATTATTTACGTATATTGTTTGTGTGATGTGTGTGTATTTGTGTGCGGTATGTTGTTTATATGTTGTTTATGTATGTTTGTGTGTTGTGTTGTATGTTTGTATATTGTTTGTGTGTTGTATGTTTGTATGTTGGGTTTATGTGTTGTACGTTGTTTGCATGTTGTACGTTTGTGTGCTTTATGTTGCTTGTATGTTGTTTGTGTGTTGTATGTTTGTGTGTTGTGTTTATGTGTTGCATGTTTGTGTGTTGTTTGTGTGTTGTATGTTTGTGTGTTGTACATTGTTTGCATGTTGTTTGTACATGTGTTGTTTATGTATGTTCTGAGCCTGTAGCTGACGCTGACTTGCTGTGTGTCAGGTTCTGGTTGTGTCTCATTGCCGGTGTTGGTGTTGATTGTGACGTACTGCTGTTTCCTGCTCCTTTGGCTCCTTCTGCTCTCCATCGTCCTGTACACCAGACGAGGTGAGTACCACCTGCTCTGCGCTGGTCTGGCTCAGGCACTCACACCCTCACCTCCGGGTCACAAGCTTGTGGGTTCAAGCCCCACCTCGGAGACTTTGAGCTGCCAATTCTAGGCTGACACTCCAGTGCAGTGCTGGGCGAGCGCTGCCTTGTCAGAGGCACCGTCCTTCAGCTGAGACATTAAACCGAGGTCCGTCTGTGTCTGTTCAGGTGGACGTGAAAGATCCCGCGATGCTATTTGAAAAGAGAAGAGGGTTTCTCTCTCCCGGTGTCCTGGCCGACAATCCCCCAAATAAAATTCATCCCTCACCTCATGGCTGTTTGTGAGATGTTGCTGTGCGTAAATTGGCTGCCGGGTTTGCCCACAAAACACACGGACACAACACTTTCCTGTGAATCCTGTGAAGCGTTTTCAGACATCTCAACGATGTGATAAGAACTGATATCAAATGCCAGGATTATTGCGATGATGATTATTATAATATAATCTCCTGTGAATCCCTTCTCTGTGAATCATGTCCCTCTGGGTATTCACGAGGGTGTGTAAGCTCCGGGACGCTACCCCACGTGAAGGGCGCTTTATAAACACTAGTTGTTGTTGTTGACGAACTGTTATCTCTGTTCATTTCAGCACAAACAGTAAGGAAAAGGAGTGAAAGGAAAGAGAAGCGGACGGCACGGCCTGAGCAGGTACCAACACTCGGGCTGGGAGACACTACATTGACTGACTTTAATATCAAATCCCTCCACGCTCTTTCCCCCCTGTCCACCCCCCCACCCCACCCCTGCAGGCCTGGCTCCCCACACCCCTGCAGGCCTAGCCCCCCCCCCACCGCACCCAGCCCCGACCTCAGCTCCGCTAACTCACATGTCAGCCTTGCTCAGTCGCTCACACACTTGCCTCAGAGTCAGACATTTCTGAGCTCAAGCCCCATGTCAGGGGCTTATTTTATTTCATCAAATAAAATTGGATTGTCATCCAGGACACCGGGAGCGATAAACTCCCTTCTCTTTAGGAACAGCACCACAGGATCTTTAACGTCCACCTGAACAGGAACAGACAGGACTATGGTTTTATGTCTCAAGTGAAGGACGCACCTCCGACAATGTGACGTCCTCACAACACTGCAGTGGAGCGTCAGCCTGGACTGTGAGCTCAGGGACTTGAACCTGACAGGTCACCGTGGGACAGAACAGTGAGCAACGAGACAGAACAGAAGAGAAGGCACAGAGAGAAGGTAATGCGGTTGGAAATAGTGCACATTACCCTCCCCACCAACTGTGCTGGAGCCCGAGAGTGAGAGAGAGAGAGAGACAGATTACGTCACATTACCTGCCTCTATCGCAAACTAACTGAGGACGGGATGGCACAGCACAACATGACAACAGCAACCTGCATTTATACAGCGGCCTTCACACTGCGCAGCTTCCCAGAGCGCTCAACAGTGGAGCAGAACCCTGAGCCGTGCAGAGAGGGGATGTGGCCGTAGGCTCAGTCACAGAGGAAGGTGCTCGCGACAGGGAGGGACAGGACAACATGGTACAGGATGGGCTGTAACTGGGGTCGGGGTCAGATATTGTTCTGATCTATTTTGTAGTGAATTCACTGACAATGTAAGTCTGCAACATTGCTCCCCGTGGGACCTGGTGTTGTGGGGAACAGAGGTGGCAAACCATGACAACAACTTGTATTTACACACTGCCCATCATGTAGGGTCTCGGATGCTTCACAGGGCTGTGGCTGGAGACTAATCTGGGGGGTGGGGGCGGAGGTGACAATTGACATGATCAATGGGAGGTTCTTAGACGGGACCTGTGGAGTCCTGTAGCTCAGTGGTTAGGGCACTCGCCTCGCAAGTGAGAGGAGTCGGGTTCGATTCCCGGGCAGGGGGAAACCTTACTCCACACCCTCTGTTTACCTATCAGTGAATAGGAATTTGGTTGTTAGTCGATTGTGGTATCGCTTTTCCTTGGGTAATAATTCCTCAAAAATAAATAATAAAAAAAATTGGGGTCACTCAATCCACGAATGCTTGTGGGATACTGTTTTACACAATTGGCTGACATGTTTTGCCCACAAAATACAGTTAAGCCACTTCACAATATATTCTGTGGAGCGCTTTTAGATGTCTCAACAATGTTATAAGCCGTTATATGAAGTGCAAGGGATTCCTATAATTCTTATTAAGACAGAAAAAGAGGGGGTGAAACTGAGAGGCAGAGGGAGGGAGTCCCAAAGATTAGATGCGAGGGAACTGAAGACTCAACAACTGAGGGTGAGGGGGCAGAGGGGAGGGGGGGACAGGGTGGGACTGAGTCAAACAAGCTGTGGGGGGGTGGGTGGGGGGATGCGGGGAGAAGAGGAGTGAGGTTCATCAAGCTCCGCCGCCATTAAATACTCCTGAGATGCTACCCCATGTGAAGGGCGTTCTATAAGTTGTGGGATGTCGATGTGCGTCCTGCAGCTCAATGGTTAGAGCACTCGTCTTGCAAGCGAGAGACCTGGGTTCAATTCCAGGCAGAGGGCGAAACCTTGGGCAAGTTTCCTTACTCCACACAGAGCCTAATAATAATCCCTCCAAAACCAAAAACAATAATAAATTGGTCATTTTCAATCCACGACTGTTTGTGGGTCACTGCTGCGCGCGATTGGCTGCCGCGTTCACCCACAAATATACAGTCAATTCACTTTACAGTCTATTCTGTGAAGCGTTTTGAGACATCAAAAAGATGTGAAAAGTGCCATATCAAATGCAAGGATTATTATTATTATTTGCCGACAATATACAGTCACTACACTTAAACACTACAAGTGAAGTGCTTAGAAATAATAATAATAATCCTTGCATTTGATATAGGGCCGTATCAGGTCTTGATGTATCAGATGTTGCAGCGAGTGAGCGGATTGTTGTTGGCGTTACCTGTGCACTTTAGCTCACGGCTGGTCACTGTTTGCCTCGATTACAATAAACTTTTCTGTTCTGTATGTGAACCCGTGATATTGTACAAACGTCAACCCCAGACGCTGTGTCAGTGAGATCCCAGCCACAGGCTGTGTAGAGATGGTGAAGTTAGCGACTGATGCTTCAGTATGTATTTTGATGTTTAAGGGATTCTACTTCGAACTGAGAGAAAGACAGACCCATCGTAGAGAGTGAGATGCAAACTCTATGCAAACACATACAAAAGTCACACACACAGAGAGAAAGAGATAGAGAGAGATCCATCACAGAGAGCGAGAGAGATGATCCATGAGGTCAGAGAGAAATATGATCTATCAAACATACACACCACACAGCAAGAGAGAGAGAGAGAGAGAGAGATATTGACCCTTGAGAAAGAGATAGGGAGAGATCCATCACAGAGGGAGAGATCCATCAGAGAGTGAGACACACACACCCCGCACATAGAGAGAGAGAGACCATTCATAGAGAGAGAGAGAGATGTTAAGGTAGTTGAGAATAGGATCAGTCTGAGTTCCATGATCAATCGTGGAATGAAATCCTCCGGTTAGATTAGTTGAAAGAGAAAATGGCTGGATTAACATTTGGGGTTTGCTGCAAACGCCAAAGTAAAGCAGAGAGAATGACAGGTCACTGTATGAACTTATTAGGAGTGTGTGAGAGAAAGAAGGTAGTACTGATGGGGCACTTCAATCAGCCCAACATACACTGGGAATCCACATATATCTATATAAATCCCTCTGCCTTGCCCCCTCCTTCCCTGTGTAAATACTCAGTGTGTCAGGGAGCCCACAAGAACCAGGTCCCTTCTATCATTCTCGTCAGTGATCCAGATACTATTCAGGAAGTGACCACAGTTCAACAACCTTCAGTTGAACTTGGGAAAACAGCACCAGCACATAATCAAATTGGTCCATAACTTTAGATGGGGAAACGTCAGGGGGCTGAGGGCTGAGCTGACAGACATGGACTGGAAGGTGTAACTCAATGACAAATCAGTTCAATGAACTTTAAATAAGTTTCCTTACTCCACACACCTCTGTTTACCTCGCAGTAAGTAGGAACCTGGTTGTTTGTTGATTGGTGGGTCGCTTTCCTGGAGTAACTCCCTCCGCAAAAAGAATTAGTCACTTAATCCACGGCTGTTTATGGGACACTGATGGTCCATTGGCTTCTGCGTTTCGCCCTCAAATATACAGTCCACTCACTTTACCATATTCTGTGAAACACTTTGAGATGTCTCAACGAGGTGATAAGGCGCTATGTGAAAATACTAGGATTATTATTGTTATCTTTATTATTTGGGGATCGATGGAAATCCTTGAAGAACATGATGCACTGCACAAAGGACAAGTAATATAGCCAAGTGCAGGAGGGCAAAATAAACAAAACTCAACAAGAAGCATCAATAGGAAAATAAACAGGAGATAAAAGAAGAAAAGGAAGATAAGGGGAAAATAAATAAACCTACACCAGATTGGATCAATAGGAAAATAAAGAGAGACAAAGAAAGGAAGATTTGTGAAGTTTGTATTTTTAATACTACCCCCTCTTCCCCTGTAAATCCCTCCGTAACCCCCTCCCCCTGTAATCTCCTCCCCCACCGCATTGTATCCCCATAAACAAGAGAGAGAATCACGTGGAAACGGGTAAAACCACATCACTGTTAATACAATAACCGTCAGATCGTCAGAGGCTCAGAACCAAACCTGAGATTGAACAGAGGATAAAGTTTCTCAGTGAAAGTTTGGGTGAAAGTGTGGAGATGAGCCATGTTGTCAGCGTTGTAAAATGACACCTGTCCCCCCTCATAGTCCACGTAAACCCCGACCTTCCCGGGTCTCACTGTCAGGGGCAGAGGGGTGGGGGGTGACGTCAGAGCCTCATAGACCCCAAACCACAGCCACAACCCCCAGACCCCACCCTCTGGTGACCAAGTGATTGGTTGTTTCCTGTTGACAGACTCTGTGGCCAATCCCACAGCCCACATTGACTTGTTGCCCACCCGCACCGCCCAGTAATGTCTCCCCGATGTGAAGCCCTCAGATCTCAGGACAATGGGATCGTCACTAAACCTCTTCGGGGAGTGAGGGAGCGGCTGCTCTTCATCTCCGTCTCTCACACTGGTCCGGTCCTCACTCAGGATGAGCCGGGGATGGGCTGTGTCAGGATCCAGAGTCAGAGCGGCCGGAGCTGAGAGAAGAGAGAAACAACACCAAGTGGAGTGAGGGGGTCCCAGTGCAGTGGGGGGGGGGGGGGGGGGGGGGGTGCAGGAGTGAGGGCGGGCACTAGGGGGCGGTGTGTGAGTGGGTGGTCAGAGGGTCAGTTGCTGAACACAGGACACACAGCCCTGAGGGTGTCCCGCCGCCAGGCCGCCAGCAGAGGGCGCTGGTGACCGTGTGACTGGAGTCGCTGTTGGTGAAAACGCTCACACAGCGCCACCTGCTGACGTCACGCGGTAACTACAAGAGTACAGAGCTCTGCGCTGTGTTACAGTGACATCTCATCACCAACAATGTTTAATTTAGGATCAGGTGAGTGTCAGATATTCACACACCTTCAGTCTGAGAGTGGGAGACATGTACCTGGGCTGATGCTGTGTATTATCTCTCTCCAGACTGTGTACTGTAGAGGCCCTTTGTATATCCCCACAGGCAGATCCCCCCCAGACACTGACAGCACAAAACCATCAGCACTGATCCTGAAATAGGAGACATTCACATTATAAAGTGAAACTACACTTTGTGATTTGTTTGTGCAGTAAATTTTGCCGATATTTTGTAAAGAAATGATTATACCTTCTCTTCCGAGCAGTTTCCTCCTAAAGAAATGAAACACAGACAAATCTGAGCTCACACTGAGACACAACATTTGTAAATTCAGATACAGAGAATAGAATTCTACAGCACACAATTTACTGTCATTATTACAGGAATGTTAGTCACTCAATGTTGTCTCCAAAGTCCGGAAAGTTTAGATATAAAGTGGTGTTTGTGTGAGGTTATAGACAGGGACACATAGTGAGACCTACTTACAGACACACACTGTCAAACTCAATAACTTACAGTAACTTACCTGTAGAAACAGTAAATAGAATATTAATAGGATTGCACTGTAAGTAGAAGGTGAATGATAACATTCTCCCACAGACGAATAAATGTTGATCCCAGGATAACCACAGCTGACGTGTCCCTGGATGTTGGCTTTGCAGGGACACCGCAGGCCCTGGGAGTGACTGAATGTGGGTTCAGTTCTGTACTGAGTGACAGCAGCAGAGTCGCCATCAGAATATACCAAATAATCATAAAATCTCTGGGCTGTTTAACAGTCAGACTTTGACTTTCTGCTCCAGACTGTGTGTAACTGTTACTGAACTCCATTATAATTTAATCTCTTTACCTGCAGAAAGGTGAGTGTGTCCTTTTCCATCTGTTTCAGTAACTGAGAGATTTTATTCAGTAGAATCTAACTTGTCCTGAATCTGTCTCAGATTATTCTCCATTTGGTGTAAAATCTTCTCCTCTTGCTCTCTGAGCTCTCGGATTACACGCTGCTCTCTGTCAGTGAGGCTGTGGCGCATTTTAGCAAACTCTGCCGTGACGTGGTTCTCCAGACTGTTCGCCTGTTGCTACAAAATGAAGCGTCGGACATCACACTGTGCACAGTAAAGAGAGACACACGACTGAGAGCCCAGACATCAGCCCCGACACAACTTACCTTCACTTGTGAAATCTTTTGTTTCTGTTTCTCTTTAGCTGTGAGAGCAGTGGCCTTCCTCTGTGTGAGAGAAGCTAAGGAGGATTTCACTTTATCCTGGAATAAACAACAACAAATCACATTTATATGGGGTCTTTCACTGTGCTGTTTAACAGTCAGACTTTGACCGTCCACACAATCCCTCTCCCCGCATGAGTCTCTCCAGCATCAGCATCCACGAATGCTCACTCCACCTCATCAAGCCAGTCAGGAACCTGGAATTCTTGTTCAACCTGAAAATATCCTTTCTCTCCCATATCCATGCCATGACCTGCTCTGCCTTAGCCCACCTCCGCAACATTGCCCGACTCCACCACTGGCTCACCACTCAGGACACTGAAACCCTCATCCACGCATTCGTCAGCTCAAGGCTCGACTACGAAAACTCCCTCCTTGTTGGCCTCCCCAACTCTTCCCTCCACAAGCTGCAGATTAACCAGAATTTTTCAGCTTGTGCCCTTTCCTGCACAAGGCTCCGTGACCTCATTACACCCACCCTCGCCCGACTTCACTGGCTCCCCATCCCTCAGAGGCGAGAGTTCAAAATCCTGTTTCTCTCGGCCCTCCATGGCCTTGACCCCTCCTACCTCACTGACCTGCTGACCCCCTATCAACATGTCCGCTCCTTCCATTCAACAGGTTCCAGCTTTCTCCATGTCTCCTGCCTGACCCACCCTACCATTGGCAGCCGGGCTTTCAGCCACTCTGCCCCCACCCTTTGGAACTCCATCCCACAATCCCTTCAAGACGCGACTTAAGTTCCTACTTTTTGACCGTACCTTCAGCCGCCCTCCTAACTCTGGCCTCCCTCATACCAAGCCTGCCCTCCCTCACCCTGATCTCCGACTCTTTAGTGCCTTGGGATGTCCTCCTGATGTGAAAGGCGCTTTACAAATGTAATTTTGTTGTTGTTGTTCACGTCAGTGGAAATTCCTAGAATAGTGATACTGTCAGCACCTAAAGTGAGGAGGAGCTGATGGGAGCTAAGCAGGAGGGCCTCCGTCCTGCCAACATTCAACTGGAAACACGACGGAATCAAATTATTTGAATGTGAAAATGTAATTGAATGAATCCCATGTGAGGATCCTTTTACCTTGTAGATTTCAACAGCTTCATCAATGGGCAGGAAGCTGTGATCTCTGTGTTCCCGGGAATCTCTGCAAACTAAACACATCAATTTCCTGTCAGTTTCACAGAACAGCTGGAGTTCTTGCTGGTGTTTCTCACAGCGACGTTTAATTTCTGTCTCTTTTGGGGTCAGCCTCAACTCCTGAGCTTTCTCTGACAGGTTGGCCAGGGCCCGATTGGTCCTGAGGTTCCTTTCCGGGAAAGGCTCCTGACACACAGGACAGGTGTTCACGCCCTTATTTTCCCAGCACTGTGTGATGCAGGAGCGGCAGAAGCTGTGGCTACAACACAGGAGAACTGGATCAGTAAAGAAATCCAGACAAACCAGACAAATTAACTCCTCGGTCAGACCGTGAGTCTGGTGTTGAGAAGCCATTTCACCCTCAGCACTCCCTGATTCAAAATTGCTTTTACTTCGCTGTTTGTGAGGAGTGGCTCCTTCCTGATAACCAGTCACTTGCTCTTCAGCTCCGTCCTGTAATCTTTACTTATCAACGAAGTGAATACTGAGTGACAGATTAACCCTCTCACTGCGTCTCTCTGGTTGTGGATTCCTGTAACATCCTGTCGTGGTTAGAGCACTCACCTCACAAGCGAGAGGATCCTAATTGAATCCTAGGCCGGACAAAACATTGGGCAAGTTTCCTTACACTTCTGTTTGCTGAGCAGTAAATAGGAACCAAGTTGTTAGTCGATTGGTGGATCGCTTTTCTGGGGATAATACTTGAAAAAAATAATTTGTCACTAAATCTACAACTGTTTGTGGAACACTGCTGTGTGCATTCGGCTGCTGCATTTTGCCTGCAAAATATATAATCAATTCACTTTACCCTATATTCTGTGAAGTGTTTTGAGGTCTGCCGAGTGGAGGGAGTGTGCAGCCTGAAATGGCGTTAGGCGGTTGTAGAGGCAGAGGCGAACAAGACTATGGAGGTCTTTGAAGGTGGGAATGACAGTTTAAACTTGATTCTCTGAGGGATGGGGAGCCAGTGAAGCCGGGCGAGGATGGGGTGATGGGTTCTCTCAGTGCTCAGTGCAGACATACTCAGTGCTCTGGTCAGACCCCACCTGGAGGAAGACATAATGTTCTGGTCTCTGAGACACAAGTGGCTGTGCAGGCCTTAGAGGCAGTGCAGAGGAGAGCAATGAGTGTTTAGTAATGAGTTAGAATAACAATAATTGCCGGCCATCGGACACAGCTACATTGTCGTGAAGAGTGAACCTACACATCTACTGACTCGAACCTAATCTTAGCTATGAGCAATGTTTTGACAAGCTTGGGGTCTTCTCTAGTTCAAACTCTCATTCTCACCTTCAAAGTCTTGGTCTCCCCACCTTTCTGACCTTCCAAACCCTATTAACCTAAGCGCTCCCTCCACTCAATGGAGACCGGCCTGCTTGAGGTGGTCGGTCATTCAGCATCTCTGCCCCCACACTTTGGTATTCTATCCTGCAATCCCTCCACCTTACCCTCTCTTTTGCTCCTTCAAGTCCTGGCTAAAGACTTTCCACTTCAACTGTGCCTTCGGCCATCCTACCACACCACCCACCCCACCCCCCCCCACACTGCCCTCCAACCCTCCTGACCCAAACTCCCAGCTCAAGTCCCAGCACCCTGGGATGTCCTTCCAACATGAAGGGCAATTTTCAAGTGTAATTTATTGTTGTTCAGTCTTGAGAAGACACAACTCAGAGGGGACTCATAGAAGGTGCAGAACATTTTAGCCTGGATTGCAAATGTAAAAGCCAGATCAATACTTTTAGACGCACTGAGAGAGAAGGCCAAAAAGACACTTGCATCAAACACTGTATTTGGAGCAAAGTTTACAGATTAGGTACAATCCAGACACAAATCAACAGAAACCTGATCTCAAAGGGGTTGCAGGAACAGAGAGACCTGGGGTTCCACATAAGGAAATCTATGAAGATGGCAGAACAGGTAAATGAAGCTGCTAAAAAGCATACAGGATACTCGGCTTTATAAGTAGAGGCATAGAATACAAGATTCAAGAACCTTTATAAAGGATTAGGTCTCAGCTAGATTATTGTGTTCAATTCTGGGCACCACACTTTAGGAAGGAAAGGGAAAGGGTACAAAGGAGATTTTACAGGATAGTACCAAAAATGAGGAGCTTCAGTTGTGAGTTATGAGTCCAGAAAAGCTAGGATTAATCTCCTTGGAGCAGAGCAGGTTAAGGGGGAATTTAATAGAGGTGTGTGGGGATTTGATAGGGTGAGCAGGAGGAAGCTGTTCCCACTGGTGGGTGGGTTAGCAACAAGAATAACTTGCACTTTATATAGCGCCCGCCACGCAGGGTAGTGTGTCAGAGCGCCTAACAGTGGCAGAGGCTGATTCCCAGTTGGGGGAGGTGGGAGGTGGCCGTAACCACGATCAAAGTGGAGTCCTGTAGCTCAGTAGTTAGAGCACTCGCTTTGCAAGTGAGAGACCTGAGTTCAATTCCATGCAGAGGGCGAAACCTTGGGCAAGTTTCCTTACTCCACACAGAGCCTAATAATAATCCCTCCAAAACCAAAAACAATAATAAATTGGTCATTTTCAATCCACGACTGTTTGTGGGACATTGCTGTGCGCAATTGGCTGCCAGGTTCGCCCACAAATATACAGTCAATTCACTTTACAGTGTGTTCTGTGAAACGCTTTGGGACGTCCTCCCGACGTGAAAAGCGCTATATCAAATGCAAGGATTATTATTATTATTATTAAAGTGGAAAGTTTTCAGACAGGGCTTCAAAGAGGGTGAGAGGGGGCAAGGAGGAGGGATTGAGGGAAAGTGATCCAGAGTTTTGGGGATTATTGGCTGAAAGTGCAACTTATCATTGGTGGGGGGGGAAGGCTATGAGGGACGAGCAGGAGGCGGTGCCAGAGATGCTGGGTGGTGGATTATGGCATGAGGAGGTCGGAGAGATAGGGAGGTGCCAGGGAGAGGATGGATTTGAATATGAGGATCTTGAAGTTGAACCATACGGCGATGGGGAGCCAGTGGAGCCTATCCAGAACTGGTGAGATGTGGGTACGGAGTTTGGTCCGAGTCAGTATGTGGGAGGCAGAGTATTGAATGGTCTCGAACTTTTGAATGTGGGGGAGGAAGGACGGCTGAGGGTCAAACCAGTTGTGCAAAGGTTCGGTGAGTCTGAGGGAGAGCCCAGGGAGGTTGAGAACTTTAGATCTGCAGGAGTGAAGACGTTAATGGGAGCCAAGGAGTATGGCTTCCGTCTTGTCCATATTCAGCTGCAGGAGATTTACACTCATCCTGGCCTTGATGTCTGCCAGACAAACTGATAGAACATTGGTGGCCCTCGAGTTAGTACTGGAGGAGGCAAAGTAGATTTGTGTGTCATCCGCAAACATGTGAAAGTTTACCCCGTGTCTGTGGATGACATCGGCCAGAGGGAGCATATACTTAAGGAAAAGAAGAGGGCAATTGACAGATTGCTTTACGGGGGTAATAATTCCTTTAAAAAAGTAATAAATAGGTCACTTCAGACTACGATGGTTTGCACATAGCTGCTGTGCATGATTGGCTGCCGTGTTTTGCCCACAAAATATACAGTTAATTCACTTGACAGTATATTCTGTGAAGCGCTACGAGACATCTTGAGGACATGATAAGGCACTGTATCAAACGCAAAGATTATTATTATCAACACCTATAGTCACCACAGCCCCCACAGAGACACACCCTCACTCTCTTTCCCTCACCCCACCTCCAACCCCCCCCCCTCCCACCATCCTCAACCCTCCACAACCTTTTGTCTGTTTGACTAACATTTTCCTTGAGCTTCAGCGATACCTTCAAATTCTATTAAATTCTATTGAATTCTGTGGCGTAAACATGTCCGCACCTTCTCTCTATCTGTTCACTGTTCAACAATATTTCCTTTTATAACTCAAACCCAAATCAACTTCAAACGCTATTGACATCCAATCGTCACCACAGATAACCGACGCCATCTCCTCCTCCTCGTGTGAAGCTCTTCCTGCGGGAGGTAAGACAGCAGCTGCCGGGACTCGCTCCTCGAGCACTGTCCGCCCTTCCCGCACTTGTGTGGTGTGTGCGGTAAACCAGTGACCCCCAGGACCCGCTGTGTGTGGCGGCCACTGTGTCCCTTCACACACTTCCCGCCTGTGGCAGGTGGTCAGACCGCGGCTCTCAGGCCCAGAGCCGTGTCCGGAGCCACTGCCTCCCGTTCCCGCTGTGTGTGTCAGTCTGTGTGAGGGGCGGTGATGGCTCCGCTGTCCTGTCACAGCCTTTGTGCGGCTTCTCTGCCCAGTTTGGTTGGTAATGGCTCAGTCGGTCACAGAGGGAGGAAGGGACAAGGCCGTGGGGGGCCTTGATGGAGACAATGAGGATTTAGAGCTCTATCCTCTGGGGAAGCCATTGGAATCAAGTGAGTGCGGGGCTGATAGGATTGGGAGTAGGTGCGGTTCTGGATGATCTGCATCGTGTGGAGGTGGAGTCGAGTCTTGATATAATAAATATAGTGTGGGTGACAGTGTGTCTCAGTCTGGTTTTGTCTGAGTCTGTGAATAGTGGAGACTTGCTGACGGGCTGTGACAGACTGAATAGACTGAGCGGCAGAATTAATGACAGTCTCTGCAAACACAGCATCAACATGGGGCAGATTCACCATATTCCCAAAAGGTGGAAACACAGATTGCCATTCCCGGGTCTGTGTGTAATTCACGCAGTTTGTGAATGTTTCTGCCGCCAGTGGTTTGGGAAATGTCTCAGTCGGGCACCTCAGGGGCTCGGCATCGAGTTACACTTCAATTTACAAAGAATATACAGCACAGAAACCGCCAAACCAGTCTGTGCCGGTGTTTATATTCCACATCAGTCCCCACCCATTCCTTACTGCCTCCCATTCCATTCAATCCTCCTCTCCCTCATGCGAAGGTCTCCTGACTGAGCTTAAAGGGAGCGTCACAGACACGTGTGCCCATCCTGTGTGTTGTTGACCTGCCTGCGCCCCCCATAAAGGGGAGGGGGTGAGGATAGGTTTAGGAGGTCCGACTTCCTCTTGAAAACAGTAGAGTCCTATAGCTCAGTGGTGAGAGCACTCGCCTCACAAGTGAGAGGTTCCTGGGTGGGGCGAAACCTTAGACAAGTTTCCTTACACCACACACCTCTCTTTGCCAAGCGGTAAGTATTGGATGGTGGATCGCTTTCTGGGGGTAATAATCTCTCCCCAAAATTAATTTGGTCACTCAATTCACGACTGTTTGTGGGTCACTGCTGTGCACACTTCACTGCAGCGTTTCGCCCACAGAACACACAGTCACTACACATTACAGTATGTTCTCTGAAGCATTTTGAGATGTCTCAGCAAACCCCAAACATGGAGCAGCCGGTGAGGCTGGAGAGGGAAGCAACAACTGGATCAGAAACAACCACTGGAGCAGAGTAATGAGGGTCAGAGGAGGAGGTGGGCATTCGGTGTCTCAGCGCTGTGTTATCCGTGTGGTCTCTGTACATAAGGGGGAGAGGGAGTTAAGACATCTCAGGGTGTGGGTCAGGGGGTGACTGTGAGGGATGTGTGTAGTCAGAGGGTGAGGGGTGTGTGTAGACTGTGTATAATGATTGGCCATAAAATAATAATAATAATATGGTTTATTGTAAATTGTGGCAGTATTTTGCAAGTGAATGACAATATTTTTGGATACTAATATCCACTTGAACACACACAGACGTGACCTCGGCTTAAAGAAGGTTAAAGATGTCGCTTCTTGGGCGATTGTTACAGTGATTGAGAGAGAAATGTTACAGATTATAAAAACTGTCACTGAAAACACACAGTGTTTATACACAGTGAGACGCGGCCGCTCACTGGGGAACAACACGGCACCTGTTTATAGATATAAAAGTGATTTGGGAGATTTCAGTGAGATTCTGAGCACAGCCCCGACTGTGAGACTGGGCATTGCTGGAGAGAAAGATATCAGCGATATATATCCCTGTCTCAGAGCGTGTGAGTCACACACTGGATGGCAAGTCAGATTCTCCCAACACGAGCACAGAGACGAGCTGGCGATGAGCTTTACACAGATGGCTCACGTTTTGCTCCCACACATTGGGTGTCAGGTTCCTCTGATGCTCTGAATGATGTTAATCCAGACGAGCTGTTGCGGTGCTGGTGCTGATTGTGCTGTCTGGCGGCTACAGTGGCTCATTACACTGAACCCCCGGCTCGAGGCCGGACCAATGGGGGAGATCCCGTCTGGAGAGCCGGAATTTCCAGCTGAGTGTCATTCCAATGTCGGTCCCGGCATTTACTGCTTTATTGTAAAACACCAATAAATTGTAATTGTTTGAATCTCAGGAACAGGAGATAGTGAATCAGTGATTCAAACAATCTGAGTGACAGTGGGTATCCCCGGCCCCTGTGACGGCCAGTGAGGATGGTGAGGCTGCTCAGTGTGACAGGAGAGGGGAGCCCACGGGAGGACACACAGCGAAGGCCCACGGAAACCTTTTCAAAACTTATTTTGGTGTCGATCCCTATCGTCCAAACACCCGGAGTCCTGGTATCAGGATCCAGAGTCGGAGAGGCCGGAGCTGAGACACACAGGAAACTAACACAAAGAGGAGTGAGGGTCTCGAGGAGCAGGACAGTTGCAGGCGGGAGTGCCGGTGGGGCACAGACAGTGTGTGGGCAGCGACTGCTCCTCAGGACAGAATGGGAGAATCTGTCAGCCCTGACAGACCGGCTTTAGTGATTTGATTCTTGTAACAGAGACAGTTCTCTATTCATTAGTAGTGTGAGATTTTTACATTCACCTGAATAGGCACAGACAGGACCTTATATTAATTCCCTCAGCTCTGTACCAGAGGGTCATCCGAGGCTGTGAGCTGAAAGTCCTGGTGTGTGTGAGAGTGTTACAGACTGAGCCGGGCTGATGCACAGCTTTGGCATATTCAGGTGGAATCCCTCAGAGACATTCCTTGTTCATGACAGACTGTCAGCTTTTGCATCAGTAAATGTACATCATTCACATTTTAAACATCAGAAGATGTGAGACGTTTACCTGAGCTGATGCTGTCCATCATCGTCTCTACTCTCATCCCCACCGTCATGGGGTTTTGGCTTTGTTTGGCTTCAATCTTACCTTTCCCACTGTCTGCACTTTGTGTCCACCAACACCAGAAGAATGCAAACATTTGGAGACTGACAACATTGTAGAGAAATACTGTCAGGTGATAGAGGACTGATGAAGGGAGAATATAAAACAAGGCGAAGAGAAATAGTCCAACCGTTAGTAAAGCCCTTAGAAGAGTGCCTGAAGCAATGAAAGAGAGGTGAAAAGAATCATTAAACAACATGGAAAAGGACCCGATGACTGACTGGGCGAGTGCTTCAGTGACAGATGTTGGTCCTGGAACCCACTGCCGTTCATCTTGTCACCACCAGATGGCGGCAGCACTGCCCCATACAGCAATGTCTCCACTTATTAGACTTGAGTTTATATTCAACAACTTGCATTTATATCGCGTCCTTCACGCGGGGCAGCGTCCCAGAGCGCTTGACAGAGGGGGAGTCTGACCCCGATCCAGGGGTAGAGGGAGGGGAGAGGTGACAGTGAACACAATCAAAATGTAAGGTCTTTGGATGGGATTTGAAAGTGGGGAGGGAGGGGGCAATGGGCGGAGGGATTGAGGGAGGGAATCCAGAGCTTCGGGGCACAGTGGCTGAAAACACTGTCAGTGACATTTGTAGTGATTTTGGTGATTCATTGAAATGGTTTCTCCAGTCGGTTCCTCATTCAAACAATTATGTAATGCGACGGTGTGTACATTTGTGCAATTTTCACACTTTACACAATTTGCAATTATTCCCAGATTTAACCAATTTGTATATTTCCGTATCTTGGCTGAACACACCACTTTACCCGCAATGCCGTTGCCAAATAAAGGTGAAAACCTCAGACAGGATCACGCTGCCAAGCTCGGCAGATTGACACGCTCCCAAATTTCCCACTTTCCAGAGAAGCGGCCTATAAAATGTAACCCCATCACCCCTGGATATGTCTGGTTCCTGCCCAGACCATAATAAACTTTGTTTTTGATGTCGGGCTGAATCACACCATCGAAATGTCTCAAAGAACGTCACAAGATTTTACCTTAAAAGTAATACGACACAATGTGTTTTGTTCACCCACAAAATACACAGTCACTGCAGTGTATCCCGGGATGACATCCCAAAATGAAAGCTGCTATTCTAAATCTAAGGATTATTATTATTCTTATGATTCTTGTTATACAATTTACACTTATAAAGAGCTTTCACGTTAGGTGATCGTACTAAAGCACTTCATTGCACACAAACAGCCATGAAGAAAATATCCAATCTTATTTGTTTGAACTGTTTGAACAGTGCATTGGGATCTTTCACATCCACTCAATCTAAAGGAGGGTAACTCTGACAATACAGGGCTTCCCCAGGACTGCACTGGAGTCACTGAGCTTAAAATCCCCGATGTGGGGATTGAACCCACAACCTTTGGACTCAGAGGCCAGAGCATTACCGACTGAGCCAGACTGAGACAGGTTTAACCTGTGACCAGCAGATTGTCAGCGGCTCAGAGTTTTCCCCATCAGATCCCAGGACAATGGGACAGAAACTGAACCTCTTCCAGGTGTTACGGAGCTGCTGCTCATTTTTTTCCCCGTATCTCACACTGGTCAGGTCCTTACACAGGATAAGCCAGGGATGGGCTGTGTCAGGATCCAGAGTCAGACGGCCGGAGCTCAGAGAGAGGGCTTCACTGGCTGGTGAGTTACCACTGCCCAACGCCCGGCATTAAGGCGCTGCTGTGGGGAGCGCTGTCTGTGTTACTCTCCTCTGTCTCTCAGTGTGTCTCTCTCTGTCTGTCTGCATGAGGTTCTGTGTGAACATATCTTTCTTCAGGAAAGATATAATTGGCCCTGGAGGAGGTGCAACACAGGTTCACTGGAATGTTTCCAGGCCTCAAAGGGTTACGTTACGAGGAAAGGCTGCGTAAACTTAGATTGTATTCCCTTGAGATTGGAAGGTTGAGGGGTGATTTGATTGAGGTGTTTGAGATGGTGGTTTGAGAAGCCCACAGTCAGGACTGGCGAGACTCAGGGAAATTTCCATGTGTAGGTGGCATATGTATATGCAACTCTCAGACTGGTTCAGAGACTCAGAAGCACGGTGATGGGTTTCCGTGTGTGTCAGACACCCAACTGCTGACCAAAAACAACTATCTGCATCTACCACACAGTGAGGGCTTTATAGTGAGGGACGAGTCCGGAACTGTTCACCAAGGCTGATCATGTGGATCATTTCTCTCCACACTGTGAGGTCTTTGGGTATTGCCAGAGTCAAATCTCCTCGTACCACTGATGGCTCAATCCAGTCTTCACTAACACTGTAAAGATGACAACAACAAGAAACAAAAAATTACATTTACACTGCACCTTCCACTTCAGAAACATGTCCCAAGGAGCTGGACAGTCAAGGGTTACACCTGAGCCGGGTGTTGGAATCAAGAGGGTTGGAGGGTGGGAGTTGGAGAATGGCCGAAGACATGGTCAAAGAGGACGAGATGGGCCTTAAAGGTGAGGAGGGAGATGGGGGGTTCTGGTTTGGAGTTCCAGAAGCTGGAGCAGAAAAGCAGAGACCCCGACCACCAGTGGTGGGGTGGGTAGGGCTGTGGACATGGAGCAGGTGGAGCAGACAGGTTGGTATAGTGTTAATAGGTCACCGAGGTCGGGAGGATCAAGGTCTTGGAGGCCATTAAAAGTGAGGGAGGGATGGGTGGGGCCGGTCGGGGACACAGGGAGCTGGGGAGGGGGTGGCAGTAGAAAGGGCACAGGCAGCAGAGTGGATCCCGTGGTTACTGCTTTGACATTAACGAGTGAAACAGTTTGTTTGAAGAGAACGTCAGACCTGATCTTCCGAGAATCTTCCTCCTGAAATGAAACAAAACACCGAGAGGTCAGAGTCACAGCAGCTAACCCTCCGCGTGCGGAACAACCTCCACACGGTGACTCGCTCAGGGAGCTTTACACAAGGTGAGAAGAAGGAGGTTTGCATTTGGTACAGAGCCTTTCACATTGGGAGGATGTCTCAAACACTTCACTGGATTCACCGTAAAGTGTAGTGACTGTGTGTTTTGTAGGCAAGTGTAAGGGCTGAGCTCTGTTATGTTGTTAGTTTTGCAGAGCTGAGGGCTGTCCTTTGGATGACACGTTAACCTGTGGTGTTGCGCCTGTTCAGGTGGACGATAAAGATCCCGGACATGACTGGAAACGTGAAGGGAGTTACTCCCAAATAACAATTGGTCATTCACTTCATTGCTGTTTGTGGGGCACTTTCTGTGCAAATTGGCTGTTGTGTTTGTCTGTAAAATACACAGTCACTACACTTTACTATGAATCACTTTGAGACATTAAAACGAAATTAAAGGCACTGTATAAAATGCAAGGCCTATTATTACATAAATAAAAACAATCTCCTTTTCTTACCCTCAGAAAGGACCCCATGTCCTGTTCATCCATTTGCCGCTGTAACGTTACTAATTCTGGGTCTATAGATTTTAACGCCTCTTCAAACCCTATAACATTTCCTCCTCTCACTCTCTGAGCTCTCGCATTACACACTGCTCCGTGTCACTGAGGTTCTGGTGCATTTCGGCAAACTCAGCCGTGACGTCGTTCTGCAGACTCCTCGCCTGTTCCTGTAAAGTGAGGCGTCAGACATCACAATGGGGCACGTTAAAGAGAGAGACACGACTGAGACCCCAGACATCACGCAGTAAAGAGAGAGACACGTCTGAGACCCCAGACATCACACGGTAAAGAGAGAGACACGCCTGAGACCCCAGACATCACGCGGTAAAGAGAGAGACACGTCTGAGACCCCAGACATCACACGGTAAAGAGATAAACACGACTGACAGCCCGTAGTGGGGATGGATTCCACAATCTTCTGGCTCAGAGGTGAGAGTGCTGACTCCTATCACACGCAACTTACCTTCAAGGTAGAAATCTTCTCTTTTTGCCCAAATTAAGCTAAAAAAAAACATCCTTTCTCTTCAGACCCAAGTTGAAATATGATTTCAGTTTCTCCTGTAATCAAAATGGAAATTAACTGAAACAAACACATTGTTAACTGTGTCAGTGTGACCAGAGAGAACACACAGCGGGAAGTCTGACAGATAGCGCTCTCAATGGCCGGTTATGCCGTTTAGTTGGTTAAACTTCGATAGATACCCCGACATATACTCTGGGATACACAAGCCTTGGCTCTTGTCGGCCTGTGTCAAATAGTCATCAGATTTGTAAACAGAGTGCGTCCCTCCGTGGAACCAAGTCAATATTCCATGTGCAGTTAACATATCATAGAATCATAGAATTATACAGCACAGAAGGAGGCCTTTTGGTCCATTGTGTCTGTGTCGGCTCTTTGAGAAGAGGTATCCCAATCAATCCCACTCCCTCGCGCTCTCCCCATAGCCCTGCAAACTTGTCCTCCCCAAATAATTATCTGCTTCCCTCTTGAAAGTTGTTATTGAATCGGCTTCCAACACCCTTTCAGGCAATGCATTCCAGACACGAACAACGCTGTGTGGTAAAACCTCTCCTCTGTTTCTTTTAACTGTTATAAATCCTCGGGTTACGACCCACGCACCAGTGGAAATAGTTTCTCCCTTATATCTCAATCACCACCTGCTTTGGATTCTCTTAAACACAGCAATAGTTTCCGTGTGTGTCAGACACTCGGCTCAAGAAAGAGAGAGAGAATTGCAGTCACATTATAAAGTCCGCTCCTTGTGTACCTTTGTAGATCTCAGCAGCTTTGTCTATGGACATCACTGAGTGATTTGTGATTCTGTTCCTCAGCATAAATGAGACACATCTCACAGATCAATTTCTTATCCGTCTCACAGAACGGCTTCAGCTCTTCCCGATGATCATCACAACGGTGTTCCCTTTCTCCCCGTTTCGGATCCAGACTGAGATTTTGAGCTTTTTCAGCCAAATTATCCATTGGTCGACCTGCTCTCAGCTCCCCTCCCGGACACACCTGGCGACACTCCGGGCAGGAGTGAGCCTCCGGCCTCTCCCAAAGCCCTGCGAGACACGAGCGGCAGAAGCTGTGGCCGCAAACCAGAGAAACCGGACCCTTGACCAGGTCCGGGCAAACGGGGCAAGTGAGACCCTCCGCTGAGCTCCGGTGCTGCTCTCTGCAGCCGTGTCCCCTCCACCGCTCACTCCCACAAACTGCTGCCACTCTCAGCTTTGGGGCTGTGTCCAGACCCAGAGATCAGCAGAAGCCACTTGTTTGGGAGGTTTGTGGCTGTGACCCTCCCCCTGGGCCCGGATCAGAAGGTAATAATAATAACAATGATGACATTTCCCCAGAGGGAGGGGGTGAGACGGGGACGAGAGGAAGCGCCGCCTGTGCGGGGGTTTGTGTCGCTGACACTGAGCAGAAGGAACAGCAGCAATGGCGGTGCCCGGGAGCCACAATGCACTGCGCGGGTGAAAGCGCCCTATCTCTGTGATGGTGGCGGTGTATCACTGACAGTGCGGAGTGGCTGCAGCGCCACCTGTTGGTGACACAGCGTCACCGCGGCATCGAACCACATACCACACGAGGCAGCGCCACCCGTTGGTGACACAGCGTCACCGCGGGATATAACAGCACACAATGGCGGCCGCGGTATTCGGGTAACGTTGGACACCGGTTAATTCGGACACAAAGCGCCAGGTCCCGGTTGGGTTGTGCATTGACAGCTTCCGGTGCACAGGAAGGAACCAGTCATTTCCCCCAAAACAACAGGAAAGTCAACAAGTTACTGTTTATTACCTGTTTCCTGTCATCTCCTTCCCCGCCCTCCCCGCCCTCTCTGTCCCGCCCTCTTTCTCACTCCCTCCTTCTCTCTCTGACTCTTTCTCTCACTCGCTCTCTCTCTCTCTGACTCTCACTCCCTCTCTCTGACTCTCTCTCACTCCCTCTCTCTCACTTCACTCAGTTGTTCGTCGATTGCCGGGTCACTTTTCCGGGGGAATTAATCCCTACAACAACAATAATAATTTAGTTGCTTCAATCCATGGCTGTTTGTGGGGACACTGCTGTGCACAATCGGCTGCTGCTCTTTGCCCACAAAATATACAGTCACATTCGCTTTAGAGTGTATCCTGTGAAGCCCTTTGAGATGTGTTGAATAAGTGTTAAGTCGCTATATCAAATGCAAAGATTATTGTTACTATTATTCTCTCTCTCTGTCTCTACATTACATATCAGATTGAGCTCTTGTTGAGCACGTGTTCGATACCCGAGCGGAGAGAAACCTTAGGCAACTTCCCTCACTGCACATGCCTCTGTTTACCAAACAGTCAATAGGAACCAGTTTTAATCGCATTCTGGGGGGAATAATCCCTTAAAAAAGAATTTGGTCACTGAATCCATGACTGTTTGTGGGACACCTCTGTGTGCAATTGGTTGCCACGTTTTGCCCACAAAATACACAGTCAATTCACTTTACACAGTAATAATAATAATCCTTGCATTTGATACAGCATCTTTCACGTCGGGAAGACGTCCCAAAGCGCTTCACAGAATATACTGTAAAGTAATATACAAGATTGTGTGAAGCCCTTTGTGACGTCTGAAAGACGAATGCAAGAATTATTATTACATTCAGTTCTTGTCTCCTGTCACCCTCCTCGCCTGCTCTCTATCCCGGGCCCTTCCACAGACTTCCCTCTGCTCCAGCCCTGGGCCTCCTCCACCCGGAGCACCGCAACACTTGTTAATGGTTGTCCCAGAGCAGCCCGTAAATTACTCCCCATCATCAGCGCACCGCAAGGCCTGCCTCCCCTGCCTCCAAAAGGTAACCCCTACCCCCTTCTCTCACTTCCCTCATCCACATCCTTCCCAACTGAATTAAAAAAGAAATAATTTGGTCACTCAATCCAAGAGTGTTTGTGGGCCACTGTTGTATGCAATTGGCTGTCATACTCTGCCCACAAAATACACAGTCAATTGACTTCACAGTTTATACTGTGAAGCCCTTTGAAACGTCTCAAAGACATGATAAGGCACTGTATCAAATGCAAGAAATATTATTATTACTTCTCATCACTCATACTTGACAGTCGTTTTCCCCCAAATGCTCCCCCACCAGCTCCTCTATTCACATCACCAGCCAAATTGTTGCTCTTTCTCTAACACAGCTTTCACTATCCACCGCCTTCACTGCCTGTGAAGTGCTTTGAGACATCTCAACACTGTGATCAGGCGCTGTAGCAAATACACCGATTATTATTTTTTATCATTAACTCATGTCACCCTTTCACAGCACGTGATAAACAGCCGTCATGCTGGAGAAAATGTCTCGGACGCTCTTGGAGAAGACAGAAGTGTTAGACAGAGTCAAGATGGAGCCATGAGGGACTCCGCTACGAGAACTGACCAGAAGACTTGGGGTCAAGAAGTCGACACTGGGTGACAGCATCGCCAGTGAGATGAAGCTGCGCCACACAGCGGTCTCCTCAGCCGAGGGCGATGTTGGTCTGCATAAGAAGAGGGATCGCAAAGGCAAAGATTGCAAGGTACCCAGAATCATATGAGGTTCACTGTCGGGTATACAAAAATTCGAATACGCATAGTGCTAGGTGTCCGC